ACGGCCAATGGAGGAAGCTTGCTCACCACGCCATCAATGTTGTCGGGGGCCACATGGCTCGCAAGGGTCGACGTGATCTCGAGATGGAGGACCTGGTTGCACGTGAGCTGGAGTCCCTCGCTGAGCGTGACCTCGACGAGCGAAGTCCCAAGAACGGTCAGTGGAGGAAGCTTGCTCACCACGCTATCAACGTTGTTGGAGGAAGCCTGGCGCGTAACAAGGGCCGACGTGATCTCGGAATGGAGGATCTGGTCGCTCGTGAGCTGCAGGTTCTGGATGAGCGAGACCTTGAGTACATTTACTCTCGCTACATCCAGGATATGGAGAACAGCCAGGAGTAAAAGCTCTTTGATCGTGTGAAGAGCGGCCATCCAGGTATCCAGACAACTTCAAGTACCTCGGTTGGTTTTGGTTTTGCTGTCATCATTAGTAGCTGGTTGCCTGCCGTCTGTCTTCTTGTCGGAAAAAGCAATAGCATGGCTGGCATAGATGGAGAGTGTAGTCTGTCGAACATTTTCATAAAAATAAAGATGTTATCCAAAGGACTTCGCACGCCGTCGTAGACAAGTGGAATGCGCATGTGCCGCGACATATTTGCCAGAGTGCGTACTCGGCTGTAGTGGCGCTGGCGTGGATCTCCTAAGCATGGACAAGGTCGTAGGGCGCAATCGGTAACAGCAGAGGACTGGGACGGTGGCTGTTAGGAATCCGCCCTGAACAATTTACAAAAGATAGTTGCTCAGAGATGAGATTAAAGTAATACTCCAAGTGATTCTAGCACCTGTGATTTATGCTGTGCGAACGTGTCGGGCTAACCTCACGGCAATGAAATGAAGCCTCGTGGATGCACAGCACCACGGCAATTACCTGTCGAGGTACCTAATTACTGGACTTGGTCAATTGGCAGTTTGGGCCATGACTCGAGGCGTGACCCACCCTTACCCGGATTTCTAGCCAATCATATGTAACACACCCCGAGTGATCCCGCGAAACAAGCGCAGGCACGACCGCTACCAGTAACGACAGAAAGAACCAAGGGGGGGGGAAGAGAAAGTATCCCTCAATCAATGTGTAAACTGAATTGAGTATCTGGATGCACCATCTCTCTGAATATTGCACCTCTACGCAGCGTCTCTGAATTCCCACTCCTCCCTTGAGTGTTACGGCGGCGGTGTTTGTGGCTATTTATAGATCGCCTTACTAAGGCTACTCAAGATTGATTTCCGCGACTCGATGGTTTGGTGCTTCAGCTCCATTCCAGGCCATGACAAGGCCCGACGCAGCAAGAGCCTGATCACGACAACTCTAGTCTCCGAATCTGTTGCCGGGGGCAGAAATTTTCAAGGATAATGTCGTTGACATGGTACGAAGGAGAGCTGAGAGCAACAGCTACCCCGCCAGCGAACAGTCGAGACCGTATTCGAAGCGACGCAAACATTATGACGATGACCTGAGCGATGGGATCTCGACTCCCGAGGTCGACGAGACAACACTGAAAAGAAGCACCTACACGATCGCATGGATCTGCGCACTGCACATCGAGCTGGCCGCAGCCCAGGCAATGCTCGACGCCGAGCACGACGAGTTACCGGGCCTCGCTGACGATGATAATACATATATCCTGGGCAACGTGGGCAAGCACAATGTGGTCATTGCATGTCTCCCGACCTCTCAATACGGCACAAACAATGCGGCCAGCATCATCACCGACATGAAACGAACCTTTCCGTCGATTAGGGTGGGCTTGATGGTGGGCATTGGCGGAGCAGCCCCTGCCATGGCCGACATACGCCTGGGAGATGTCGTGGTGGGAACAAGGGTCATGCAATATGACCTGGGCAAGATACTCAGTGACGACGAGTTTGAATACACGGCGATCCCCAAGATTCCCCAGAGACTGCTCGGAACCGTTGTCTCGACACTGCGATCGAAGCACGAATTACGACCATCCAACATTCCAGCCATTTTGGATGACAAGTTGGGGGATAACAAGCGATATAGTCGCCCGGAATCGCCAGACTGGCTTTTCCACGCTTCATACTGCCACAAAGATTCACGGGCCTTTTGCGAGACCTGTGACCAAACCAAATTGGTCCTTCGTCCCGCGCGATCGAATATTGATCCTGAGATACACTATGGTGCCATTGCGTCCGGAAACCAGGTCATGAGAGACGGAATAAAGAGAGACAGGATTTCTCGGGACTTGAACATCATTTGCTTCGAGATGGAGGCTGCTGGTCTTATGGACAGCTTGCCATGCCTGCCAATTCGGGGTATCTGCGATTATTCAGACTCCCACAAGAACAAAAAGTGGCAGAGATATGCTGCGGCAACCGCGGCTGCATATGCCAAAGAGTTACTTGAGGTCATGCCGTACGCAGGCAGCGAGAAGACCACAGCCATCCGTACACCCAAGCCAGGTAAGCCGCCACTGATGCCATCGAGTTGTCATCCATAACAATGCTCATTTCACATTAGATGGGAACTCGCTCTTGGAGGGTCTATTGTTCTCCAAAGAAGATGAGATTATGCAACGGCGAGGGCGTCTCATCAAAGCGTTGGAGTTTGAACAGATCCATTCGCGCAAAGCCGCAATTATGGAAACACACTCCGACACTTGCCGGTGGTTTCTTGACCATGAAGCTTATCAGAGTTGGAGCGATCCGTCCCAAGTACCCAAACACCATGGCTTTCTGTGGATCAACGGCAAGCCTGGAGCCGGTAAATCGACCTTGATGAAGTTCCTATACACGGAATCAAGGAAGCTCGCCCAGAAGAACGTATCCGCGACAAGCTCATTCTTCTTCAATGCCCGAGGCGAGAAGATGGAGAAGTCAATCACAGGCATGTACCGGTCATTGCTAGTACAGTTGTTCAACTCGTTTGAAGATACTCAAGAGGTTTTGGACGAGATGGACCTCGAACCAGATAATCTCACTGCTTGGCCATTGGGAACACTTAAAGACTTGTTACGAAATGCCATATTCCGCCTCAATAAGCGTCAGTTGACATGCTTCATTGATGCTCTTGACGAGTGCGATGAGCAGCAGATTGTGGAGATGGTTCACTACTTTGAAACCCTTGCAGAACACTGTGTAGGTGCTGCGATACCTCTCAAGATCTGCTTTTCTAGTCGCCATTACCCTTATATCCACATTGAAAAGGGTATGAAGCTTACCCTTGAGGATCAAGAGGGCCATGGTGATGATCTCGCAGCCTACGTTGAGGGCCGATTACGCGTCAAAGGTGATGCTCTAGGGGAGCTACAGTCGCAGATTCTGAACAAAGCGGCTGGCGTCTTCTTGTGGGTTGTCTTGGTCGTCGACATCCTCAATAAAGAAGAGAGGCGAGGGAGGCTAGCTATGAAGAGGCGACTAACGGAGTTGCCAAGTCGTTTGACAGACTTGTTTCGGGACATGGTCGCCCGTGATCAAGAGTACATGAAGGATTTCTTACTGTCCATTCTTTGGATTCTGTACGCAAAAAGACCCTTGACGCCGACCGAGTACTACCACGCTTTATGGATCGGACTGCAAGAGAAGTGTCATCTTGATCCTGAGCTTCCCGGAGTTGATGATTTGGATTCTATCCAGAGATATGTTGTGAGCTCTTCCAAGGGTCTTGCAGAGACTACCAAAGTAGAACCGCAAAGAGTACAATTCATTCACGAATCCGTGCGTGATTTTCTCTTGAAGGATAAAGGAATCGCAGAAATATGGCCAGAACTGGGCCATGACTGGGAAGCATCGGCCCACGAACGACTCAAAGACTGCTGCTATCGATACATTGGCAATAGCAACACCAGGTCTTATGTATTCCTCCCAACTGCGGTCTTCTTTCGCTACGCCCGCGATTACGTCCTGGCTCATGCCAATGGAGCAGCAAAATCTGTGCCTCAGCAACGGTTCCTCTCCCGGCTCCCATTACTCACATACCTCTGGGGCTATCGTTACCGCTCCGACACAGATCTACTCTATATCCTCGCAGATCAGGGACTGTCCAACTTGATCACACAAAGGCTTGAAGATATTCCCCGGATAGAGACTCGCGGAAGTGTTTACCGATCTCCGCTGTTTGCGGCGATCAAAAACCACCACCCCGACGCTGTTGTTGCGCTTCTTGCGTCGGGAATGGATCTCAGTCAGGCGACTGATATTTCCAAGAATTTAACCTACGGCCAGGACTATTCCAAGGACTTCACAATGCTGACCTGGGCCATCGACACAGGCTACACCTCTATCATCCCCTTGTGCCTTTCCAAAGGCTCTTTTGTCAATGAGGAGGATCCGAGAGGTTACAGCCCGCTCGGCTTAGCAGTGCGCAGAAACAATCTGGAAACGGTCCAACTACTGCTCGACAACGGGGCCAAGCCTCAGAATTGCGGACCTCAAGCGCTCATCGACGCAGTTCGATGTCAGAATATAGATATTGTACGCGCACTTCTCGACCATGGGTGTGATCCCAACAAGTCCGATGGGGATTATACGCCACTGAAGGCTGCACACAACAGACAAAATGATGAGCTGGTACAGTTGCTGGTCGCATACGGCGCAAACCCTTGGTTCACTTAGCATATTACTCGTCTAGTGACCTCTTCATTCCTCAAATACATGACCAATGTTTAGGCGAGTGGGGGTTTTCTCTAGGCAAGGACTGCGTTTTTAATGTAATTAACGAGATACCCCTATCCTAGAGGCCGCCGTGTCAGAGGCTGGGAAGCCTCGCGCACCAGTCCGGAGGGCCGGAAGGTCGACATGTGATGCTGGCGTTGTATGCCCACTCCCAGCATGCGTCAGTTTCGAATTCTTCCTACCTTTCATACGTCCATTTCAACGCTCTAGACGCCGGGTCCGCCGACCTCGAGTAGCCCAAAGGATGTTCCCTATGGTACGTCGTGCCTGCCCGAGAAGATTGTCTTCAAGAAGCAGAAAGAAGGTTGGGATGAAGAGTTTGACCAGGAGAAGGCGGCCTATGCGAAACTGCGTCCCACCTAAGGCATCATGGTCCCTAGGTTCTATGGCGCCATCGCGTACAACGGCACCCGGGCCATGGTTCTTTCCGACAGTGGCGGAGCCCGCGTGGCGAGGCCGGAGGGTGCCGTGCTTGACGAGGAGGACTTTTACCAGCTGCTGTACAAGGCCACGACGAGTCTCACCGACCTGGCCGTCTCGCACAACGACACGAAGCTGGACAACTTGCACCTCGTGACCGAGGACGGCAAGGACAAGATCATGATGGTGGACCTGGAGAGGGTGGACATGGACCTGTCCGAGGATAATTTCGCCTTTGCGGCGTGGTGCAAGGCTGACTTTTTGGCCAGGCATTATCGAAGCCACCTGAGGACACTAGAATATGATGGCGTGCTGCTTCCCAAGAGGCTGCTCAAGGAATAGGAGCGGCGAGCTTGTAGGAATGGGGGTTGAGGAATGGTATTTAGCTAGGTTCTTTCGCTGCCACAAGACAGGTTGACTCGCAACCCCGTTACTCATCCTACCTCCGGGCACCCGGTACTATTTCCATCACTCCATCTTCGTCGTTCGCATCTTTCCATCCGCCAGCCCCAGCTGGTCCTACGTTCGATTATCAGGAGGTTGGTGGCAATTTTTGCTGGTCACCTGAATTGCAGGTGTCGGAACTGCTTAATCTGGCCAGCTGCGTGCTATATTGATTGGATCAAGCAGCTACCAAGAAGTCTTGCTTGTGTATCTGTATGCATCTAAGAGTTCCGGCAGCTGAGGAAACTTCTTATCGACCCAAAAAACGTCTGCCAAGAGAAAAGCACAATACAATTCCCTCATAATGAGAACCGCCACCCCCTCCTTTGATGACCCTCCTCCCTTGCCTCGTCATCGACCTCTTCCTTCTTGCCCAATTTCTTGTTGAGCCACATGTACTGCGCGTTGGCGGCGATTCCAAACGCAAGAGCTATAGACGCGAGAGTCAAAATGACTGTAAAGCCCGTCCTGTAGAGCGGCGCGTCGTGTGCCTGAAAGATCTGTGCACCCGCAAGACCAGCAGTGTTGACCGTCATGATGAGCAGCGCCAACGTGATGGAGCGCTCCGCGGGATTACGAATGTTGACGGCTAGCCACGAGCCGTTGAGCGGATGGGCCACGGAACCCCAGATCGTGGTACAGGTGAGGATTCCATACTTGAGGTCGCGACTGGTGCTGGAGACCAACTGCCGGGTCGCAAGCTGTGGACGGTCAGTATTAGCTGTTGCTATTATCAAGACGGGGGTGATATTGACTTACGCAGAAAGCAAAACTCAGCACGACAAGAAGTAACACGAGGCCGCCTCGCCTCTGCGTCTTATCCGCGATCCATCCCACCGACAGATTAACCACGATGACGATCCAATCGCTGACGGAAGACAGCGCGTTGGCTTGGAGTCGATCATAGCCATACGTTGCGATGATGGAGGGCTTGTATGTGCCCAACGGAGAAATGACGGCGATGCAGCAAAACGACACCAAGAGCTGAGGGTAGATGTACCATCGAGAAAACGCCGCCTTGACATCAGCGAGGCGCACATACTTGTGCTTGGGCGCATCTGCAGCACTGTCATTGGCCACACGCTGGGTGAGGATGTGAATCTCCCGTGGCGTAAAGTACGAATGTCGCAGGATATTGGACGGCCTAGCAGGGGAATGAGGCATCAAGAGCACAAAGATGACTCCAACTACGATCGTGAGCAAGCCCTCGACGAGAAACATCCACTGCCAGCCGGACAGGCCCCCCGTGCCTCGCATCTGCAGGACCCCGTAGGCGATGAGCCCGCTCGACGCGCTGGCAGTCATGTTGCCCAGGAAGAAGGCAGTGAAGCGCCTGCTCGTCTCGTTGCGCTTGTACCACTGCGTCAGGGTGTACAGCCCGGCGGGGATGAAGCCGGCCTCGAGCAGCCCGAGGAGCAGTCTGGTGGTGTAGTAGACGCCGACGCCCCGTCCCTTGATGAAGGCTTGGAAGGTGGCCACCAGGCCCCAGCATATGATCTGGGCGCTGATCCATTTCTGGGCCCCGACGCGGTAGAGCACGAGGTTGCTCGGCAGCTCGAGGAGGACGATGCCCAGGCTGAGCAGCTGGTTGCCGATGTTGAACTGGAGCTGGGTGATGCCCACCTCGGCGAGGAAGAAGTCGGTGAGGGCGTTGCCAATGTTGCCACGGTCGAGCTGCAGGACGAAGAAGCCGGCAATTAGCAGAGGCATGACGAGCAGGTCTATCTTGCGAACCACCGCTGCTTCTTCTTCTGGTGACCAGTCATCGACCCTCGCTTGCTGCGTTGACTGGGACTCTTTGTCTACATCTATCTCGGCCAGGCCGTACGGGCTGGCGTTGACCTGAGTCGTCTCTTTCTCGATGGACATTGTGAAGATGGTTGGAAGAGAACAGTTGTGATACTACATCGAAGGCTGCCATGAGCTTCTGTCGAACAGTCACTTATATATAAAAAGCATCCTTGCAGCTGGGACCAACATCTCTAGCAGAATCTCGTGGTGGGATCTCGCCATGAACGTCTACAATGATGCAATTGTTGAATTATCGACCTACTCTTCCTCGTCTGCGTCAGTTTACACCGTATAACCGACGAACTAACTTTTATCACATCCGGGAGATCACGAAGCAAATGCAATTCGATCTGGTAGAGAGCTGCGTTTCACCAATAAGACCAAGATCCGAACCAGATCCCAGTCGTCAGGCACTCGATAGCTTGACAGGTCTGTGGGTCGTTTGAGCTTGTCTGACTCCTGGTCATCAGAGGAAAATGTCTGTTTGGGCTTAGCGAGATCTGGGCAGCCTGGGTATGAATCTTGCGTGATCTGGAGAGGGCTTTCAATCAATCACTGGGCCAATGAGAACGTGATCCGAACCACACCACGCTGGCGGTTCGTGGGGCTGCATCTCCATGTGGATCTTGGACGACTCCACGCCAATAAGTCGGTCTCCATCAGCCGTTGCATCCTTGGGTCAGTGGCTCGTCGGTATCATTCGGACACTTGCGAGGCCGATGGTGCTTGAAGATGCTACGAGACTCTTGCATTGGAATATGATAAAATGGTCGCATCGTTACTCCATCTCACATGAAAGTTCAACCTTCTCCGCATCATTTTCACTCTCATCAGACTTACTCTAGCAGAGTTCACAGTCATGGCTGCGACAAAACGACCCAACTTCCTGATTATAGTTGCCGATGACCTTGGCTTCAGTGACCTCAAGCCCTATGGCTCCGAGATTGACACGCCCGTCCTGGATCGTCTGTCCAAAGACGGCATCCGCATGACAAACTTCCACACGGCGCAGGCATGCTCTCCCACGAGATCCATGCTGCTGTCTGGCACGGACAATCACATTGCTGGGCTCGGCCAAATGGCTGAGTTTGCCAAGATGAAGAAGAAGCTCACTGGCAAGGACCCCGAGTACGTCGGCAAGCCGGGCTACGAGGGCTACCTCAATTGGAGAGTGGCTGCTCTGCCTGAAATTCTCGCAGACGCTGGCTACCTGACCATGATGTCTGGCAAGTGGCACCTGGGCATGACACCCGACGTGTCGCCAAGCGCACGAGGCTTCAAGAAGAGCTTTGGGTTCTTACCTGGGTGCGGCAACCACTTCAACTACGAGCCGCAGTTTGATGCAGATGAGGATTCGATGCTTCTCACCTCTGACGGGTTCTGGATGGAGAATGAGAACCACATTGATAGGAAGAAGGATCTGCCTAAGGATTTCTACTCGACCAATTTCTTCACGGACAAGTTCATTGAGATGCTGGCAGACAGGACCGACGAGGAGAAAGAGCAGCCATTCTTCTCGTACCTAGCATACACGGCACCCCACTGGCCGATGCAGGCGCCTCAAGAAGTCGTGGATAAATACCGTAAGTTCAGCAAACGAGTTGGCGTTGCATTTGGAGACTGATTCATCTGTGCGTCTTTAGGAGGGAAGTACGACAGTGGACCGGACAAGCTCAGACTTGACCGTCTCGCCAAATTGAAAGCTCTTGGTCTGGTAGCGCCTGACGTAGAGGCTGCCGACCCCGTTGGCTTCGAGGCCGGTGTGAAATGGGAAGACCTCACAGACCACGAGCGAGCGGTGTCTTCAAGGAAAATGGAAGTCTACGCGGCCATGGTGGATCTGCTCGATCAGAATATCGGCAGGGTAATTGATGCGCTCGAGGCGTCTGGCGAACTCGACAACACCTTCATTCTGTTCATGTCGGACAATGGTGCCGAAGGATCCACGTTGGAAGCAGCGCCTGTACGCCTCGCTCCTCCTGGCAAACTGATGATTTGACCCCTCGTGTGCTAATTTCGAGCTTTAGTTATTGTCGTCTTTCAAAACACTGGGCGATTTAATTGCGGCTTACTATGACAACAGCCTCGAGAACATTGGCCGGCATGACTCGTACGCCTGGTACGGCTCGCGCTGGGCCTGCGCCGCCACGGCTCCTTCACGCGGCTTCAAGGGATGGTCGACAGAGGGAGGCATCCGCTGTCCCTGCCTCATCCGTTTCCCGCCGTTCTTGGCCGCGCCGGAGGCCATTTCACATTCTTTCACCACAGTCATGGACATTCTCCCCACCATTCTTCAGCTCGCCCAAGTGCAGCATCCCGGGACGACCTTCCGAGGCCGCCAGGTCGTCGAGCCCCGTGGCAAGTCTTGGGTAGATCATCTCGTCTCGCCTGACGACCATCCCGCAGTTCACGAGGATGCCAAGCACATCCACGGCTGGGAGTTGTTTGGCAATCGCGCAATTCGTAGAGGCAACTGGAAAGCCGTCTTGCTTGCAAAACAAGGCGGCGAGGGCTGGGAGCTGTACAATGTAGAGGACGACCCGGCCGAGCAACACAATCTAGCAGAGACGCGCCCCGACGTTCTAGAGGAAATGCTCGTTCACTGGGCTACGTACGTCGCCGAGACGGGATTAGTTGAGGACGCATTTTAGGATGCCGTCTGGAGGAAATGGCGTGCTCGGGGTCCATAATCGCGCAAACCACATCCAAAAAGTAGCCGCTCAGCCGCCATCGCCGAGAATCCTCGAGGGGATCTCTCTCTGTGTGAAATTATGAAGAGCAATTGTGACAATCGACATGACATATAGGAAGACACGGACCGGCTGCCTGGCCTGTAAAGCCAGGAAGGTCAAGGTAATGCATCAATCGTAGGCGTGCGTATGATATTAGACATGCCCACTAACCTCGGTGATAGTGCGACGAGGCAATCCCATGCACTGCCTGTGTCCGACGCGGCTCCGTGTGCAGTCTGAAGGCCCGGGAAAGGTCGCCTCGCAGTCGGACACAATCACCTCGCGACCGAAAGACGACACCGCCTCGGCCTGCCCAGCATCTCCCTCTGATTGCCCCATTGCCAACAGATAGATTGGCGGCCGAAGATAGGGCACTGTTAAGTCACTGGCACACGGTTGCGTTCAAGAGCGTCGTGACCCAGGAAGATGCCCGAGATCTGTGGCAGGACGAGGTCACGCATCTCGCCCTCGAGCACTCGGTCATCCTGAATCTAGTGCTGGCCATCTCATCCTTCGAACAAGCGTACACTGCCCACTCCTCATCCACTGAGCCGAAAGCTAATCGTCGGCGGCGAGATGTATGCGCCCACCGAGGCTTCAAATACTCGCAGAATGCCGTCGTGATGATGCGGCACACTGTGTCCAAAGTGAACCGGGAAAACGGCCCCATGTGCCATCTCGCCTCCATCCTCATCCTCATCAGCTCCTACGCAGAAGGCTGCCTCAAGGAGCTACTGCGCGACAAGAAGCAGCCCCCATCCATGCTACAGGACCTCCTCGTGACCTGCAAGCTCACAAGAGGGTCCAAGGCCATCGCGGACACCTTTGGCGTCATCCGCCCCGAGCGGCGGGAAAAGGTCCTGTTCGTCAGCGATGCCGAGCCGCCCGAGCACGGCCCACTGGATCCGATATTATGCCTGCTCGACTCGCTTGACTTTCTCAACGACGAGAGGGATCCCGTCGTGAGACGCGTCTGCCAGGACGCCCTCGACCTGATGAGGTGGCTGGTTGCCAAGGCGCAGACGTCGGAGTGGTGGCCTGCACATAGGGCTTCTCTGCAGTGGGCGTGTTTTGTCAGCCAGGACTTTGTGAAGCTCTGGGAGGCTCATGAGCCTGCGGCGCTCGTGGTCGTTTCGTATGGCTGCTTTTTGGCGAACGGTCACGTAGGTGATTCGTTCATCTTGACGGGCTGGAAGGAAGGGGTTTGTGCGGAGATCCGAGAAATGGTTGGTCCGAGTTGGGCGTGGGCTGTGGCGAGATGAGGACGACATGATCTTTCGTAGTTGAGAGTAGTCCATCAAGTCGGCAGCAGCTGTTTTCTTCGCTGTTTGCAGCCTTGACGCGATTCCTCAGCCAAGCTTATCGACAATTGAGGCGTTTCCAACAAAAACCGGTCCTGTACAAGTTGCAGCACTCCGTCCGTCGGATGGGGGCACGCATCACTGCCACAGACGAACAGTAAAATCAACAAGCTTTGATTGCCGGCAATGTGGTGGGTGCTTGGACAACGCGATGGTGACGGCAGTGAGATGGGAGAGGGAAGCGACGATATCAGCATGCTGTCGTTGAACATCAGCCTCTTGTTCATGGTTCTTGCGAGTGGCTGCAGCCGACTACGGCAGCTCCGACCAGAACGACGATTTCCTCTACTACTTCTACCGCATACCGCAGAGAATTCATAGCGATTGAGAGGCGACTCCGAGCGACTGGATGTTTGGCGGAGAACACTAAACACAGAGAGCTGTTGAGAAGGAATGGTGCGACAAACGTTAGCCTCAATCCTGTCGTGCAATTGAGGCAATCATGTTGGAGGGGGTTTAACATGCTGCTAGGGGAATATGGAGGGAGTCGGTCAGCCGTACGATTACGCACGATACACTACTGTCAAGCGGACGGCACATGCATGGCGAGAAAGATTTGCCTTGCAATTTGGATCATACGAACAAAGTACGAAGAACGTTTACCAGCCCGGCCAGGTACAAAGTTGAAGGGTTTCCCTTCTGCAGCCAAGACATGGCCCTCATATCAGTCAGTCAAAGCTGGAAATACACTTAGAAACGAAATCATTCCTGCGACAGCAGCACTTCTCTCCACTCTTCACCTTTAGATGTGGTCCTACATCTAGACCAAGCATCCTAGTCTCAGATGTAAGCCAAGTAGCTTGTGTCGGTGTGAATGATCGGCGGGGTCTTCTTGCGCTGGACCGTCCACTTGATGCTCGGTGCATACTGCCTCAAGGCCTCGCAGGAAGCCGAGACCTGCTCCTGCTTAGGGTGATCTGGGTGGACCAAGATGACCTTCTCAAGTGATGGAATATCTTTGAGTCCGCCGTCATGGAGTGTTTGCAGCATCTGTCCTGCCTGCTCAATGTTCTCGAGGGGGAGGAGGCCATTAGGAGTCTCCGACTTTATCTCGACAGTCCGCAAGTCCGTGCAAGTCTCCTTGAGAAGCTCTAACACTCGGATGAAGGCGGCTTGGAGTACGGGGGGTCTTCTGGAGGCGAACGACTTTGGGAAGTTGAAGCTGATGTGCCTCAAGAAGCGCGCGTTGACCCCAATCTGTTGGAGGAACGGCGTGAGGTAGGGGACGGCGGAGTAGAAGGTGAAGCAATCTCCCTCGGGTTGGCGGAAACAGTACGCATCGGGAAACTGGAAGAGGTTCTCGGCATAGAGAATGCGCGTAGCCTCTCGGTGAACAGTCTTATTGACACGCAAAAGAGCGGAAGAGAGACCCGCAGGTTTGCGAAGGAGGGGTGCGTCGAGATGGCAACGCTCGAAACCAAAATTGATCGGGGCATCTTTGACGAGGACTTCATAGTAGATGCGGAAGCGGATCTCAACAGGAGCCGTGAGGAAACCGGAGCTGAGAGACTCAAGTGACTCAGACATGCTGTTGGCTGATAGTCAGTATCACAAGTATCGGTGATATACAAGGCATTGGCGTACTTGGACTCTAGAACGTAGAAGGACATACTCGGTGAGGATGTGCTTTTGAACAACCAAAGTAATCAATTGCTTGTTAGTTGGCAGACAGTCGTCGGGGGAGATGGGTTCAGGTGTTGAGCAAGCGGATTGCCTAGAACAGGTGCAGCAGGCGCGGGCTCGTTGGATTGAGCAGACGGCAAAGCATCAATTGATCGCAATGAGGTACGCAGACAACACTGGACCTCCTGATTTTAGCTACCCTGTGGAGAGCGGTGCGGTGCGGTGCAGTCAGCAGCTGTTCGTTGCTCAAGACAAGCAGCTTGAGCGATATCGACAGATCCCGCGATCGAGGTGGAGAAATCGGAACCCCGCCTTGGGTGTAGGCATTGGGCATCAATGCCTTCGGTATGTGCGAGTGGTTGGTGAAACAAGATGTCTTTGATTCTCGGTCGGTCACGAAATCCAGACCACGGACGCATAAATGAGGCGTCCTACCTTGCAGCAGCAATAGGAGGAGTATGGGATCTTTGTCGGCCCCTCTGCTCTGCTGCAGGTTGATTACCACGGTCGGGCTCCATTCAGGCCGAGCCACGTCTGAGACACTTTGGCGCCGATGGCCAGAGGCAGCGTCGTGGCCAGCTGGACCGGCAGTTACGAGTCGCAATGGATGGGTGCCATGCAGCTGCTCCGGGCCACACTCACCACTCACCACTCACCACCCCCCTCCACTGCCCAATACATGTGTGTACATGATATCATGTGCGCATGTGACTCGGGCGGTGGTTCTGTTGCAGGCGCCTACAGATGGAACGCAACGACGGCAGCTGGGGTAATTGACGTGGTCCGCAGCTGCAGGATAATACTGCATGCAACCCGGTGCTCCCCCGTTGATGGCCATACCCCAGCGTACAGGACGTGAATTAATTCCCCTCTCTGCAATGATTAACTCTAAATTACGCCCACACTGGCCGAGTGAAACATATGTGCTGGGCGAGGTGGTAGCACAGCGTCACGCTATTGAGGACGAGAGGCTTTTCCCGGCCACTCGCAGACGCCAAGAGGCGCCTTCCCTTTGGAATTGGTCAGAACGCATGATAGCGGGAGGCCACTCGGATAGGAGCGGAAAAAAAAGCAGACACAGACGTCCAGTCTCAAATGCAAGTCTGAAGTTTGAGGGAGCACGATATGTCCTGTTCCACTCGGTGGGCAGAATGTGGATTGGACTTTTTGCATATCCACTCCCATCGAACGGCTGCTTTCCGAGATGCTGATCATCACATGTTTGCTATTTTTTAGAGTAGCTTCTAATTCGTCTGCGGGTGCGTTCGTCGGTGTACCTGGGCTCTGAGAAGAAGTGCCTAAATCCCGCCCGGGAAGCGCACGGGATAGTGACTGCATCAAGGCGTTTGGTGTCTCTCAGCATTCCTGAGCCAGAGCTGGCTCAGCAAGAATTCCATAGCTATAAGAATGATGCTTCCTCCCAACATCTAGCCCTGGAATTCCATTCCCTTCCATGATATTTTAAATTGTATCCCAGGTCACCAGGCATAGGGAAAGCATTAGACCAGACAGCCTTGCTTGCACCCCAATCACAATACCTTACTGAGAGGTAGCACCTTCCTTCAGCTCCCAGGCTGAGCACCTGCCTAACTCACCGTACCTGCCTGAGGCACTTCGTCGGGAAGCAGCTTTATGCTTCCATGTAGTAGGTATGTGACTTCGCATGTATTGAGCTCCTCCACTCGGAGCAAACCTCATCCATCGTTCACCACCAGACCGCCCAGACACATCACCTCTATCGTCTCTTTATTAACGAGCAACCTAGGAACAATGATGTATAACAATTGCGTCATGGAGAATTGTGACATTCTCATCCAAGCATTGGAGCGATTCCTGCAGGAGGAAGCCGAAGAAAGGCAACCCGATGCTCCGGCTCCAGATTCGTCGGCCGCCGACGACAGACAACCCTCTGCTCTAGATTTGCTGGCCGCCATGCCCGTAGACGGCAGAGAGCGCTCTGCTCTAGATTTGCTGGCCGCCACCGCCAGTGAGAGGCGAAGCTCTGCTCCAGCCACCATCGCCAACAACAGGCAGCGCCCCCCTCCAGATTCATCGGCCACCACCGCCAACGGCAGACGACGCTCTACTTGCTCGCCGTCGGCTGCCATGCCCGCTGACGATACGCAGAGCTCGGCCCCAGGTTCATCGGCCGCCATCGCCAACAACAGTCAACGCTCTGCTCCAGGTTCATCAGCCACCACTACCAACGACAGACCACGCTCTACTTCCGGCTCGCCGGCCACCATGCCCACCAACGGTAGGCAACGCTCTGCTCCATCTGCTTCAGATTCCTCGGCCGCCATGTCCGTGGACGACGAGCAACCCTCTGGTCCAAACATGTTGAGCGCCATGCCCGCCGAACTCGTGCACCAGGTGATCCCAGAGCTTGACCCCGTGTCGCTCATCAATCTCAGCCAAGCCAGTCATGGGTTTCGGGACATCATCAAACCAAGCAGGGAAGACTTCGTCGATCGGCTTCTCGCCCTCGAGTGCACTGAAGAATATGGTGGTGCCGAAACATTCATCCACCGGCGAGTTTGGAGACCTCCCAGCGAGATGCACATGCACTACAGTCCAGAGCGGTACCCTTCAGCTGACGACACGAAATGGGAGACCCAGCGATTCGCGTGCGGCGGCTGTCTGAAGCTCCTGCCTCACTATCAATTTGACAATCGCTCCATTCAGCATGAACCCTTTCGGAAACCCATGTTTGGCACTCCGTCTGCCGATATCCCAACGACGTGGAAGCCGAACTTGAGAGGCACAGATCGGAAACATATCAGCGGCCTGAGGAGGGCTCAGCGGAAGGAGCTTCGCCTGGTGGAGAGCGAGCTGCCAGAGGGCGACCCTGTTCTACTCCAGTACACAGCAGCGTTCAAAGCTCTCGGGCTCGACTTTAAGCGCGAGCTCAATTCTCGGCTGGTGAGAGGAGTGGATGAGTTCGTGGTAAACGCACATGGACGGCCCGTGACGACCGTAAATCCCCGGACTGTGACCAAGATGCTCACGGAGATTAGTCGCCGGGGTCAAAAGCGCCGCAACCGCCGATGCATTGAATGTCTGTTCCAGAAACAGAGAGATCTATGCAAAGCCCCCCCCAGTATCGGGGACAGAACTCCCCCCATGAAAAGGAGTCGACACGTCCGTTGCGGAAGCGCCCTACGTCGGTACTTCCCGGGCTATTCAGAGATCTATGGCAGACAGTCCCCGCCGATTCCAAGCCTGAGAATGCCATCCTTTGTCCGTTTTGTAAGGTTCCAGGAGATGTGGAAAATGGTTATGATCCGATGCTCTGGATGCGAGGTCTGGCAAGAGATGCGAGCATTCCGACTTAGCGGGTCACTTCTGGGTTGTGCATTCGAAATTTCAGCGGATTCATGGGAGGGAATGATCGAGTGGGACGCGGAGATCATGGAGCAAGAGAGCCTCGGTGAAAGCGTTTGCAATCGCTGCTTTGCCAACAAGCATGGCACAGATCTGCTGAAGCAGGTTCTGTTCCGATGGCTGTCTTATGAACAGTCGCAGGAGCTCGCACGCATCGAGGCATTGATCAAGGTCGGCTGGATCTCGATCACGGACGCCCTCACGAGCTCCAAATTCAACTCGGAGCCTTGGTCTAACCTCAGGAGAATGCATAGCATTTCTCTCAAACGCATCGCTCCAATCCTCAGGAGAGATTATCCGCTCAACTTTGGCTCAATGACGCTTCTGAGATCATGGTATCAAGTGCTTTTCCGCAAGGGCACGCGCGACGAAGCGGAGATTTTTGCAGACTATTTCAGCCCAACGCGCAACTGGGAGTTTCAATGGTTGATGAACTTCCCGCTTCTCCAGTCGCACTGGTTCCATCTCACGGACATGATAGAGGTGGTCCAGGCCGACAAAGACCGGCTTGTGAATTGGGCTCTGGATCCAAGTCTGGGCCTGCCATTGCATCGTAAGGATGAGCGCTCCCTGAACAACAAGCGCAATAAAGGGCCACGCAACCCTCCTTGCCTTTGATTTGTCGCTGGAGCTTTCGGGTGAGGGTTAAAAGATTGCCGGATCGTATTTTGTTGCTATCTGAGTTAACATTCGTGAATTTTTTTTTTTTTTTTTTTTTTTTTTTTTTTTTTTCGTTGTTTGTTCAGTTCGGATAGGGGTCTCCTTCGGCGTTCAAAATCAGTCACTCACACGCAGCACGGGATTTCCCTTGCTTGCGCCTAAAAGCTACCTAAATTGAATTGAGTCGTATTATTCTATATTCATCCTTCCCCGCGACGAACCGTAAGTGCGAGAATAAGGTAAGACCCATCCCACCGCCTCTCCCACACTCCTCTGCCTAGAGTTCTACTCGTATGCCCATGGGATTTGACCTTGGATTACGCCGCCTAGCATGGCCATCCGTTGAGTGTCGCCACCTAGCTCCTGTGGAGGCGAGGACATCTCGTTGGTGTAGAGTACGCGGCAGTCGAGCTCCATGGAGGTGCTGTTTCATCTCTCTTGTAAGGGTCGCCTACAAGCCTTTGCTGTTTGTGGCTGCCCCTATGGCTCCCAGCAATGCCACACCTACCACAGCTCTGATTGCTGCACCTGCAGTAGCCCCAACAGAGAGCCTGCTGAACGACGGCCTGATCTCATCCAGAGAGCCATCATTCTGAAACGAAGCTTGGATTGTTGGCTCTGGACTTGAGGAGGTATGGAGCTTCTTGCGCTCACCTTTATACACTTCTCGCGCGACGGCCGCTGCGCTTGAGAGGCAAGCCGTCCGACATGCTCGGTGTTATCTAATTGCACCGCCTCCAGATCGATCTTCAGGCTACCATGTGCCGTAGCTTCTTCCAGCAGGCTGAAATTCCCGAGGCTTTTATCTAGGTGCCTTCCGATTTCCCTAGAGCCATCCCGGTGCTGAAGGGAACACTGCATCCGATGGCCAGCAGGAGTGACAGCAACAGCAGCAGCTATAAGCAGATATGTACAATACCAATGGATACACCGTTTGCCAACTCATGTGCAGTCTATAATTTACCGACAATCCCCACGGGCGGAGGATTCGAATCTCCCAGAGCCGGCAGTGGCAGCGACGGGAGCATCAACCCAATATCTACATCCGCCACGGTGACTATTGACGATGGAGCTGAGGCAGGGCAGGTACCGTGTACAGCCTCATCACGGCAGCGTCCACCTTCTGCGCGACGGGGAGCTCACTTCAATGTCGCTTGATAGCCGGGTTTGTTTTTGTGTGTACCTGTGAGCAACACGATGGCGACCAATTGTTCTAGTGCGTAGGTTGATGCAGCCTCAGCGAATTCAGACTTGAGCCCCTAGCATCCTCTGCGCAGGTGCGACATGAAGGAAGCAGTCGAGCGAACCAACATTTGTATCCACGACGAGTTCGAGTCGACCAATGCCCTACACGATAGGCCCTGACGCAACATCAGTATTGCCGATTGATGGATGGCTGGTACGTTCTGTGTGAATGGGCGAGAGCCAAATTGGCTGGCTATGAAGATGTGCATTTTTGCTGGAGGGCATCGAGCCGTCTATGATGGAATGGCCGAGCGACTTGTCTGGTAGCTGTAGAAACACGATGTTCTGGCGGTGTACCAAGAGTATTCACACTCGAGCTGTGTCCATCGCAGCGCACAGAGTGATGACTGGGTATCATGGGTATCGCCTTGATGCACTTGCATCTCAAGTCTACCATCCTGTTCAAACTGGGAAGCATTCGCATCAAACAGCCAAGGTTTTTGACCCCAACCCAAAATAAATTGAAATTGGCTAAAAGAAGATGGCTACAGTTGGATTGGAACCCGACAGACACCGACCAGCAGGTATCTGTCCGTTAACAAGTGGCCAAGACCATCACCTCGCTAAGCTATTAAAACTCCTCGTTTCTAATGTCGGACGCCTGTTAATGGAAAGCTACGTGCCTAGCTTTTATAGGATCTCGCGGCCGACAAGGTCAGAAAGCTCGAGCTCGTCATCTCTGGTCGTGAGGACCTCGATATCCCGGGCGTCTAGGTCATCAGGCTCATCTAGGTCATCTTTGCCCTTCTTTTTCGTTAAAATGAATCTCATTGCAGGATACTTGAACCATTCTACCATAGTCTGAAGTTTCTTTTTGTGAATTTCCGAAGGTGTGGGCAGTTTAATCTTCAAGTGGCCTCTCGTGGCCCTCTGTACCGCCGTATCAGCATCATCGCCAAAACGCCAGTGGACCGACCGGCTATTACCTGCCCGCTCATGCTTGGGGTTTTCATAGAGGAAGTTGCGGGCGAGTAGGTCGCAGTCCGCGTCGAAATCTCGGGTGTCAAAGTCCCTAACCTCATCCAAGTCACGAGAAGCGAGGCCACCTCACGGGCTATTCTATTTAGGTTGGATGGTTGAGGAGAACGGTTAACAAGACCAGCAACAAGCACGAGATTTATAGAATCTACCTGCATTTCAATACCTAAGCTATACTCCTCCAATTTGAACAATGCCTCTGTATGTAGCACAGTCGTGGTTGGGCTGTTCTGCTTGCTTGAGGAAGTGCATGGCAGACAAGGCCTTTTGCCCCGTGCTCCTGGTCTACGATTGCGGTTCCTTTTGCCAGCCGACACGGGTCTTAGGCTGACTCGAGTAAATTAAGTATTTGAAGGTGTAAACCCCCGTTGTTCTACGGTCATGGAAGCGATTGTGCATCCGCAAGCCTCGTGCAGCGCCCGCAATTGGCAATAATAGCCCGTGGTCGGAGTAGATTTGATGGCAACGGGCCAGGAAGCACGTTGCACGGCGACGGCGTCAATTGGATGCCCGTCTCCCGGCTCATCGGCACTCCGAATGCGACGGAATGGTATTTCGAGAGCTTTCAGAAAGTGTTTGCGGTAACGGCCGAGGTTGAGGGACGTGGTGAAGGAGTACGGGTGCTATTGAAGGGAAACTAACGTAAGAGGGATAAGTCGCCGAAGTAAAAATATACTTACAAATAAGCCAATAGTAGCAAGAAAGAATGTAATGTCGTACCGTCGCCATGGCTCTATCTAAGACCTTACTTGATGAAAGAAACCAGTCACTTAACTCGACAAACACTATTGACAAGGCAGCTGGTATAGAAAGACTGCAAAAGATGCTGTCCCTAAAAGCACAATGTGCTACAGTGACCGAAGACGCCAAATGTAAAATGATGCTCAAGAACGCGTCGGTACTGGTGAATCCTCAGGTTCACTTCAGCCTGGGTACTTTCCCCGCCGCGTCTCCCCTCCGCTCCTTCCACCCACTGAACACTCCTGCCACACTTTGCACTCTCTTTCCATCTGAAATCTACAACATCTTTCCAGTCATTACTGCAGCCATACTATCATCGGACGAAAGCCATATAAAGCAAAATGTATCAGTAGTATCTACGGTACAAGAATGATACTGACTCTTTGGCTTCATGGCTAGCTTCTACAGCTGAACATCACGGCCACCCGTTGGGCCCCTTGCTCAGGGATCAAGGAAACGCATCAACCCAAAAGTCCACCGGAAGACTCAAGGTCAAAGCACGCCGGGAAGCGCGCAATGCTGAACCAAAGTCCGCCAAGTACATTATCCCTCTGCATGACTTCACGCAACTGGCTAACTTCATCGCCAAGAAACGCCCCCGTGTTGACATCCCACCCTCACTCATCTCGACCTTCGACCGTTCTATTAACCTCCGAGCTGGATTCGCTAGGCTTCTCGCACAGCAAGGGATGTGAGATGCATCCTGCAGCCTCATCCTTCTGTCGAAACAGAAGAGCAATCAAAGCCAACATCTGAGGATGAGAAAGCCCCGAGGCTCCCCGGCGGTGGCTTGAATAACCGATTCTCCACACTCTCCGTCGATGAGCCGAGCCAAGATTTCCTGGAGATTCACCAAGGAGTGCGATCCCGCCGCTCTCTCTCCATCTCCACAAACGTTGCGACATCACTCGGCCGGGGCCTGATTGATGGAATTGAACCTCTCTTGGAGAAGGCCAAAGGAGGATCGCTGGCCATGATGGAAAGATGGGATGGATTATGGAGAGAACACAGTCGAGAATACAGCCAAACCAATGCCACCAGCCCTAGGTCCCCCGAGCGGTGCAATGCACGATGCAGTCAAGCGCATAAGAGATCCATACTTCTCATCCTTCAGTAACTCGATTTCGATCCCTCAAGGCCCAAGACGACGCAATGGCCATCCGCGATCTTTCAGCTCTCGAACCGACCTCGGCCAGAGCATAGGGAGGCACTCGGCTGGTGAAGGGAGAGCCAGCGTCGAGGTTGCTGCAGAGGATGGGCTGCCATATAAACTTGCACCACCGACCGAGGAGGGCGAGAATGCATCTATTGACGTTGGAGCAGACTTGGGTTGTATCGCCGGACTTTTGATTGATTGGGAGCTGGGTGCTGGGCGATAAATGTCGGTGCCAGAATGAAGATTTCCTGCCTCGTGGGCAATTTATTCGACAAACCAGACAGTCGAGGGCCATTAGCTAAGTTATAAATAAAACCCCTTTTTTTTCTTCCAAGCGACTTTCTTACTTCCTTCTGTGGCTGTCTTTACTGTGTACGTGCCTGCGCACCGGCAGCTGATCTGTGCGGTGACTCGAACACTTCCTCACATGAGAGAGTTCGAGTAAAAAGTTGAAACAGCAATGACAGATGCCGGGCATCTGAACGCAAAGGTCATCGGCGCCCCTTCAGCTAAGTGATTTGGCCATTCAGACACCATTTCCAGAGAGGACCCGAGGCTGGCTCCTGAGGCAGTCGAGTACCGCGCCTGCCCGAGCTAACCCGCTATCCATGTTCACCCCGCCACCGCCGAGCCAAGGTGCATGGCGGCACTCAAGAACCCTCCAGCATCTTCAATGATGCTATCTGCGGTGTCCTCTCCCCGTCAACATCGGTGCTTAGAAGAGGTAAAATCCATTTATCGCTAGAGTCTTAATTATTGAGCGTCTGCAAGCTCTCGAATTAGCATTCCGCGGCATTTGGAGTGCTGATGAGCCGTGCATCGTGCATTCTCCCTGCACCGGCGACGTTGAAACTAGTTTGTATGTACAACGTTGAACGCGCCAAAGGGGTTTGATAACAAAAAGATAAAGAAAAATAAAGAGAGAGAGAGACCAGAACCTTAGATTTGTCCATTAAAATTTCGGTCGCCTAATGATGCTCTTGCTGTGCTGTCGGGAGGATAGAACAGAGTGTTCCTCTCTCTCTGACGTGCATTGTTACTGTGCGATGCGTCACTGCGCCACCATGAGTTCAGGTTGTCTGGGAACTGATGCACTTTTGTTCAATTTCGGTTTCAGAACTTCAATAACTAAATCGCAAACTCAAATCCAGTACCTTTTTTTCCTGCTTTTAAGGCAAACCCGCCTTGTTAATGACCATAACGTGATGTTTCTCCTGCTCGATATTTGACCAGCAAACGCGCAGCTCATGTTGAATGTGTGCCCGAAGCAGTTGCTGGGCACCTAATGTAAATGCCGCCTTAACTCTCTCTGGAGAACGCCCGAACGCGACAATTAAAAAAATCCGACCCTGTAAACATAGGAAAAATAAAACACACGATCTGAAGATGCCAATCCCGTCCATAAAACCATGCTGCCAGAGTCTTCAATCACTTCATACCTTTAAGCGCAGTAGGGAAGGACCGAGTCTGGCAGAAAACGTGGAGCTCACCTACCTGGCAACAACGCACTCCTTGTTGCCATCAATTGCCTCGCTCTCCTTTCCACATCTACCTAATTACCTTGCTCTCCTTCGTTTCCCGACGCTCCTCCATCGCTATCGATATCTCGATACGGGCCCATGGCTCAATCCCCACGATCCCCATCAGATCTTCGACTTCGGGGTGCAGACTTTGTGAATCCATCAGATGCGGGCGAAGAGCAGGGAAGTGTTCTATAAAGTATTGCGCAGCGCCGTGGTCAAGTTCATGATAGCTGCCGCATGGTCAGTATGGACATCATCGTTTTGTCTGGGCCGGCAACCTACAGCGACGCTTTGATGGCTTGGCTGAACACGGGATCGTCTACGCCATCGTCCACAGCGAGTGCAAAGTTTCTCGCCACTACTCTTTCGATCGGGAGTGTCAAGAGAATGTGCATGCCAAGCTCATCTGCCATCTGTTCGAGAACCACGCCTTGCCTTAGGAGTTTATTAAAGTAATCGGTTGGGCGGCGATGGGTTTTTGCAAGCTTTTCCAACGCTCGCTGATGGGCATTTCCCAGCCGCAAGCATGAGTTTACGACTAACTCTAATCCATCCGCCATCCGCCGGACCTTTTTAATACACGCGACAGAGGCGAAAAGTTCCGCCACGCCAGCGGCGCAGCTTATTGTTGTGATATCATCGCCGTGGCCAGGCCACTCGCACTGCATGATCAGCTGCAGAACCCGCGCCTTCGTGATACTGTCAAGATCTAAGTGATTATCTGTGCCAAGCTCCAATTCATTGCCCGTGAAGGCCCACACAAGCTTCTGGCCGTATGGAGTAAGCGATCTGCCGAGATTCGTTTCTATGGCAGGTTGCTGTCTGTTCTTGTTTCTGGGCTGATGCGGATCTGCGCAATGCACACCCCCTCTCCTGTCGATGGAGGCCTCTGGAACTCTAGCACCGACAACGTCGATATCCATATCTTGAATATCAATAGAGTACTCGGCACAACTGTCATCGCACCACAGAAGCTTGGAAGGTTCCCACTCCTCGTCCGCGTAGTTCACTGATTCGGTCTTGGTGTGCCCTACTGTGAAGCCCTGGTGGTATGTTCCGGGAAGGGTCACCACCACCTCACCGGCTTTCTGGTCGACAATTGTGTATGCTATTCCCCACTCCTCAAGCAGAGATCTGCTGAAATAGAGTCGTTCATGTCGAACGAACTGGCCGCAATGCGAGGTCTTAGCGTCCTCACCACGCATTTCCGCAATCTCTTTGCGTATTCTCTCCTCAAACTTTTCCTTGGCGTCTGGGGAGACACAAATCCACACTCTCCTCCCCTCATAGAGTAGATGGAGCGAGTACAGATTACATTCCTCCAAACTCATCACGAATGGTGTCCCTTCGAGTATATCTGTTTCATAGCATCGTGGGGTATGTATACCATCGATGCAGCGTCGCGTTTGAGCAAGGCGGTTACCGTCCAAAGGGTGAATGGGACTTGTCGTAGGGAGGCCCATCCCCTCCCGTTCAACCTCGGACCTGATAGGGATTCCGGCTCGATATCGAAGTCCTGAAAGTGAGTTGGATTCGAGCCGCTCCTCCTGCTTCTTGATCAATTCCGCTACAGATGGCAAATGCTCAGAGTGCACATTACGGCCACCTATCAGGGATGCGTTCCTCGTGTATTTGAGCTCAACACGCGACAATCCTTTTCCAAGTGCCTTACACGAATACTCGAGATATGACTTTGGGCGCCAAGCTATGGCCCTTCGGCCAAGTGTTCGACCATTGAGCAAGGTGAGTTTGAACACTCCCTGGGCACGAGCATTTTTCTTGATCGCCCAAGAAAGTACACAAGGGAAGTCTTTGAGTTTGTCTGAATGGATGGACAAGTCGACAACCCCTGTTTGGAGATCACCAAACCGTGGGCGGGCCTGTTGAGTAGCATGGGCTTGAGGAGTATTGCCTAGACTCTGGGGTTCTGCACTCTTCCGTTGCTTCTGAGCACCTGAGTCGCGAGGATCATCCTCATTTTTTCTCTTATGATGAGCAGTGCCTTGGTCAATTGGTGTTCCCTTCGATGTTTTCTCGGCCGGGATCCCACGTGGCTCTTTGTGAGTGTATCTCGTGGTAAAAAAAGGCGGTGCTGGGTGGCTGTCACTGTCGCTGTCGTCTAGGGTGAGATCTATACACTCCCGTGGTGCATTGGTGGGTGGGCTCTCATTCCGGGGGGTTTGAATCGATCTGGGCATCGTGCCAAGAAGAGGAGCTTCGACAATTCTGGTTGGGATGAACTCGGCATCTGAGACCTTAGTCTTCATGCCTTCGGGGCGTTGCGCGTAGATGACGTCTTTAGTGGGCATGTCGCCCATGTTCAATTTCGGGATTCGGGTTTATGTCGACAATGTTTCTTGTTCTTCAATTAGACGCACCCTGGTGCATTGAGGGTGTCTCAGCAACTCACCGCGTTCGCTACTATAGAGGACTCCTTAGGCGGACAGGCCCTGTATCAGCAATACAGTCTGGACCGCCGTAAGATTGCCGTAGGGCTGACAAGTAAGTCCCCAGTTGCCGTGACGCTGTCTTCTGCCTCTGGTGACGTTGGGTGTCAAGGTGCGAGATGGAGGAAGATGATGCGGGGAACAGACACAGGCAAAGACAAAGTGCATGTTCGGCTGGACGCTCCGTACATGCATTAAACGCTTATTTACATATTCGTCTCAGCCACATTTTACTTTGTTACACAACTTCTCTGTTACCCTAGATGTCGGTGCGACAACAGAGGCCAACCAGATCACGGGCAACTACAGACGAGCCAGAGCACATACAGGTACCTAGTAGCCAGCTTCCTGACGGCTAAATGGGGAAATACAGCTAAAACATAAATAATTCTCTCGGATTGTGAGGGACAATGGAGCTACATTTCTTGACGACTGTGGTGGGTGGCATTGATGGTTATCGTCGTTATCGGCGCGAGTACCCATCCCGAAATTGATTTGGGAGCGCGCCCAAATGCTGAAACAAACTGCTCTGTTAATGTCACCTACCTATTCCCTGATATGTTTATGCTCTACTCCCTAAAAATTCCGGTCGCAGGTAAAATTTAAATAAACTCCAACCGTCGATGGAATAGAAAATGCAAGCGTACGAGGGGCATCCAGCGACGATGCTACGGTGCCTCCAACCGACCCCCCCAAACGATCCTCTCCCGGTGCCGGACTGGAGAACGTGTGTCAGACGGGAGAGAATCTACCCGCTCTCTTAGCGCCCAAATCGCCCCAAATCGCCCCATGGGTGAAATCTCCCCGTGGTGGGTGGGATCAAGGGTCCAATGCGCGCACCGTGCATTATCACAGGCATGGATGCGTAACAGGCCTCGCAACAATGGACGTTCTAAGTAACCACCATCAGATGTGATGGCGGATGTCAATGGTGGGCGGCCATTCTTTCGGCGAGTAAGTGCAGCGTGCCATCAGCGGCTGGTGTGTTGCATTGTGTGCTGTAGGATGTGTTGGCAATGGCCAGACCGGTCACGCGCGCCTTCCAAATACAGAGCCGATTCGGCGCTAAGAGCGGGCGGGAAGGAGCTTGTGACCGACCCTCTGAGAGAGACCCCGCTGCCCAAAAATAATCTTATCTCGTTGTCTCTCCCCCTGCCGCGCATCATAAATACCCTCCATGGTTCACACAATGTCATGGTTTATCTTCATCTTCTTTCTTCAAGTCGCTTCCCAACTCGACAGCAACACCCACTATGCGCATTACGAAACCGCCAGCAACCACTCCCGACACGGGATCACTTAATCGGCGTTACTTGACTAATATGATGGCAGACACGAGCCGCCCCTTGCAAAGACCCCTTTTCTTCGCCTGCGATCACCTAGGACCGACTTGACCCAGCACGACACACGATGCAGCTTTCATCATTCCGACAGTATTCCGTAGCTCATTGAACTGTACTCATGCAGTGTTTGACAGTCCCCTGGCCTCCACTCTGCGACACGACTTGACTTCCGCTGCCGAGACTCGGACAAAAGACAAACATGCCAACTAAAACGGGCCGTCCCGGTCAAACTCCAGCATTCCATCGATCCGCCATCGACACGGCGTCCAGCTATCCACATTCAGCTCCGGAAAGAGGACCTTTCAAGCCGCCAATTTAGGACTAAGACCTTGTAAGAGAGCCTCCAGATTCGCCAAACAACAGTCTCAGCTAACATTATCGTGATAGATCTAACAGTTTCCGAGTTTCCTTCGATTGTTTCACTTGTGACGAGTCTAAATGGGACCATACCCGGTTGTTTGCGTTTCTCAGCCCTCCTTCGACGTGCCATCCAACCTTCGACGTGCCTTGCAACCTTATACGTGCCCTCGAACATTCCATGTGACCTCCAACCTTCTCCAAACGACAATGGCAATGTCCCAGCGCCCGCTTCCGTTGATACTTACTTCTACCTGACCTACACGAGCTACCGAGTCGATGAAACACCAAAGCGCTAGATGATGTCAAAACGCCACGACAGGGCGTAATGTGAAGAGAACTGATTGCGCTCCCCGATGTACGAACCTTTTGCCAGGACTTAGACGACCACTCCATCAAGCTGAAACGTCTAAACTTTTATTCATACGTGAGCCTTGCCCAAATCCCAACCCAACTTGAACACTCTCATCGTGGAAGACAACAGCTAACCATAAGCTAGGTCAGATATGACTATTTGCCGAGACAACACGAGACGATTGGTGATTGGGTTGGGCAGACGGAGAGGAATTATCTCTTGTATTTGACAGAGTATGCATCTTTTGAATCAGTGGAACGTGGATTATCTCCTCAATTAGCGGCGAGGTCTTTTCCCCTCCCGGGCAAGATTTGGGAGACGGTTGCAGATGCAATGCATGAAGGCATCTCTTTTGCCTCGCATCATTTGGAACTTCCTCTCAAACTTTGCTCGGGAGTGGACAAGCCTTGCTGCGGCCCCTGGTTGAGGAGATAATCCACGCCCCACTCATTGAACAGATTGATACTTTGTCAATGGACAGGCAGGGAGGGTCATTGAACCAGCTAGTTTTGTTATCTGTAGAAAAACATCAACCTTTTGACATCTTCTCATACTTTCTATTAAGAATACCTTCTCGTTTGCGGTGTTGTGTTATCCCCAACTCAGTATAAGTACCTACAATCAGTACCATCGGCGAACAAATTCGGCCACACCAGAAACCACCGAGCATGGCAGTACCTGTGCCGTCATCGTGCAGGTTGTGGCTGGTTCAGTCGACCTCGAAGCGAGCCGACAGCCACAGATGGTACGTACACTCAGTGGCTGTCGTGGGATGCCACCGACCGCTCCTGCCAAAAGATTCCAGTAGTAAAATGACACTGCCGCTCGATCCAAGTCCTTGCTTCGTGCCATTATACCTTCGACAATCGTCGCATTCGGCCCAGTACCTAACTCACCTATTATTACGAGAAGCCATTGATGTTTATCTGCCTGCTTCTGTGCCCCTTTCGTTGTTAGTCGGCAATTCGAGCGCCGTTCTTTTCTACAAGTCTGCATCATTCGGCATCAACAACCAAGAATCTCGAGCCACGATGGAGGCGTGCACGATCATCCGTACCGAAAACAAATCCTTCTATTGCCGACAACAGGGCCTCTTGGCTCGGCGCAGCCTAAGGTCCAAACAAACGAGACTGTCGACATGATCCATCGGCTCATCCAGCCTCTCGGCCATTGTTCGTCGATAGCGCACCAGGGGCTCACTTCAATGTGCTACGGAACCCCATCACCCCTTCTCTTAGCCTTTTTTCGAGCTCGCCCTGCTTGGCAATAATATGTGTATTGGCTGTCAGGCCCATGAGACCCTCCATGTCGTAGACGGCCTCCATAGGTACCTCGCAAACACAGACCTCACGGGCGTCATGGGTTCCTCCGCAGAAGACTTCGATATTGTTCCAATCGCCATACCGAGGACCTTGGTACCGTCCATGGCCACATCAAGCAATTTGTTCTAGGTGAGCATCAAGGAGTCAGACTGTACACGTTCACGGCTATACTGAGCGTGGGAAATTGATGTCTAACAGGTGGATTCGTTGGCCGCCGAGTTCCGCCGAGTTGGTGAGACGACAATAACGAGGCGCAAGCGATACTCAAGCGAGAACGAAACAAACCTGCATCGACAACACCAGGGCACATGGCCACGTTTCGGGTTCCGGCCGTCCTATTCGGCGACCCCAGAGATTTGCACATGCTCACGACCGCTGCCTTGCTCGAATAATAAAAGGGGGAGGGGAGTCCGTGGATATGTCCTGCCATGCTTGCCACCCAGAGAATGTTTCCCGCGCTCGCGATTCTCAGGCCGCAGCCAGTACTCAATGGCAATCTGGGCCAGCCTGGCAGGCGCAATTGTGTTCACGGCATACGTCTTGTTAGTTGATATGAGACCAGTTGCAGAGGCTAGTCTGGTGGAAGATGGCGAATGGGCCAGCACCCTTAGCCGGGCTCCGGTACTTATTGAGCGTCTTCTCGGCTTAGGGGCGCAATCTCATGTCTACCATTACAACTAAGCACCCCAGCTCAAGCAACCGCTGGGACAATCCGTGGCCGATGCCTATTTATGGTCAGGCATTCCAAGACTAGCCTTGAAGATGCCGTACCTGACCTGGCGCCGGTCACGATCGCAACAGTACCTGTGACTTCCCAAGCCGCCATCTTTGTTGGTCAGCAATTGAAGAGGGTCGCAATGATTTACATTCACAAGAATGGGCATGGTCGCATATAACATAGAGGGGGACTGGATGGCTTCAAGCTCAGCACATTATGCCCCCACCACTTGCCAGCAAGGCGAGATTAATGCGTCACACATCTCACCCTGAAAGCGGGAAACAAGCCCAAGAAAAGATCGTCGAGGCTGTTGGTGGAGGGGTCGTTACCCCAGACATAGTGGAGAGCAACAGGGGCATGCTCTCACCCCTACCCAGCTCAACGGTCGAACTGGGGCTCATTGCAAAGGCAGACGCCGAGGGACCTTTCTAGTCCTTCTTGTGTGAGATCTCTGAGACCACACGAAAGAAAGCATCCCCGTCTTCCACACTCCGTCCATTGTTTCTCGGGGAAACAAATAGAACCGAGAGGCGTTTACGTTTGGGCGTTGTTGGGAGCCCTTGTTATGAGAACTTTTTATGACGACAGGGTACACGAACCAACACGCATATTTCTCCAACATGTCTTACCAACTCGGGTCAACAATGCACATTGAAAGATGCTGGGTACCAGCTAGGCTGAAGACCCCTCATGAAAGATTCCGCCCTACTCTCGTTTTACCTAATGAGAGCTAATCGAGTGCTACCACTCCCTTGGTAGTCTCCTCTCTCGCCAAAGATAGTTGCTGCATGCATAAGCCTTGCATGGTTGGTCCTAAATTGGCACCGACATGGCCCAACGACCTCTGTTGGTCTCTACCTCGTTCGCTTATACATCATTCCTCCCTTTTGTTAAAAGAAGGCCTAGCCAAACTTGTTAGTTGTTGAGTCTAAAGTGGGCTTCAGTCGTACTTATCGCCCATTGAAACAAAAGCACTCGAGACGCCGCTTTCCCAAGTTTTTGCTCGATATCAACATCAAGAAATCATCTACATGACAGCCATCGTGGACAATGGACGAATCTCAGACATGGCATGCACTCCAACTTTCTGGTTTGGCGCTTCTCATCGTGGTGATCACGATACTTCTCACTGTTCTCAACCTCGTCGTCCTCCTGCTCAGAGGCTACATACGAACAATCAATCATTCGAATGGCATCGAGGATCACTTGATGTACATTGGGGGGGTATGATTTACCGGACTTCGTTCTCAAGTTTTGACTGGACTGACTGGCTATCTCTTCATAGATCATCAACTTGGGTCTCAATATCGCGGTCGTATACGGGTGCTATACCGGTATTGGTTCGTTTGATCACAAGCTGAATGCCTCCATCGCGACGGAGGGTGCCAAGGTCAGGACACTTCCCGCTGATTTTGGCAGAGCCACCGGTCGCTGACAGAGAGTTTACTTGGGCACCGTAGATGGTCACTGTTTGGCAGCTCCTCTACCTCACCTGCTCGCCCATCATCAAGATCAGCATTTGCGCTACGTTGATCCGAGTTGCCTCGCAGCGGCGCTATACTTACCCACTCTATGTTGTCTCTATTCTGGCCATAGCGATGAGCGTCATGGGAATAATCTGCGTCTTCGTCCAATGCACGCCATTCACAGCCTCCTGGACCGGCAAAGGTAAATGCATCCCAGCGGACGTCATGATGATCCCCGCGTACATTTTTTCGGCCGTCAATATCGCAATGGATTGGACTATTACAATCGTACCAGCGTTCATGCTGTGGAGCCTTCGAATTCGCAGATATCTAAAGCTTCTGGCCTCTGGTATTCTAGGAATAGGGATTCTGTAAGTCTCCCAACTCTTGTCGTCAAGGCAACTTCTCACTGTGAGGAATGCACGAGACAGGGCATCTACCGCTATGATTGTTCGCATGATATACGTTCTAAGCTATGGAAAGAGCACCAACAAGCTGCGTAAGTGCTGAATTCAGCCTCTTTGATACGTGGCACTGACAAGAGCAGACAAAATCGGCTATATCATACTTTGGGCTGTTGTTGAGATAAGCCTGGGGATCATTGCCGGTTCACTTCCTTCTGTTCACCAATCCTCCAAAGGCCGCTCCAAAGACAGCACCAGCCGCCGAGATTCGTACGGAACCGAATTGGGCACGATTGTGGGGAGAAGGAGAAGGCCGCCCCCGATCGTGCCTACATACAATGACTACGAGGTCACCACCACAATTGGCCAGGGGGATGATGGGAACAACGACACGGATTTCGACAAGGACGATGACAGCACGCGTCGGATGATTTACGTCACGCGGGAAATTCAGCAAACCTACAGCTAAGGGAAGATCAATGCCCGGATCACGGCTGCACAGTGGCACCGGATCGCGACTGGTGTTAGCCAATCTCGACCGGTATCGAGGTGCGGCCTACACGTCACGCTACATCATCTCGAAGAAGAATGTAAAAGGTTTGTGTTGGTGATGAAAGTTGGCGACACCTTGTCACGACTAGCCGCCAACGCCAAATGCCGGATGTATGGAGCCTGTGCTGGGTGCAAGAATGGGATGCTAGCTCAGGAGGAACAACAATCATTAGACTTTAGACGGCTATCGCTGGCAAATAGGATAGGTGGAATAGGCGATGCAACTTTTCCCTCTTTGGACCATTGCGCGTCGAATGCTCCAAATTTTGAGTTCGCGGGATCATCCTAGGCGTGTCACGTTTCAGGCACGGTTCCAACTCGGTGTAAGAGGGCCCTTCTGGCGACCTCATGAGTCGTACGGTCAATTGAGTGTAGGTAGATTGCCAGTTAGGTACTTGAGTTACAGCAGCAAACCAGTGAAGCATCATGTAACCGCTACTTCGCTTGGACGTGCATATGCGTGGGCGTCCAAGTCGGCCGACCCAATGTTGCTGCAACCCCCACCCTACACCCAACATAAACGCCGTACAAGCCAACGTAGGGGTACATTTAGGACTGCATTGTTCTGTTACATGTGAAGCCCAACCCGATTACGATTACGTACCGCGCGTCGTTGCATTTTCCCAAGGGTCGACAGCCGGTGGTCACTCGGGATGTTTCAGACGGAGGGGGTTTTGGTCCCTCTCGCACACTCGTCCAATGCACTGCTGCCCCAACATCGCAGCAACACTCTTGCATGGCTGCGACAGCTGTGGATTGATTTACCACCGCTCAAGGCGAAGCAATCAGGTATGAATCTTGCACGTATGATGGTATGGGCAATATTTGTGAGGTCAAAATGGGCCGGGGCTTTATTTTTAAAGTTAAGCTTCGGGAGAAAGTACGTACGCATGGTACGTAGACTGTAGCGCGGGTTGGCTCTCACATACGTGCGGCCCTATGCCGGAATTTAGCGTGGTTCGTCGTGGCCTGCACCACCCCCTTTGAAGAGGAACGCCATCCATAGAGAGAAAGTTTAAGTAAAGTTCATATCAGAATTAGCCTCGTAGAACAAGAAACTAAGTTTTAGGAGCTGTCCAAGAAATTGTCAAGAGGAAGTATGAGTATCTGAATTGAGCGAGCGAACTATAGTAGGAGCAAAGATTGACAGCAGCAAGAACCAACAACATCAATGAGCGACGATCTTAGAAAACAGTGACAAGATGGAAGGCAATGACTGCACCAGCAAGTGTGAGCCTAGTTGACGTAGCTGAGGCCCGGAATCCCCTGGACCTCGAAAGGAGCCCGCTTCTTCTTGGAGCGGAAGCCTCTCCCTTTCCTCCTCACGGGGGAGCTTCCTCGATTCTGCGACCCATCGGCAGGATAAGCTTTCTGCTCCTCCTTGGGGGCAGGCTGCACTTTCCTGCTATACAAAATCGCATCTCTCTTGACAGGGACGCCTCCCAGTCCTGCTTCACAACCTGTATTTGTTCCCTGCTGCACAGACGTCGGCTCCCTTTTCAAAATCAACCTTACCTTTGCACTCGGCGGCGCCTCTCCCTGTCTTCTCAGTGGTGTTCCTATTGATATTGTTAACGCCATCCGCAATTAATCATGTTTCCGGACGCCATGGACGTCATAGACGTCATAGACGACATTGTTTTTACCGTCGTGGACTTGTTTCTTACCTCCTTCATCAATATCTTGCTGTTGCTCGGACATCTGTATTTTCTTGTTGCGAGGGTTTTGCTCGTTGTGTTCGCCTTTGACGTCTGCCGTGTTTTCAGAAGGCTGGACATCTGAACTCTCGCCTTCATCATCTCCCTCGTCATCGCCGTCGTCATCGTCCTCTGCTTCTCTGGGCGAGTCGCCGACGACCCGTCCCTTTTTCTGCGGTCGAAAGACAGCAATTTCTGCGGCGTCACCCCCTATATCCACCATCTCACCTTCACGAGGGCCCTCGACGTTGGTGGGGACGTTTGGTGGCGAGAACGAGACACCAAGAGTGCCCAAGATGATTCCGTGCTCGGCTAAGGCTCTCTCGACAGCCCTTCCGGCAGCGTCGCTCAGCCCGCGGTAGTCTTGCTTGGCCTGCTTTGCGATTACCTCCTCTGCAGCTAGCAATTGCTTTCTCTCAGCATTCATGGCTTCCCTTTGCGTGTAAGTCAAATCCGCTGACTGTCGAGCATCAAGGGCTTCTTGCTTAAGCCTGATTGGGTCCATGGCTTTCGTATGTGCTTGAAACTTGGCCATCGTGGCATGCATTAGGGCTTTCACCTCCTTTCCTATCGCCTGCCACATCTTGGAAATGGTGTCCCGCGCTTCCGTGTCCCCCATGAGCATCGTCAGCTCTTCGGCGCTGCGGAAGTATCCGGCTATCGTATCAGCGCCGACTCGCCTCCGGTGCACCGTATCGTGTCTCATTCTCGCCACATTAGCGAGCACGGCTTCACGATGCGCAAAGACAGCCTTGTCTTCGCACCGGAATGTCTTCTTATGTGAGAAATCGGTCGTCCATCCTGTCAGCTCGCACTCCTCGGGGTCAATGGTGTTCCTCGCTGCCAAAATCTCGGGTGCGCGAACCACGGCAAATTTGTAACAGGAGACCTCCAGCAGTTGTACCAGGTTGCCTAGGAGAGGGTGCTGGTTCCTCATTGGCAACGCCACGGGATGCGGATGCAAAGGGTTCTCGTTATCGTCAAGCGGAATGGGTCGGTTCTTCCATTTCTTCCTACAGCAAACTCCGGCGAGTACATTGAGCAGAGGTTCATTCCGCCATTTACTTTCGGTGTAGTTGTGAGCTGGTATAGAATTTAGCTTTTTGACCTCAGGCTCTCGAAATTATGTGAGGCTATAGTGATGGGGTGGATAGATGCGCGATCACAACATGGGCAACTTTGCCGGGACAGGAAAGCAAACTTCGGGGCGGGTACTTACGCCAAATGTCAGGTCTCTCCTCCACGTCTCCAAGCCCCTTTGGTCGTGGCCGCCTCCCGCCCGCTACAAGGTTAAGAGTATCTTCGGATAGGGCCTTTTCCCAGTCTTCCTCGCAATCGGTGAAGTAGACTGTGTGCGAGAACTTCTTCTCTGCCACTGCCCTCTTCTTGAATACCTTTTCTTCCAGCAACCTACGGGCGACGCTTCTAACGTTTTTAAGGCCGTGTTTTCTGATGAGAGCCTTGACATATCTGTTCTTGGATCCATTAACTATAGCGAGGAGATCCAATTTTGGCACGTCCCTGCTGGTGCAACCATCCAGTTCTTTCAAGAGAGCGAGATAGGTGATTTCCTCGGGCGGGTAGTTCTTTGCGGCGAAGTGTGGCATGGCTGCTCTGGTTCGTTGCTGATACGGCACTTGGCGGGTTGCGAGTGGAAGAAGAGATGTTGCTGTGCGGTTGGTGAGCAAACAAAAGACTTGGAGGAGAGAAGCGGATTGAGAGGATCTGACCCCATGGTTGATGTAGCAGGCAAGCGAAACTCTCTTTCGCCAGCAAAGAGGGCTCTGGGTTGTATCGAAGCTAGTGGTATGCGGGAGGTATACCAGATGCGTTGCGTTGCTGGGTTTCCCGCATATCTCGCGGGCTCCCCAGTGGCCAGAAGAGGCAATCCGCTCAATCCGGGCTTCAGATCAGTGGAGAATCACACGAAATGACAAGGAATCGTGGCACGGGGGCGACGTTCTGCATGCGCGATAGTTTAGCTGATTGGTGAGGGATAGGGAGGCGGCCGAGTCGGTGGTTGGTTTGGTTTCATCACAGTTCAGCTGGGATCGCGGGGGTCTCAAAGAGGGGTTCCTCCTCATTGTAACTTGCGAAGGGTGCTCAGAGAGAGATAAAAGGCAAGGAATCAATCCTGAAATTTCCGCTGTTGAATTGATGCCATATGGTGTTGCTGTTGGTCGACGTTGAGGAAATGAGACTCTCAGGAGTTGCCTTTGGTGACTTATCCGTGTCACAGGGTTCTCAGTCGACCTGGAGGGAAGGAGCATCCCCGCCCTACCTACCAACCTTGACCTCGTTATGCGGTAGGTACTTTTCAACCATGTCAATGCAAGGAAACACTTTTGCTCTGCTCGGTAAGGACTAAAAGGAATCGTTTCGACTGCATGTACGTGGTATTGTGATGCTACCTGGGTCCTGCACCATCCGTGGTCGTTATCACATCCATTCTGCTCAATGACGTGGGGGTGGTCTATGGGATGGCCTCGTACATGATTTCTGTGGGACAAGCTGCACGCGCCGGCCTCTCGCTGTGTCGGAATACCCATGTTGGAATCCCTCCCCAAGAAATGTACCAATGAAAGCTGATCTGTTCCTTGTCCTGGCAGAGCGGTTCACGCTACATGGTTGCTGGCCTGTCTGTTGCAGCAACTGCCGGGATAGAGCCTACATGGCCGCATTAGAACTAGCTGCTACTACCGGAAGCAAGCCGGTGAAACCTCCATCTCGGTTCATTGGCACTGCCCTGTCAGCCTATGAGCCTGTGCGGTATCTATTGTGATTATGAGGTATGGTACCTTGCAAAGGATTTCCGTTCAAGGAGCCATTTCGTATAGAGGCCGGGTCAACGTTGATTACGGAGCCTTGTAAACGGAGACGCTCGGTTTAGCAGGCACGGCCCGTTCCACGGCACTACGGTAGTTCCTTCCTCGATGGAGCACTTGCTTATTCCTTGCCAAACAGCCAACCACCAACTCCAGACCTTTCTATCAAAGCATCAATGCAAGTCACAAACAAATCGTCATATATTATCACTGCGCTGACAGACGGCAATCTTTTCATTTAAGCATGGGCGAACCAGATTTTGCACCACGCGATTTTTATTATTTGCTGCCATTTTACAATCTGACTGGCATCCAAACGACCCACCACTCGAGCACGGCTCCAACGACAGCTTCATTTGCTCCAGGCAAATTCACCCTGCCTCGAAGCAAGCCCAAGAAAATAAAGACACAAAGCCGAAACTCCCTCTCGACCCGTTGTCAAGAGTGCAGACCATTAACGCCCACAGATGTTGAATTGTGGTGGCCACCTTTTCCTTCACAATCGCCTGATTCACCTTCCCACGATTCTTTGGCGGGCAATGGGCTCTGGAATCAACCTTCCGTGATGTGTCTCAAAGAAACAAAGGAGAAATACAAAGGAAAGAAAATCACTCCAAGTTCCGCATGGGACAGACTGCTAACCCCCATAGGTGTCACCGCCGTCCTTGTCCATCCTTACTCCTCCAAGCAACGCCGTTACCATTCTCGCGATAATCGGTCAAGACTGCAAGAACAAAACGCCCGGATCCAAAGCCTGCAATAATAACACCGGCATGCCACACCTGGGTAAGCCAACTTAGGAAAGCAGTGTCTGGTGCTCTCAGCCATTCTAGTGCGCATCTGGTGTTTGAATGCCCACTCTTCTGAAGAAACGAACTGCTTCTCTTCGGCCACGCTCAGCGGCCCTTTGCTGTGCAGTGACACCATTGATATTGATATTCAGGTCGGCGCCAAGACTCTGCAGAAGAGTCAGAATCTCGACGTTACCGAACTCGGCGGCATAAAATACCACCGGGATGCCATTGCCATCAAGCATATTGACATCGGCACCGTTTTTCAAGAGGATAGTGGCAACAATTGAATATCCAAACTGCAGAGCGGTATGCAGTGGAGGGAGGTGGTCCCTATCGAGACCGTCGCCGTCAGGGCTCCATCCCTTTGCTAGAAGCCGCTGGATTATGCCGTGCTGACCTTGGGTGGCGGCAGCAGTCATTGCCGGACAATTAGCCCTCGTTGCAGGGTCTTCGTGAGCACCAGCCTCGAGCAGCGCCTCGACGACCGATGTATTGCCTCTGGATGCCGCAACGTACAGGACTGGCCGTCCGCTTTGGCTGAGCTGTTCGGGGTCCGCTCCGTGGTTGAGCAGAAGTCGGACAATTGCTGTGCGTCCCATCTCAACAGCGATTGGGAGAGGGATGTGCTCACTCGCACCGTGTTCTAGAAGAGTCTCGACAGCGCTCAGGTGGTTGCCACGCGTGGCCCTCATCACTGGGGTTTCCATGTTTGCGTTCAAGGGATCGATCTCCAGTCCGGGAAGCTGAAGAACATAATTCAGAAACGCAAGATTGCCCTTCTCTGCTGCCTTGTGCAGCAGCGTGTCATTGGTTCTTGGAGTCCGCTCGTTCACTTGGGCTCCATTCTCGAGAAGGTATATGGCAATATCGAATCGCTCGAGAGTGGCCGCGATGATCACGGGGACTCTCAAGTGCTCCGCCCAATACCGGGACTCGTCGTCTGGAGCGAAGCCATGGTAGTCGGCCCCGTTGACGTCAACGCCCTTTTGCTCGACGAGATATCTGACGAACACCAGACTGTCGTCGATCGTGGCTCTTGTCATCTGCCACGCAATGGTGTGACGAACGTTTGCGGAATGGTTGAAGTTCTGGATCAACGCCATCGCAAGGTAGATTGAAGGCAAACAAATTGTCTTATTGAATTGAGAGTTCAGACTTTTTCTAAACAAAAAACAAGATGGCCTGGTTGTTTGGCAATAATAAAGAAAGGTAGGAAGCTATGGCCCAGGGAAAAGAGGCCGTCTCCGGGGAGAAGACCGCCGCTTTATACCACGGAGTCTTCCACATGCCCAAGAGAGAGAAGAAAGACTGAATGAAAAGACTGACGGGAAGGCGTGTCTCTAATGTGGCTGTCCTACCGCCGGAATTCTGTGGCGTTAACCTTTTGCCATCTGGTTCGTTGGATGCAGGGACACCCTCTGCACTTTGGTCGCTGCGCAGGTTACAAACGTTGCCCTGGAGTTACACCACCTGCACAGTATCAAACTAACGAATGCATGCTCGGCCCCTCGACTGAAACCATCGGCATCAAATTTATTGCGAAAATCGAGTGGCCATATATCCATCTCCGTACTGATGAGCAGGCATGCCGTCACGACGTCGGTTGCACCAAGCGGGCTTCGGCCATCGTTGGCTCACTCCCACCCTCCAGCACGCAGCCGGTCAGGACTTTGAGACAAACGCATGAATCCCTTCATGCAGCTCGCCGCCCCTCCTCCGGTCTTTTCACTCTTTTGGTCCGCGGCCTACATAGTAGTGCTTACCTTGCTTTTCGCACATGTCTCAACGAGCGAGGCAACCTCACGAGGCATCTACTCGTCTGCAGCTTCGGGGGCCTGATGGGTGCCCAATGGGTCGCGTTCATGCGCAGCAAGATGGAATACCCCGATCACATTGTCCAGCCAAGCCCTCAGTTCGGGGAGTCTGGCCGGCCCCAGCCTTTGGGTGACCACTTGGGTGCATCTTCATTTCATCAAAAACATGTCGATGTTGTCAGTTTAGGTCACGGCATTCTTACGAGCGATGAGGAGAAAATCAATATAGTGTCATTTGAGTAAGAAAAAGAATATTTAAATTTGTAGCTTTCTTTTTCTTTTTTTAAAAAAAGGAGATGGGAAAAAATAAAAAATAAAAATTCAGTTTCAACAGACTAACTACACATCAGGGGAATCAATTTGACCAAATCCTACATTTTCACGAGCAATCCATTGCATCATGAATTAAAAATGATTTTAGAAGAAAAAGTGACTCGAGAGAGAGAGACTGAGAATCGAAGTAGCCACGCATCCCTGCAGAGCAGAGGATAATCATAGGAGAGAAATACATAGAAGCAGCAGAGGGAGAAGGACAAATGGGGGGGAAAAAACAATAAGGGAGCAGCATACTCCGTGGCGACGGCAGCTAGAGAGGCCAACCCATGGAGCAATTTATCGACGGCACGGGAGGATGGAGTAATTCGTTTGAGAGCCAACCATGCCAATCAATCACTGAGAGGCGCGGGGAAAGAAAATCACATGGTGGCGGCAATCGGCCAGAGACCAGATCTGGATGACGCTGCGCAAGAATTTTTTTTTTTTTAGGATTGCAGACAAAAACCGACAGACGTGGAGAGACGAAAGCATTAAAGATGAATTCGGGGACAGTGGGATGGAAACCATGCAGAGAAAGCGCGTGGAAGAAGATTGCCAAGTGGCCGGCCGACTACGATGGCAGGTGTCGATTTTCAATGGCAGATGTAAAAGGCAGGGGAAATTAAATGATGGCCCGTCGGGAATTGATGCGCATCTCTTTGTTGCATGCTCTCTACACAACCTGTTGTTGCATGGAGATGGGAGAGCATAAATTTGCGTGGAGATGCAAGACGCTCAAAGCCTGAATGCTGTGCGCCGTGTTGTGGAGGACGAGAGTTGAAGTACAAAGTAAAAATCACCAATGTGGAAAAACAACGTTGAAAATGCCAAAATCGACATCTCAAATAATGAATTTGGTGTGCGATGGGCTGTAATAATGCCTTGTGTGATGATGCCTTGTGTGTTGGGTTGACCGGTTGCTGCGACATGGGTGCATTGCGAGGCCTGGTGTGAGGCGTTTATGTAGACCTGTCTCTGAGTGCAATTGTGCCTCTACCGCGTCTGGACCCATACAGTTGTCCCAATACGGCAGTGATCAGCACCAAGGTGGGTCTGACCAGCCAATGAGCACCCATCATTCTTGGAACACGCCCAGAAAACGTCTTCAACTTTGCTCTTCAGACTCGACTCCCAAGAGCCCCCCCAGCATCGCGGAGGTTATTGAGAAAGGCATCGACCTTGTCCCTGCCCTGCGCCCATATCCTCGCCATCACGGACAGGTCCATGGGCTCGACCTCAATCACCGGCTTGGCCCCCCTCTCGGTCCGCCGCTTCTTGCGCGGTGTCCCCCGGGGAGAGAGCGTGAGGGCGGCCACATCCTCGCGCGCGCGCTTCTTCGTCCCAGTCTTGGTCTTCTGCCGAGGCGGCGGCCGGGCATCCCCGAACATCCTCGCGCTGCCGAGGCCCGCGACCGCCACCGTCTCCTGGAAGTGGTCGAAGAAGGTGTTGCGGAGCGTCGCCCTAAAGGAAACACCCCTTTTGTGGAAGGCGCGGACGATCTCCCCGGCTCTCTGGGCGAGCACATCCCGGTCCATGCCGATGAGCTTGTGGCTTCCCAAGAGGGGCGCGCCCGCCGACGACATGAGCGTGTAGTGGACCAGCCCGGTCTCGAGGGAATCCCCGACGCGCTGGCGGAGGGTGACCTGGCCTAGGAGGATGGGCACGTGCTTGCCCTGAAGAGATGAAAGTCTGTTGAAGACGGCGACCTCGTGGTCCATGGCTGGCTTGGCGGACTGCTCGAAGCGCTTGCAGACAAAGGTGTACTTGTACCCGCTCAGCGTAACCTTGATGACATCGTCGTTAATCAGTGCGTGGCTCTTCTCGTTGGCTTGGTGGAAGCTATTGGTCACGAGATCCAGGAACTTGCCGTAGCTGATCTTGTGCCTCCGGTCACTGCCATTTGATGTGTCGTTGGGCCGGCGATGACCATCGACGTTGGGGCAGTCGAGGTCGGTGAACTGGCCCGCAATCAACCCGAGTAGGCAGAGGTGAGTGCAGTAAGGGTTTGAGGCGGCATCAGGTGAGGACGCAGTAGGAGACCCGCCCGTAGATCGAGGCAGGGCATGAGTGGGCACGGATTGACCTTTCTGATGGCCGGTGCTATTGGCTTTTTCATCTCCATGCTCCAACTTCACGGCTGCCTCGTCCGAGCCAGGGTTGTTGTAGCCATCCCGCCCATCGACAGTATTCCGGCCGGGCTGATGACCCTCGGATGTCTGCAGCGATTGAAGTCCCCCTGTCTGGGGTGGCTGGTTGAATGTCCCTTGCCTACGCTGAACGTTCACAGCCAACCGCCGAGTCATTTCCTCATCAGGGCTCACTATGTGTACATTCCGGTAAGGCTGGCTTCTGTGTGATTGTATTGGCAGGAACGTAGGGAGATGAGAGCTTGGAGATCCAGCTTGCACCGCTCCAAGCGCGACTGGATGCTTCTGTGCCGCGAGCCCCATCAAGACTGAGGCTATTGGGGGAAGTTTGTTCAAGTTATCGGCACTAGCCCCAGCGGAATAGAGGGCAATAGGGGGGAGGGCAGGCTGGTGCAAGACAAAGGGAGTATTCGACCAGTCTCTCGAGGCCTGCATCCCTTGAACAGCAGTCATGTTTGTATTGGCAACGGGGAAGCATGGCGTGTTCTGTCCAGGGCCTTGGTAACTCCTGGTCCAGACAATGGTAGAAGGCGGCAGATGCTGAGAATTGACAGAGGTTACAACCCCGGTGTAGGTGTTGGGCGAGGGCGCAAGGGTCAAGGGGACCTGCAGGCTCTGCGCATATACTGGAACCGGCGGCGGCTCCGGAGGCGAGAGATGCGGAGGCCAGTTCGCCGCCAAGCGTGGAGGACTAGCGATGGGCTCGGGATGATGAGGCGGCGGCGGTCCGCGCCGCAGGATGGGCGGGCATACCCTTTCAATGGGACGATTGCAGTAGCACGCTCGCCTATTGCCCATGTGTGGATACTTCTCCCTTTGGAACGCCTCCAAGAGCACATGCAAGTAGAAGGAGAGGCACTGGGCAGCGGCAGCGCTGTTGGAGGAGATGTGCCCACCTTCAATCTTGATGTCATCCACGGTGGGGTTCATGAGCTTGAAGAACAAGGTGTTGGGGTGTAGCGCGTCCAAGGTGAGGAAGAGAATGGCGTCACCGGTGGCCACGAGGCCAAATGTGAGATTGGACTTGATCATGACGGTGTAGGCATTGGTCACTGCCAGCAGGGCTTTCCTCTCCTCAAACGTCCAGTTGGGGCTGTCTCCAACCTCCCGGAGCCTTCCAAAATGAGCGTTTGTAAGAGGTTCACTTAGTCTGCTAAGTGATTCCAGACCAGCCTGAAGTTGAGACAAGTTCAGGTCATCGGGCGAGTGGTACTGGTTGACGCAGATGGGGACGTTGGTTCGTGGGTCATCACCCTGTCTCCGGTAGACGTAGCTCTGACTAGGGATCAGCCAATGGAGATGCTGCTCTCGCTCCTCCACGGTTCTTGGAGGTGCCATGGAGGTTGAGGAGGTGTCGAGGTGTGAGGGGAAGAACACATTGCCCATGAGATCAAGAGGCCTCCTCAGAGGCAGGCCATTCAAGACACCTATCATCTGGGCAACGGGCACCTCGACGGCGTAATGGAAGAATATCTGCACCAACTTGGAGCCCACATCTGCATTCTGGGAATCAGACTGCATCAGAGACTCGAGGTCTGCAAGGTGATCAAGGGATGGCAAGACCGTGGCAGAGTCCGGCAGAATGCCATGGACGACATCCAGTCTCATTCGCTGGGTAGTCTCAAAGCCATTCCAAGGTCTGATGAACGAAGGCACAATCCGGTCAGCGGGACAGGAGAGCGGAGCCTGGTGTTGGAGGTGGAATATTGTATCGACGACGGGCGACGGAGGAGGGGTAGGAGGCAGTGACAGCCTGTAATGTTCCGGCGGAGCCAGGCCCGGGCTGGCTGTGGGCTGCACCGGCGCCGGCCTTGGATGCTTCGAATACAGCATCCTCTGAAGCACGGCGAGATAGTATCGGATTGCTGAAGGCCGACGTAATGACTCCGGGTCGGACGACCCACTGCCGTCCTGTGCGTCTCCGCGTTGGTTCATGACGTCTGGCAGCGGGGATCGTGCTCGATCGAATACTCGGCTGGGGGATGCACTCTAGGAGGATTCACAGGGGTCAGCCACTTGTCACTTGAAGCATGAACAGCTCCTCGATCAACCACCTGCTGAAGGTGGACCACAATGACGGATATACCGCGCGTTGATGGCCACGACAGTCATCCAGGGGATTGCACAACGGCCGGGCAAGAGGAACCACGAGAAGTCAGGGTGGCATCGGGCATGACTTAGAGGGAAGAGTGTTGCCAAGATGTGTGTCCGATGCGTGCTGAGGAAGCAAGGGAAGATCGAGATGGTGGGGCAGGAGAGAAAGACTGAACGATAGAATCACGTACCTGCGCAAGCCGGGGAAGATGCCGCTTGGCTAAGAAGGGGCCGTAAGCCCGTCTGCCCTCCCTTTTGCACGGTTGACCGTGAACGCTAGCAGAGGATGGTCTCGTCCGGACGAGTGAATGGAAGATGGCAATGGGTGGCAGTCTAAATAGACGTCAGTGGGTGTCTTGAAAACCGAAGAAGGGTCTGATGGGTTGGAGAGCAGAGGGTTACCAAGGAGCTAGTATGGAGAAGACGAATTGGTGTGATTGAAAAACGAACAACAGATACAGAAAGAGAGGAGATCCGGACGGAAGCTATGGAGCAGATGCTTTTATATAGTCCGAGACAAAATGAGGAATTGTCTGGTTGGAGAAGCAATGGCATGCGATGCGGTGGTGGGAGACATATGAATCCCTACCACCAGCCAACGATGGAGGGTGGGAGGAGCAGTCGTCCAACAGGACTGTGTAAAGATTGTCGAGCACATTTCGTCCGTGTCGAAGAACTCTGTGCAATGTACTGTGCCCATCTATCGGATGCCGCAAAGGCAGCAGGGCAGCAAAAAAAGAAAGGGAGTGCTACGCGCTCGCTGATTGGATCTCGCATGTAGCACCCGCGGTTTTCTGGGCCGATGGCAGGCACGATGACCAAGAGTGATATCAGAAACGGCGATTACCGTGTGCCATTCTTGCTGCCTCTTGCACAACACAACATGGGCATATCGGGCAGCAGGGGGCAAATGCGAATGGTTCCCTCAAGGTTCTGGGAGAGTCTGATTCTCAACCTGATAACACCCGACGTCAATACGTGGGTATAGCATCAAACTTTCGAGGTGCCGGTAGAGGCTGATCCCTTGTCCGTAGGCAAACAATCCGTCCACTAGAGCAAGTCTCCCCAGATTCATTCCCTTGGCTCCTTCCGCCCACACCGTCAATCCAGTTGACTGTGTTACATGAGGTAAGAGGGTGGTGGGTCGTGGATAAGGGTATCCATCCACCCATCCATGCATCGGTACCCCATCATCATCCACCCACCATCCTCCACCACCATCCTCCCATGCACAACGCACACCCTCCACCCACTCCTCCCCTCTTCCACTCGCAGGGTCGGTCCTCTTCGCGTTGCCCAGAAACGAAATGTCTCGAAAAGTACCGTGTCACTGCCTGACATTTGGCCCTCGACCAACCGACAAATGCACGAATGCAGAGACGGAAGCCAAAGACACCTTCCTTTCTGCCAGGGAGGCACACGGACTCGGGAGTGCCCTGGGGCCCATCTTGGACCGATCATGTCTCTGCCATCGCCATCAATTCAGAGAACACCACTGCACACATAGACTGACCGAAATCACGTCCTCCTACAGCACTAAAAGACCCATGGCAATAAGCTACTCGCGGATCAGTGGGCTCGGTAACTATAGCGCTTCCCCACCGCCACGAGGCTGGTGTTGGTCCCTGTGAGATCGTTCCAAGAGTGATGTGGGTAATCTGCTAATTACAGGGAGCGATGGCTTGTCCGGGGTTCAGCTCAGCTCTGGGCATTGTTGCTTTTTCCTGTCTCTTCCATCCATTGTCTCTCGTTCTTCGTGTCTGCCCGCACCCTCGCAGCATCCACTCCTCCATGCATCGAGCAATCAAACGAGCCGTCCACCATCCATCAGCCCTCGTCCTCCCCGGATGTGCTGCCTGCGCCGCAGCCACAGGTTTCACGCTGGCCCGACTCTTTCTCGCACGGCTCGGCCTGAGCGCTACGTGGTGCAGATGCGCAGCCGTGTTGGAGGGCGTGTGGTGGAAAGGGAGAACAAACGCGGCCCAAGACGGCAAGATGGGAGTGAGTCTCAGCTCGTGCATCCCTGCTGCGGCCAATCAAACAATAAGGAGCCCTCCGGATGCAAGAAGAGGTACTGTACCACTGCATATCCCAATCCCACGCCGCCAGCCAACAAAGCAAAACAAATTGTTCCAGGTTTCTGCCAGTCAACAATATCGCTGCGACAGGAAATGCAGTGACCAACTCTATTCCGTGGAATTGCCTGCACGAAAAGGGCATGTACATCCCCTCATCCTCCCCCTAGCTTGCGACGTCGGCTAGACATTGGGTACAGCCGTTCGGGTTCAACTCACCGCGCAGTTTGTGCTCCTTTCTTTTTTATGCCATGCCATTTGCTTACGTTGCACCTCTGGGAGGTATGTGAAGCAATTCATATTGCCAGCCGCCTTGTGTACAACATCTCATCGTCCAACCAAGGGCTCAGCTTGCCGAACGTACGTCTGTGAATCTGTCCACGGTGCAGTCGGGATGCCCAAGCAGACTCGCACCGGCGTGGCTAAGTTTGGTACCACTTGTCACAAGCAGGAATACAATTTCAGAAATCCGATCGGCAAGCTTCGTTTGTTTCACTGGACGCCGTTGCGCTTCCCACCTTTCCGCTTCGGAGCTGCCACATCCATCAATGCACCCTTCAAACTCAACGGGCTGGTAGACACGGACCGGTGTGCAGGGTATTGATCATTGCATCACACTTGTGTATTATTGCCAGCGAACCGACCAGTGGAGGTTGCATGTCGGATGCGGGCACCGAGGTTGCATCGTGTGAGGCCAGCTCTCCAGAGGAGCTCGCCCTCTCACGAGCTCCAGATAGAGGCTCTGCCAGCAATCGCACTGCTCCTCCCGGCCATTCAAGTCAAAACTCCAGTATTAGGCCATCAGCGGTGGGTACAGTCGCTGCCTTGCTACCACGCAATATCACACAAGGTGGTTTCAACGACCAGCAACGTCAATGCAAACCGCCGGTCCGGCCAGACAATCGGCCCTGACCCCGTCACCGAAACCACCACCACATGGCTGTTATCGTAGCATGATTCATGCCTGCTTTCTTCCCCTCCTCTTCGTAATCCCATGGCACCATGTGGTGATACCTCGCCTGCCTCCAACGACTACCCAACGTGCCAATTGACCCCCGCGCTGCATCCATCTTACTCCTCCAAGCCCTCCACGCCTTCCACTCAGCCAGCACGGAGTCATAGAATAAGTGAATTCCAGTCACACATCGTATTGTTGCAGACGCAGAGTAGCATCCAAGGCCTCCATGCCGATTCCAATTTTATGCAAACACCGTGCAGCCCCTACGAATAACCCAATAGGTGGGTTGTTTTTCTGTTGCAGCAAAGTAAGCGCACGCTCTGCATAATGTACGGCTCCGACTCTGTCAACCGCCAGCGCAACCCATCCACACCACGAGCCAAGCATTGAGGCCTACCTACATGGCCGCCCACCGAATTCTACCACCATCCAAAAGATGCCCAAAAACTCTACAGGAGATGCGACGCAGCGAAGATAGGAAATACCTGCTTCTGATTCGATAAGGCTACTCGAAAGGTTACATACAAGCGCAATGCTAAACTCTGTTCTGCCCTTCACTCCTTCCCTCTTTTTGCAGTGACTTTTTTCGTTTCTTTTTCACCTTTTTTTGGGTGTTTTCATGTTTTCCTTTTTTTTTTTTTTTTTTTTTTTTTTTTTTTTTTTTTTTTTTTTTTTTTTTTTTTTTTTTTTTTTTTTTTTTTTTTTTTTTTTTTTTTTTTTTTTTTTTTTTTTTTTTTTGCTTTTTGTCTTTTCAGCTCATCATTTCCCCATAGTCCAGATCCCCGTAGGCCATTCCCCGTAGTCCAGTTCCCTGTAATCCATTGTCCTCGCGATGCATCCCCCTCAATACGACCTTGCATCCGTGTCTCCTCGGATGCCACACCCATCGCTCGCTCCACCGTTCACCCATCACCCCTTTTGTTTTTCGTTGCTTTTCTGCAATCCCACCCTTTTTCGCGGCGGTACTCTCATTCATCCCGGTAAAATCCGCCGACCTTGTGTGATAAAAAAAAAACTTGATAGGAAACAAGGAATAGAAGAGACAGTAGGAGAAGAGAGTTGGTCGTAGGAAGATAATCCGTTGTGCGATGCCTGAAAGTCCCCGAGCCGGGAGGTTTTTTTTTTTTGTTGAATACCACATAGTCTAGAACAACGACGCGTAGGGCCCAATGGCAGCAAGCTGTAAGAAGAAAGATTAGTATTCGCCCCGTACGTCGTTACTCGCCCTGCAGTGCATGGGTTTATCAGCCTGTGACAAGAGTTGCGGGGGTCACGTAGAGTGTGAGCAGGTGATGGTTTTTGTAGATGGCGTCAGCCCCTCGAGGCCAATGATGGAATGATGCCGTTGATGATAAGGCATTAATCCAACATGAGAGGATCGACAGAAGGACAGTGAAGTCGTGACAGTGAAACGATAAGAAGAGGATTTTATACACGTACCATTTCCGCGTCCACCCGAGTAGGCTGGGGATCAGGGCATGCTGCCTGAGTTTGTTGATTGATCATGTGCGCTGGCGCTGCAGTCTGTGTCTCTTGGTTGTTCATGTAAGGTGGGCTGCTTTCCTGCGGCTGCTGGTTGATCATGTAGGGAGGAATGGTTTCTTGTGCCTGCTGGTTGAGCATGTAGGGCGGGCTGCTTTCATGCGTCCTGTGAAGAGGGGGTCTGCTCCCTTGAGTTTGTTGAATATTCGTGTAGGCTGTGGTTGGAGGGATTGGATGTCGGTTGCCCGCGTAGCCTGGGAACAAGTGCCCCCGTGGTCGTGACTCGTTTGCCTGGTGAGTGCCCATCAAGCTCGGGAACGGCTCGAGGCCCGAGTCAGTCCGGGGCCGCTTGCTGGACTCGCCTTCGTTGCCATACAACGCCGCGACGACGCTGGGGAAGCCCACCTCCCCAACCATACGTGGTGACTCGGGCGGTGTGACGCTTCCAAGGTCTTCCTCCCTTCTAGTATCCGAAGACACGTAAGATGGCGTCTGAATATCGAAACAGAGGAAAGTTGAAAAGATAGATAGAAGTCGGGGTACTTTGACATACTTGCGCTTTCCCTCGCGTTTATCCCTTGTGTCGCGCGCTATCTTCATGAGTGCTACCGGATCCTTGGCGGTAGTAAATGCAGTTGTGTATGACTGGCTTGATCCAGTTCGTACGCTATACGAGCCTTCAGGATAGGACTGGTCTAAAGGCGCTTCCCAGGGAGCGACATTTGGTCTCATTCCAGGCCCCAGAATATCAGGGTAGCGTTGTATGTAGGCTGGCCTGGCTTGCTGAGGAGAGTTGCCAGGATTGACGGCAGTCGGAGGATGGGGAGGTGACATGGCTGCGGTTGTCGAAGCTGGTTGGAGGGATGGCCTACCGGCTGCTGAACGCTCCGGGGGAGACGGAAGACCGGGCGTTGGAACTCGCTGGCTTACACCTGCGCCGGGTGGCGACGGTAGACTATCATGTGGCGTATAACCCCCTTCACACGGATAGGCATTAGCAGAACGTACTGGTCTCACAGTTGCGGAGCGACCGGGGGCCACGAGGCTTGTCAGCGGCCCGTCCATCCCAAAGAAAGATCGAGGGCAGACCCCCGTGGGCGGAGCCGACGAGTGTTGGTTCGCCGGCGCCGCGTTGATGGCACCCACCGATGTCAAGACTTCTGACACAACCACCATCGACGGAACGGCCAGGGCACGATTCAACGCGTCTCTCACAGCTTTGCTTCTCAGGGGTATGTCAAGAGTCTTACTGGATTGGCTAAGCACGCCGGCCACTGTCTGTGCGGCTCGATGATTCGTCTTGAGGTAGTCTGGAAAGTCAACGGGCAGCTCCTTCTGATCACCGCTGATGACTGGTGGGTTGTGCGCGTGGAACTCCGAGTGGTCTAGGTTGTCCCAGAGCTGTGCAAAGGTTTCTGGTTCCTGCTGCTGTTGAGAGGTTGTGTTGCTAGGCTGACGTCGAGTCAGATCGACGAGCTGCTGTGTGGTTTCTGCCGTAGACGCGTTGGCAACAGCAGCTACCAACTCTTCAGGACCAGCCAGAGATAAAATAGGGATGCTAGAATTACTCGAGGACCGAGTTGTGGGAGGGTTTATCCCCTGGATTTGTGGTACACTCTGGCCAAGTCGCGCCAGGTGGGCCTGTGCATCCTTCATGAGGTCGGGGTAATCCTCGACTCGAGGGGCCCTATTTGGCTTGGAACGAGGAGAGACCTCCTCACTGCTGTAATGATCAATGTTCCGGGCTGGTCTTGCCGGCTGCCTTTCCATGGCAAAGCTAGTTGGTTGCTGCTCGCTTCCAGCCAGGCTGAACCATCGGTCTCCTGGATAGGTTGGGTTGTTTCCATTGCTCATCCTGTCTGGAGGGAGCGCAATCCGCGGGACCAGTCGTCGTGCTTGTATGGTCTGTTGCTCTGGCTGCTGTGGAGCAGCGGTGGTACGAAGGGAAGCCTGTTGGCGATTCGCGAGCACCAAATTGTGAAATGGTTGGAATTGAGGGTGGTAGTTTGGGAGATTGGCTTGTTGCACGGGAGCCGACTGCCTGTAAGAGTACCCTGTGGGATAAGATTGCTGGACTGTAGTCTGTTGTGTGTAGGAATTATTGGGCTGGTTTGGAACGTATACAAACGGGGAGTTCCAAGGATTTAATGCGATGAAGATGTTGTTGTTGGGATGTGAGCCAACTGCCTCGTTGGAAAGGGAACATCTATATGGATCTATAGATTGGGAAAGAGGCGGGTTGGTCGATAACGCAGGGGCAGCGGCATACGCGAGGTTGTTGCCAGTGTTGCCCTGATGCTGGCTGGCATTTTGCTGGGAAGGAGGGAACGAAGCCATGGCGGCAGTGGGGCATGAGTACGTGAATCAACCAACTTTCAAGAGCATGTGGACGAGACAGTTTGTGGGTTCAACTTGGCTGCGAGAGTTGGAAAGAACAGGCAATGGCATTCTTCCACACGGACAGAGGATGGCAGAGGTATCTTGTTATATCCTGGTCAGGAGCGAAAAGAGGAGTGAAACCCAGACCGGGGTATCTTGGACTCGGGGATGGAGGCCACAACGCTCGCCGGCGGTCATGTTTCCCGCCCCATTGACTTTTCTTTTCAATTGAATCCGAGGGTAAGACATGCAGCCACTAGATAGATCAAGGCAAACACTAGATTGCGTGGAATCACATTATATTCACACGGCAGGGCTCCTTCTATTCTGTTCTCGAACTATTCGAGTCGTTCTTTGGCCAGTGGTAAGGATGGCCCTGGCGGCCGGCAACTTTTTTGCCATGTGCCCTTGCCCACCTATGAATAACCAGGAGTCTGGACAGATGGTGATACGTCTTGCGTGTGGTTCATCCTTGCATGCGATGGGTCTCCGCGGGGATTCGTAGGTGTGAAGAATCGAGTACGCGTCTGGCCGGCTGCGAACGAGAACCTTTCTTTTTCCCTTTCCACCTGAAGCCTTGTTGATGGATGGTGGCTACGGTGGTGGTGGAAACAGCAGAAAAAGCAAAAAGATCACAAGTATAGATGTCCCATCCCCTTTTCCCAGACCTCCTCTACCTTATACCATCGACGTTTCTGTCCAATGGGCGGCCGTCCGAGTCGACTTGTCTCTCCGCCTCGTGACCGACGAGCGCGCATTGGTGGCATCGCGCGGGCCAATGGGTACAAGTATGCATCATCGAGGCGCGGCAGAGGCCAGTGAAGGAGCAATAGCGTAGGTCGAGCATGCCCCTTCATTCGTGTAGGTCTTCGGGTGACGGCTGAGTGTCGAGGAGGTGGGGTGTTTAGAGCACAACACGGCCGGATCGTTGGAGGACTGCTAGGTGCGCCTCAATGTCAGCCCTTATTTTCGGTCTTTCCCAGCGGCTCTACAAATGTGCACGTGCTACACTTCCCTCTTCTTTTCTTTTTCCTTGGGTGTGGTTGGGAGGGTGGAGATGCAAGCTGTCTCATGGTTACACCACTAGGGCTTCATTGTCCCAACTTGAATAATGGTCGAGGCAGAGGCAGTGTGTTCAGCCGCAAGGACTCGGCCTAATTTAGACAAAACTCGAGCTGATCAGAAAAAATAAGGCTTTGTACCTCGACCTCCATCAAGATGGTTAGTCTGGTGTAGGTGGTGTGTGGAGGCCGGAGGCCGGAGGAGTTGCTGGACTGGACTGGCAAATTCAAACTGCCGAGGCAAATCCCCCACGGATTCTTACAGCGCCCTGGATGCCCCAGAGAGAGCGTAACGTATACAGTGCGGTCCCTGTGGCCACTGAGGTAGCACAGTCGTCGAGTGAGGCAGCGCCAGCTAAAGGGCCGACCACGGCACGTCCCGCACGGAAGGAGCAATTGCCGTGCTTTCCTCCATCCATCATCGCGTCGGCTTTGGTTTGACTTCGGCTCAAGACCAAGCAGCAGGTCACCATCGAGAGATTGCATTGGGGCTCGGCCGCATCTAACCAAGATCCGATCGATTGTCAGCCGCTTGGGTCAGGACCATCCCTCAGCTTGGTTATTCTCCTCTAGCCCATCCCCGCCATTGCGTAACTTGTTGGCACCAAACAGCCAGTAAGAATGAGCCGATGCGCAGCTCCGAGTAGTGCTTACATTCTCCCGCTGTGATCAAGACTAATCGAAGCAGCCACAAGAAAAAGAAGGCAAGCCAAGCTACTCTCATCAGGTGTTCGCCGGGCCACTTCACACTGACCTGTCGCATCTGATGATGACCGAGCGTCAAGTCTCAAGGTAAGTACCTTACACGGGATCTGCACTTTTGGATTCCGCTCCATTTTAGGCACACCACATGCATAATTACTGACACGAGGGTGTAGCAGAGTTCAGCTGCGCGGGCTAATTCGGGGATCAAGACATGTTGAGACTGGCGTCGCAAGCCCAAGTCAAAAATTGGTGCGTAACAACCAGCTGACAACCATGAATAGGGGATTTCCCCCTTACTTTTCCTTTTTCCACGTTCCTTGCCGGATGACCAATCCTACAATAAACGAGTTTACGGCTATCCTTGGCGCAATAGTCTGTTTTACGGCCGTGGGTGGCTTGGTACTTCTTTTAATCCTGGTTGGATCGAGCGGTCGAGCGGTCGAGTCTTGTCCGTGGCTTTCGGATAAGATCCTTGGATTGCGGAAAAGATCCTTAGACAGCAGAGAAAGACACTGTCGATCGCCAACCGCGTTTTACGTCGTGTCTCTAGGCATCTTGTCGGCGTTGGATTGGTCATGGCCGGGCACGGAAGAAGGAGAGGGTCAAGCGATCGGCGACTCCGAACCCCTTCCACTTGTCGGATCCGTGGCACTGCGAGACAAGACTCTCAGCTCCTGTCGCAGACAGATGTATCTTCCAGGCACTATTGTTGCGTAAGTTTAGATGTATCCTTCTTTTTTTACCTCTCTCTACCCAAACGGCCTGACACAGTTGACAATCTAACGGGGATGATGCAGGTTTCATTGATACGTCTCGACTAACACCGAACAACACCCTCACCGTTGGCTGCTTCCACGCAAATTTCCACCCAACCAGACCAGCAATCAACGCATGGCTCTGCCGTACAATGACCACAATAGATACAATACAACTACAACAGCCGTCCCGTACAGCAGAGGTATGATGAGCGTCTGCATAATGGCGTCGACAAACGCATTGAACAACCACGCTTCGAGCTCCGCCCCGTCATTGACCTTTGGGAACGGCACGTCCGGCACCTCCTTTCCCAAGAACTTACACAAGGGCTCCCAACCTGAGCCCAGCCTATATTCCAATCTTCTAGACTCGGGAACCACGCGCCGAATCTCCGCGAAATAATCCTCGTAACCACGCCGGGCGTTGGCCTGAAGCTCGTCGATCGAATGGGCATGGAACAGGCCAAAGTATAGTTTCCTGACTGCATGCCCAGCCCGCATGTTGAACATGCCGAGCAGTGTTGTGATCAGCTCGGCGCCCCAGAAGAAACGCCATCCAAGGTTTATAGTAAGGAAGCTGGGCCACCATGAGTAAAAGTCTCTCTGGATGACGATGACCTTGGCCTCGGGATACAGCGTTGCAAGATCCGAAGCGAAGGGCGCCGCAATGTCCGTCACGGCGTCATACTCGTGCCAGACGGCATCCCATTCCTGCCTTGTGTACTTGCCGCTGCGTCTGCGACGCCGCACGCCAGACGCGTCAGATGTGCTAGGCCATTTGCCCTCGGCGGCCTCCTCGATTTGGACCCAAGGGATTTTGCGGCTGTCATCGAGGCCGTGATGTGGATTGTAGCCGAGGATTTTAAAGGCCTCTGACATGGAGCTGGTTCCCATACGGAACATGCTCGCCGTGATTATCTCAAGGCCGTCGCCCTTTTCATCAAGCTCGTCCTGAGGCATTGTCGTGCCGTAATCCAGGCTAATTGGGGTTGTCTGGGACATGGCGAAGAAAGGGTATCCTGGCCTACTCTGGTCGGGCAGTTTTGGCTTAAAGATTTTGATACAATTTACTTGGTATGATGAGCTCAAACATCCATGAAGAGCAATAAATTACAAATTAACCTTCCCTCCCCTCCAACCGGAGGCACTCAATAGTCTCGCGTCCTTTAAATAAATATCACGTACAACACCATCTCCAATCACATTGGATCTTCTCCGACGCGAATTTATCCCCACAAACATTGACGATATCACCTGTGAGTGGTTGATGCAGGTTGGCTATTTCATTTCTAGGTTTTGCTCGTTGGAAGATCGTTCTACTCTTTTGTGTATAAACTCAATCGGCAGAGTCAATTATGCATAAAGTTTGAAGTCTACTCGTATAGAGAGAGGTGGTTGGGCGGTTTCTACCAGATCACTAGATAAAAGGCCAGAGCTGACCCTTCTTCCCGGTGAATTAATTGATCTAGAACACGATCCCTCAAGGACTGGTGGGAAGCTGAGGAGAAAGACGTCCCACTCTTTGCCAATGTTATTTTCCAAATACATAATAGTCTATTGTGAAAGTTGCTCGAAGCCCTGTGTAGAATGTCCTTCGAAAGGTAATGAAACAAACAGTTGGGTCGAGAACAGGGCGGCATGCTTAAATGCATCACCTCTCGCCTGGACTCAATCTTTGGCAAGGGGGGAATTTGAGCATCACCACTTCCAACAGGCATCAACTCCGCTGGGCTACCATTCACTTCACACAGCAGTGCCATTAGTTTAGTTGGAGTTTCGCGTCCAGGCCAAAAGCGGGAGCATTAGGAGAGCCAAACCCATCCCTTCATCTGGGTGCATCATTATGATGCACCATGAGGCCGCGCCAAGCAAATCCAACTACCTACCTTAGCGAATGGCTTTTCCGTCCACCATTCAATGAGAGATACTCAACATGCTGCTGCCGCATCAATTCGGCATCATGATCAGACGACTTTCGGCGAGAAGCTTCCGGCAGCAAGAGCTCCTGGAGACCGCGACCGTGTAAGCCAATATGCAAGTACCTAGGTCCACTCGTTAAGCGAGCGACAATGCTCGCAGCAGGTGTGCCTTCCCTGTGGCCATCCTGCCCGATCAGGAAACCAATGTTCACCTTGTAAGCTGTACGGGGCAACTGTATGAAAGAGCCGCCCCGAAGTTAGTACCTGGTACCTGCAGGCTCCTCGCCCTTCGCTACTTCCTCATGTCAGGCGCAAGCGAGAGGGCTCCCATTTGGAATCCAGAAGATTCGAAGTTCTCATTTCATCTTTTCTCTCTCTCATTACTCTCCTCATTCTACTCTTTTCTACTTTTTTTCTACTTCTTCCATTTCATTGTCGCCTTCATGTTCCAGAGAAGAATTCCATCGCCGCCCAGCTCTTACTCAATGCTGGAATTGGAGCTACCCTAGGGTCACCACCAGCCTCTGACTACAACTCTTGCCAACAACGAGCATTCGCATGCTGCCTCCTATCTTCCGCAATGGAAAATCCTTCCTGTCTACTACCTTGATTGAATCAATCTTTGGCATTCACTGTTGCGCTCCGCTTCAGGCTGCCATGTAGTAAGTACAGCGATTTTCCATCTTCTAATCTTGGGGGTCTAGGAGTTGATTGCTGACCAACTGTTGAACATTGGACCATCTTTGCGTTATCCTCACGGCCAACCGATGGAGAATATTTGGCATCGCTTTTTACTCCTTGATCAACTTCCATACAATCGTTTCCGTGCTCTTTTCAATTGCATCACCAGTCAGGCTCGTGAGGCTAGGCAAGTCTAGTACCCTTGGTTTACAACCCCTGCCTACAGCCACACTAACAAGCATCGTGTTCCCAGCAACGGGCATTAAACATGTTCACATTCCTCTGCGTTCTGCAATTTGGACCGGCCCAGTTGCCCATCAGCTCCCAAGACTCTTGCCGATGCCCTCTGCGACTATTTGGACGTTGTTTGGTCAAGTACTCTCTTCCAAGATCACCTCCTGCTAGCTGCAATTCCCAGCTAGCCATGTTGGTTGCACGTCATCGGTCCATCCAGGGGGTACACTACTTTAACCCCTTACTTCTTCTCAACTGCCGTCTTGCCCTGCCACTCTACGACGGAAATTTCCAGAGCCTTCAGCGGTTGTCTGCATATCACACGGGCTTGGAAGAAACAACCTCTTCGGCAAACCTCTCCATTCATGCTGGAGTACAATACATTTGTTTCCAATCGAACCTGTCCAGGTTTTTATTCGATAGACTGTTACATTATTTGCGATGCGACCGTCATAACCAAACCAAACAAACTCCCGACGCTAAAAATACGAAATCAATCAATCTCATTGTACACCAAGCCCTCTCATCAATTTTGCCCTGAGTTCAGATGGTGCTGCTTGTTCAGCAAGATCTTGGTTACGGTACTATCAAAGTTGCGTTAGCATGAAGGCCTCGGTGTTGGCATTCGAGGACTTGGTCGCTCTTACGTTCTCTCCACACCAAACTTATCGGCAATGTCCTTGTGGGTGAGAGACCTGTGGTGCTCGTGGAAGAGACAAATGTCAAGCTTCTCTCTGTCGCTAAGCGTCCGGCGAGTTTGTCTCGGCACTGAGGGTCTAGAGAAAGACGAACACACGATGTCAGCCCTTTGCCCTGGGAAGCATGTTTGGAAGCAAGAGACTTACAGTTTCTCTCCGGGTCGCCCAGTAGGCAACGGATGTCGGACCGGCCGCTCCTATCGTCAAACTTGTTAGTTTGCATGTGTACGGAGGAGCATGCTGAGAAGAAAGTTATTGCCAAAGAGAGGCAAAGAAGGGAAGATGGCGAGAAGACTGGTGGAGGAAAGAAGCGACTTACAACCACTGGCTTGGTCTGGCGGACCCCATTGTGCAAAGCAGCACGCATCGCGGCTTGGCGAAGAAGAGACTCGTGTGCTTGAAGAGAGAAGTCGGGTTTTTGTAGCGACGTGACCGAGAGATAGTTGGACGGGGTGTTGACATTCGGGGTGTTGACATTCGGGGTGTTGACATTCGGGGTGTTGACATTCGGCATGCGAGGTGGTCTCTGAGCTGAGCCATGAATGGAGGGATAGGGAGCCAAGATAGGCTCATTTCTCGGCGGAGAGCCAGAACCCGAACGGCTACGCTGATGTCTGGGATATGACTTGTGGATCTTGTGCTGCATTTGAGGGTGCTGCATCTGAGGGTGTTGCATCTGGGGCTGCTCATTTACCCGAGGGAGCATGTAATGGTGATGCTCATTGACTCGGGGAGGGAGCACGGGATGTTGTGAAGGGCTCACGACCGGGTTGCGTTGTCTGAAGAAGGGGTCATGCGGCGAGCGTCCGTATGGGTCGTCATAGAGACCTCCCCCCTGGGGGTACTCCATCTGGGGTGGTTGTCGACGGACGACAGGTTCGGGATGAGGTTGTGGTGTTGCCCTGATACACGGAATTCGGAGAATAGGAGAATCGGCGACCTAAAGAAGAACAGAGTCAGCGGCCTTGGCGTATTACATCCTGAGGAAGAAAACTGGAAACCACAGACCATTCCGGCTGGGATACCTGGTGGCATGGCAAGCATTTTGGAGGTCGGGTACTGTGGCGGAGGTTGGGCGGCTGGTGGGTTGCGAAGAGGCAGAGACGTCATAAGAGAGTCGAGGCGGGTTGAGATGGGAGCAAAGCAAAACCAAGTTGGAGGACGGACACGATACACCCTTTATGAAGAGAGTTTGATGAGAGAATTGTTTTGGGGGGGAAGGAGAAGACTGAGGGAACGCATGGCCCCGCCTGACCGTCTTGTTGTGCGGTGAATATTGTCAACACGGGCGGATTGGCTGCTGGGAGCCGGTTGGGATGCAACCATCTCGAACCAAGGCGCTTCCAAGAAAGGCGCTTACACAGATGCCCCAATGCTTGTCATTCCATCGTCGGGCCCCACGATAGACCCCAGTTACCCGGGCAAAATCTCCACAGAACTGGCGGTGCAGGCATCCCAAGTGGAAGGGGGCGGTTGTGGCCACTTGCTGTTTCTGGCTGTAGCCCGTATGCTGTTGGTGCTAACATCAAGATCGATCTTGACGTTGGCTGTCCCAACACGACGGTTGCTCTCCTAAGCTCTCCCAGACGTCGTCGCCGTCCCCCGTATCGCCAACTGCCTCAGCTAGCTCACCTCGCATAATTTCTACCCAACCTGCCCTCCCACGAGACCATCACCGCCCAGTCACCACTTGACTGATCGAGCGGGGTCGAGCTGCTTGGCGGGGTCAAGGCGGTTTGGCTAGCCGCCGTACCCGGACATACTCACACCAATCACCAGTCAACACACCAGCAGTCGGTGACAGGCGAGGGCCAAACTCATCTTGTGAAGGGCCAAAAATACACCTGCCTTCTCCACAATTGCCGAATTGCCCATCTGGCGTGCGCCCATGTCCCATGTCCCGTTCCTTATCGGGTCCTCCATCTCCGCGCTTGCTTGCAGGAGCTCAGACAAAGCACACGGGAGGCCGATGTGGGCTCGGCAAGCCCTTGACTGCCGAGCTAAATGCTGAATGAATGGCCAAAAAAACACCAAGGAGACTCTGGCACGCGCCTGCGCCCGCATTGGAAATAACATGGAATTTTCTGGGGTTGCTGTCATCTCGTTCGGCCGCTAGACAAAAATAACCTCCGGTAGCGGCAGCGGCACTCGCAGCACTGCCGTCGAAATCCAATCATCCTCAAATTGAGACAAGCCACACAGCAAGCGACGCGCGCACCAGGATTTAGCTTTGCTACATGATATGCATAGCGCCGTCTCTAGAAAATAAAGCATCCTCTGGAATAGTCGCAGCATGCCCCATGCCGGCTAGGGCACAGGCGTCACCACGGCTGTCGCTCTCTGACTGGGTGTCACCGACATGACGAGCTTCGCGAAACAAGGGCACCAGCTGCAAGAAATTAATTTCGGGGCCATCTGCGTGAAAGCGGCGAGTGATTGGCCAATGCTGGGTGCCAGTGTGGTGGTGCGCACGCAGCTTGGCGCTGCCCATCTTGGCGGCCACATTTGATGTAGAGCTGCAGCCACACGCGCTCTCGACATACATGCAGTGTGCATTGGAGGCATCGTCTGGTCTTGGAATCCAATCCGAGCTCTAGCACAGTCATCACTGTCACTTCGGTTTTATTCAACAAGGGAATGCATGCTGCAGTGCAACTCTGGTCGTCACAATGGTCAAGCTCTGGCGCGGTCATAGGTTATCAATTCATCTCGAGACTACAACATCCATCTCCTGCAGCACTCCGATGCACCATCTGGCGCCTGCTGTGATCCAATGTGAATCCTAGTAATTCGCACCCAAAACCCGGCCTCCACAACAACATGCTAGACACAAGACCCGGACCAGCATCGCCGAAAATAAACTACCTAGCAGAGGAAGGGAAGAAATTGTCAAACGCCTCACCACGCCCCATCGCCCCCTGGATGACTACTCCTTCTCGGTCAGCTTTTCATTTGTCAGAATCCTCCTCGGTGAGATCCTCCACAACGACATCTCCGTCCGACTCCTCCTTTGGCGTTGGGTCAGCATATAGCTGATGCTCGGTCCAAATGACCGACATATCCGCATAGTTGCGGTTGTCGTCCACTTGGTAGAGCTCCTGCCCCGGATACAGGATTACGAACTGCCCCGATCTCACCTCGACAGGCTGGTCCATGGCACAATCCTCGTCGACGATTGTGCGGACCATCCAACGGGCTATTTTCAGAGGCTCGTCATCTTTAAAGGGCAGGCCCTTGCTGAGGGCTGCCCGGCGGGCCATGCCTTTGGCGATGACCGCCCCAGCGCACACATTCTTGCACCCAAGTGCGAAAGCGATGGCAATCCGGTTCGGAGGCACAGCAAAAACATTCTGTCGCATGGTCATGATCAGCGGCTCGGTCTCGGCCTTGCGTTGGACAAGTGCTCCATTTTTCGAAGCCCAGTCCAACAGTTCCTCGGCCTAGTGCATGAATCGTTAGAACTTTGCCTGACAGAGAGCGAGGGTACAGAATCAAAGAGAAAGGATGGGGGAGCTTGAACGTGACTACCATGGGCTGAGATGGTGGGACACTTACGAGCACTGGATAACATTCTGCGAACGCCGCCGCGGCATTGGCGGTCGGGCTTCCGTTGGCAATATCTTCGGGCTCATGAGCCCTGAATCCACCCGTGGTGAGGGCCTTGACGGCCTCCGCACTCAACTGCGAGGAGTCCCGGGGGACGATAGGGTAAACGGGCTCACGTAGCTCGAGAGTAACGGCCATTTTGCAAGAGGCGGAGGTTATTTGAAAGTAGGGAGATGTGAAGAGAGGTGTATGATCTCGTGCGGTGCACAGATGTCGTTAATCAACACGGTGTGCAGGGAGGAAGCAATCTGTTCAAGGGCAGACGGTACTGCCGAGCGAAGAGGATGTGGGGAGAGGATGATTCTGCTCAAGTGCAGAATACGATTTATGAGTATACGAAGGAAGAAGACCGCTGCTCAAGTGCAAACGGCGGTTGGCAGGTAAAGAGAGAGAGCAAATTGTCAAGCAGGGCAAGAGAGGATGCTGCTGAGGTGCAGACGATGGTCTTCAGGTGCTGAAGAAGGAGATATCCGTCGATGACAAGAGAAGAGGATGTTGCTTGAGTGCAGATGGCAGTGATCAAGTGTGAAGGAATTGTGAGAAGTGGAGGGCAAAAGAGGAAGATGTGTAGAAGACACTGGAAGATGTGAAGACTTGATATGGTTGTCGAATGTTTCTTCTGTGTGTGAAGAAGGAAGAGAAAGAAGAAGACAGAGAAGGGAATCGAGCTGGTCTTTATACCCCTTCCACACGCTTAGGACCGGGCTCAGTTTGCACTGAATCTCCTCCCATTTGGCGTTGGGCTCCCCTCCGTGAATACGACTTGCAGTCACCACCACTGGTCAACGCTCTGACCGTAATACTCTCTGCAGCCAACGCTGCAAGTCGCTTCCTGCAGATGGTGATCATCTCTAGATTGGTTACGGGAGTGTGACAACAACGGGGCTCTTCTGCCTGGTATCCGTGTACAGTGCCATACAATTCGGTAGCAGAGGTACCCGCCAAACGCAAATCAACACATCAAACGCACCTCAACACATAAAAGTGCGAAAGTCATCACATGGGAACAGCTGCTCAGCTCGGGGTGGGCTTGGCGTTGTCGGTAACCGTCTGATTGTCTCAACTATTGATGACTCTTCCGCAGCCTCCACACACCCGCAGAAGCCGACTTATCATTGGATGAAGGACACCCACACCAGTTTTCCTTGGGGCCAGGAACAATCGCTTACTCTGGCGGATTCTACCATTCATCTGGGGTCCAAGGGTCGTAGGACGCCCTCCCATCTTGATCGATCCGACCCCAGTTTTACCCGGTCTCCAAAAGCCAAAAATCAAAGGAGATAGCAAACATTGGATTGCACCGCAAGGCCAAAAAGCTGCGCGTGCGACCGATGTCTAGAAAACGCCGGCAGCTGAATGGGCTCGGGGCTGCCTCCCAATTGGTGTCACCGACTTGGTCAACACGACAATTCTCCTCTTTCCTTCATGTAGGAAGCCGTCACGCTAAACAGAAACGGGCGTCGATGTTCGCCTGCATGAGATTGTTCATCGAAGCTAAGAGTCGGCCGTCGGCAATACGCACGCCTCATCCATCAATGGATGGCTGATGTGCATGTGGGACGGCCTGCAATTGGCCAGTGGCGTCTGCCTAAAGCGCAGCTGCAGCTGCGCGTTGCGTTGAGCGTTCGAGGTGAACATTGAGCGTTCGATATGTGCGATGCCAAGCGTTGATCTGTTGACCTTGGCTCTGATGATTGGATGCAATGGGGGAACCTTCTAGACCGGCTCCTGCACGTAGCCGTCGCAAGCCAAAGGCCGCCTTTCGCTTTCTCGTTATCGCCGCCCAAGAGAAGACTGTGGTCAGCCCGTTCGATGAACGTGGGTGACGATGTTCGAGCAGGATGGACTGGATGCCTGGAACCTTCCGATATTGCTGTCGGCTCCCGAACTCCACTCCCACCATCTTGCTCCATCCTGTCCGATGAGTGGTTGGCCAAGCATGCAAGCATCCGACGACCCCTCCAAGCTTCTCATACCCTCTACTATACGCCTGGGGGTAATGATAGACGACCAGACAACACGAGCAACAGGAGGTGCATGAGGAGACAAGCTAACGTCTGCTGTGCAACACACCCGGGCTGCCTCCTCAGTTTCAAGTGCGGCAAATTTTTCTGCCATGTGATCAGCATATGGGCGAGCTTCTAGCAATGGCCTGAGAGTTCACCTTCCGGAGCAAATGTGCCGTGGTGTGAGCTGGCTTGTTCCTGACTGGACAGGTGAACCTGGTTTGGGCGAGAAGCGCGATATCACGAACCAGGTTCACAACCATCGTAGCTCATGCCAAGCCGCTCACGGACAACCTAAATCTGAAGGCCATCTGGTGTGTGCCTATGCCCTGATGAGTATGGTGCCTTATCATCTGCCTGAATGGATCCTCTGCAGCCTCACTTCCGTGAGTTCTGTGGGACTTGTTGCACCGAGTCAGAAATGAAGTTGCCTTGAGGACGGACAACGCTGTGGCTGTTTCATTTAAACGCCGATGATGTCTTGAGCACATTCTCTGGCCTCGGTGGCTCTCGGGCTGCAGGGGGCGTTTGTGTCACTTGCTCTTTTGCCGGACTTGCATGCCTCCTACGAGTCTTCCGAAGGAGGTTGACGCCCGACTCGATACCATGGGGGCGCCTTGGTGCAGACGAGCCCACCGCCTTCAGGTATCACAGGTATTGGTAAATCACCCTCGCTGCCTGATGGTTATGTCCACATCCGTACCAAGGCCGACGATGGTTGAACAGGCATTATGCATGTCGCCCGTCTCAGCAGAACTGGGTGTCCCTACGTACCATCGATTGTTGAACCGACGTGATGCATCAAGTACATGCATGGAAGCGTGGATAGACCGGCCAAGTCTTCAACGTGTTGGATCGGCATAATGCACACTTCCTATCTCCTGATGAAAGGCGGGCAATATAGTTGCACCTACACAAAGCCGAGTAACTATGACGCATCGAGCACGTTCTCAGGGGGTGAGTGAGACGGCTCCTTGCATCGGCTGAGAATTGGATCGGCCGATGCCTTCAGCTCATGATAGCAAGGATGAGCAAGTCCCTTGTGCCAGCTCAAGGTTGAACATGCATGCTGCAATGAGCCCACCTCAGCAAGAACAGTGGCCCCTTTGCGTCCGCCGAGGATTGAGTTGATTCGGTATGACGTATCAAGCTCATCACACCAAGTCCGACGATACAGCTACGGCAGCTCAGTGCCGAACGGACATCAGGCGTCCAGCACCTCCTGTCAGGCGTGACAGAACTCACTGCTACGGCAAGGGTCCCCAAGGTATGCCATAGTCGGCGACCTCAGACACTCACGTTGATGGATGCGGTCGAACTAAGATGCAACTCAATGGATTGATCAATTCAGGAACTATCTCATCAGGTATGCAAAAAAAAAGAGAATCTACGCAACATACCGCCAGACCTTCTATCTGGCACCAAAATTTCCATAAAACTCAGCTTGGTCGAAGGCAATGTCGGCCCAAGCCAAGTCCTAGAGCTACACCCCCTAATGAGCCACTGTATCTCTCCATAAGCTCCAGCCTACCGTCGAAGCCGGGCGGTTAGAGCCACCATTATCCAGGTGACATGCAATCAGCCCGTCTAGAAGAACTTGCCTGGGCCCTTGGTAGTAACCACTTCGTTCTGGGTGGAATACTCGGGCTCCTCGTCGTGAGCCGAAGCTCGAGCGGGAGGGTCGAGAGCCGTGAATGGGTGGCCAGTCATCTTGGAGCGAACGAATTGATACGTGAGGCGTAGACCCAGAGCGGCGAAGGCCCAGATGAAGCTTCCCACGGGGGCGGCAACGAAAGCGCCAAAGGCACCCCAGTCGCCAGAATAGAGACCCTGCTGGACGAGCAGAAGCTCGCCTCCCGCCTGGGCGCTACCGTAGTAGATCGTGCCAAAGATGAAGACCGTGAGAAGACCACCGACTCCGCCGACGATGACCTCGAAGCCGCGCCACCAGTAGAAGCGGCTGGAGAGGCCAAGAAGGAGCACGGGCACAGTAGACGCGGAGACCAGGTCGCTGATGAGGTAGATTTGAAGGACAGAGGGGGCCTTGATGGCGATGGCGACAACGGGGAAGATGATGAGGACGACGAGAGCGCGGATGAACCAAATGTTGATCTTGTTGCGGAAGAGATCGTTGGAGGCGGAAGAGACCATGGCGCTCTGGAAGCTGTCGAAGGCGGCGGTGCTGAGCGAGACGGTCATGACGAGGATAACGCCAACGACCCAGTTGGGCAGCTGCTCGAGGAGGGTGAAGAAGGCGACGGAACCGAGCTGGGGTGGGTCGCCGGGCCAAGCACCAGACCAAGTCGCGATGAGGCCGCTGGATCCCACGAGGGTGAGGATGCAGAGGAGGGCGACTGTTGCGACCGAGACGCCAATCCACAAGTCCTTGTCAGTCTTGGAAGAGAAGGTTCGCAGCCAAAACTGCGACAGGAAGAAGTCGTTGGTGAAGATAGCGACGGGCAGAATGTAGAGAAGCTGCCATCCAACAAGGCTGGCCTCGAGGTAGCCAGACTCCTCCACAAGACCTGGCTGGATCTTGACATTGACGCCGACAGCGATGGTGCCCATGATGATCAGACCGACGACCATGGAGCCCTGGACGGTATCTGTGAGGAAAGAAATCTTGAATCCTCCCAGAGCTGTTTATCAAAGTCAGTCAGCACGGTTTTGCCGGCAATTGAGCATCACAAGAAAGCTGAAGAATTTGAGAACCTACACGTATAGATGGTAGTCACAACGCACTGGACAATCATGACGGGCAAACCATCAAGACCAGTCAAGAGGGTGACAATCTGGCCAATTGCAGAGAGCTCCGAGATCATGTACAAAAAGAGGGTGACGAGGGTCATGAAGCTGAGCCAGAGCATGGCAAGAGTGCCATATCGCTGCCTGACCCATTCGGTCAAGACGAAGCCCTCGGGGCACTGGCGACGGATGATGGGGCCAAGCGCACCAAAGATGAGCATGGGCAAGGCAGACGAGAAGGCGTAAATGAGCATTCCCTGGACGCCGGTGAGGGTCGCCACTTCGGGATAGGTGGTTAAGACTCCGGAACCGAGCGCTACACTTGGATGTCAGTCATGACGGGGGGGAAAGAAGGGGTCTGGGAGGAGAGGGACAAAAAGCGGCAGCACATTTCCCACGCAAGCATTAACTTGGTCGAGTCTTGACGGTGCAATCTCAGCTTCGTTTTGCGGTCGGCGACAGACCTCTCCCACAGAGCGAGCAAGCTGCTACCATGGGTTGGAGATCATGCCGTGACTTCAAACTCAGCGCCCGTAGTGAGCCGCGTTCTCCCCCTACTCTTCCCCCGTTCCCCGACTCTCTTTCTGGACGAAAGAAACAAGGCAATATCCCTCCTGGCAAGTCAGTTCGTCCACGAGGCGCGAGAGCCGAGACCCTCACGCACTTATGAGTCTATGGTGAATGAGACAGAAAGGAGGGATTGTATTTTGTTGGTTTGGCAAAGAAAGAGAGGGGGAAGGGGACGGAGAGGAGGAGAATGCAAAGATCATGGGATACGAACCTGCTGCACATTGTTGTCTTGTCTGGAAGAGCCGAGTCGCATGCCTATTGGGCCGGGGTATGTTGCCGTCATGGACGAAAGAACGTGGTCTTGTCTTGCGCAGACGATGCTGCTACCGCTATGTTGGTTGGACTGGAGCATGCTGCTCACTCACCCGAAGCGATGAAGTTCAGGGCCAAAGGCCAGGCTGCAAGAGGGGTGTCAGTATAGCCATCGCGGCAATAGGGCGTGGGGAACAGCAAGCAAGAAAAGAAGCATCAAAAAGGAGAATATCAAAGGCGGCTGCAGAGCGGGATGAGTCTGACCAGTCTGGGTTCCATTACTGGAGAGGAAGTCTGTCTTTACTTGGCTACGGAGCTTCCAGGCGATTGCAGTGCCGAGGACCCTACATGCATGACAGACGAACGGCTGCAGTCAGTTTCATGCACCTCACACTGGGGGCGGATGGATTGTGGGACACACAGAAAGGCCCCGTAGGTGAGGTAGATGATGGCATTGGATGCCTCAAAGGACGGCTGGCCCATGATGACGGCAGCGGAGGGTGGATGCGGTTATGTTGAAGCTCGAAGACGAGTTGCACTTCATGCAAAGATGATGGAGGAGCAGGGAAAAATAAGAATAAAAGCCAGGCAGGTACGTTCCCAATCCCCAGCCAGCAATTGACAAATGTGGGAAAGCTGATCAGATGGAAGAAATTTTGCGGATATTTGAGGGAACGGGGGCCAGTAAAATGCCTCTTGGATGAAGCGACTAACGGCTTGCAAGTCCCAAGTTTTTTACCTAATGATGGGTCCTCCGATGGTTCGATCGCTTGCCACCCTACACGGGCTGAATACCACCTCGAGCAGCTGGACGACAATCCCGACAGACGTGACGGAGCCAAATGCTGAATTCACCATAGCGCGTTTATAAATGATCACCTCATTGATGACGAGCTGTCTAGTCGTTGGTAAGTTATGTTGTTTGATTGTGTTCTCATTTGCTACGTGTGGATTGAATTTCTCTTGGCAATGAAATGGCTAACTCTACGGGGTAGGTGGAGTGTATTACGGGATCTAAAGACGACATTCAGAGCAACCAATCAATATTGGTTCAACATAATAATCCACACGAGACAGCGAATAACTGCTGGTTTGAATCTCCCAGCCACATGTGGCACACCATAACCTCTCTTTTTCCTTCTACATCAGCAGAATGTGCCCGGCTCAATCTCGGCACGGCCCAACACCAGCCACACCAAAATGCAGATGAACGATCTGTGTCATGATATCAATGGAGCAGCATTGCATTCACGTGCCGGATTAACTAAGCGCCTGTTTCCAATCCATGGAACCTTGAGTAACATTTAATTTATTAATCGACTTGGGCCAGAGGTGCAAGCAGCTCCCCTTTGTTCTCATCTAGAGTGGCTTTGCCTAAATAGAGCTTGTTTCAACCCATCATCTCTTACGACGTACCGGTTCGGTGGACCCATCCCACACGAATCAATGCAGCTCCGCAAGCTCAATTGGTCGCGACAATTCCACCCGAGGCTCGCCTCACCGCCTACCTAATTCGATAGGCACAATTCAGTTGGATTGAATCGTTCCCGTCAACATGACGATGGCGAATTGTCAGTCGCTCGCACAACCACTCACTGCTCACACTTTTACGAATGGGGATCCCAGACTTCCCAAGGTCGCTGTCTGCGCCAATTTTGCGCCATGGTCTTCCCCCCCCTTACCTAGTCAATTGACTCTTTCCACGAAGAACTAGCCACATCTCCAACGAATGAACTGGACCTCGAGAACCTCTTCAGGTCGACCCGAAACCCGCGCTATTTGCAGTGGCCGACTCAACACTCCGCCTCCTGCAACTCCGTACGCTAGCGATGCAACATCCCACTCTACTTCTCATGTTTGGATAAAGAGGGCTCTTGCAACGGCAGGCGCTCAACTTGCCCCTTTCATGACTCCGTGATGGATTAGTTCGACCAAGACAAAAGGCACCCACGAGCACGACACGACAACCTCTACGGTAAATCGACCGACCTGATGGTAACCTATGCCATATCGCTACCTCGAAACACTATTTTCCACTCCGAAACAATAGTATAGGCACTCGTTGAATGGCAAGAAACAAAGAAACAAGACTGATCTGGGCGCACATAAAGCGAATGCCAGCCGTGGCGCTCTGCTGTAGAAAGCAGGAGCAGCTGTAATAGTAACAGAAAACTACCTCCACCGCCCAGTTGATTGGGTTCAAGTTTCAGGTGGTTCTGAAGCTTCTCTTCAGGCTGGCGCATTTTGCCTTCGCATTAAGCCTCATGGCCTCTCCTTTCTTTTCGCTTGCGCAAAGCTAGCCAAACCAGTTTCCCTGGTTTCCCTCGTGAACACGCAGCAACGAGCCCAAGAATACACCGGTTCCGCTTCTCTTCCTGATGCCACCGCACACATTTATGTGTCAATACGGACCCGATCCGATTACTTAGACAATCTTTGGCGGCTTCCATTTTTAGTTCCTCTTCAAGCTCGAGAACTTGGTCTCCAAACCTAACCGCAGCCGTTGGCTGTGCTCTACTCCATTGCCACTATCCTTCTCATTCCTGTCCGATACGACCAACTAGTTAGTTCCAGTTGCTGGTTCTGATAAGCAGAAGCCTCGTGATCCTACGTTTGGTCTCACCATCTTGGAGGATGTCGCCTTGCCAATGACCGTAACACACGCTGTACTTGGGACTGATATGCTATTATGGACTTACACGGCCCTGTTGCTCTGACCAGCCACGATCCGGGACGCCAGTTTTCTCTTTCGGCATCAGATCACCTTTCGACTTGAGGCAAGCTTCGTACAGTACAGCTCTGATTATGGTTCTGTTCCACTTCGCCGCTGCACGGTTCCTTGCTATGTTTTCTTCAGTGGCAATGGTTCATCATTGATTTCTGTCGAGGCCGATTGGACCCGAGTTTTGTCCAATTTGAAGCACCTAGAATAAGGCGAGGTGACAATGAAATCAACTCACGTCCAGGACTCAGCCTGACCCGTCATAAATAAGGGCACGGTCACTGTCTACTCAGGGCGAGATATCAGCAACTTGCCAGAGCTTAACCACTTTGGCAAACCGATCGTTTTCGCTACGGCTCGGTACCAGATCACCTCGAGCGCCGCCGTGATATCCAAGTACCATAGGCTCATTGAATCGCCATCTGATACTTTTGTCATCTTTAGGCATGGCAAGGGACGCTGTACCTGAACCAGGCCGAGCTCTTCGTTGTTGACTAAACATCCTGGAATATCAACGGAAGGATCACGAACACGGACATGCTTTGGGCGTAACCTCCTATGCCTGCCTACGGTTTAGAAGCGAGCTATCGGACTAATGGACCTTTTATCAGTCTACCTTGTCGCATCAAGGTCGTGGGCTACCTATATTCCGGGTTCAAGCTATGAGATGTCTTCCCCGGGGTGGCCTAAAACCGCAATTCCAAACTGTCCACAACCTAGATGCAACACTACTCGACTAAGATCATTTTCAGAATCAGTTCAGCATGTGCATGGATCGGTGGCCTAACGTTGGAGCTCTGCTGCCATGACGATGCTTGGCCTGCGACCGCACACTTGTCCCTAGCGATTCGGTAATACGCACGAAAGGCGATTATTGTCTACTGAACGTAGTCGATCGAAATCTCTGCCGCTGGTGGACCAGCAGGACTCATCACATCACTAGCCAGGCCAATGTTCTTCTTGACGTGCTCTGCTTTCCTTAGACGACGAGTAGGCGAACATCCTTTTGGAAAAGGGGACCTCGAGGAGAGCGTGCTCCGTTTTGGCACAGCCATTGAGAGATGACCCCATCTTTGGACGACTTCTTGACAGGACCTATCGATCCTCACAGCAGAGAGATGTGTATGTACAAGGTCGGTTCGAAAGCGAGCGTCCGGCGACTCGATAGGACAGCGCAGTATGTTTCGGGCGAGGTAGTCGCACGATTGGTAGCGGCGGCGGCTCTGACTCGCTCGCCGGTGAGCATGCGGTTTGATCGACATTCTACCCGAGATCAGGCGCGGTCGAAGCACCTTCGCTTGGAAACGGGATATTAGCTCAAGACGAAGTTGAAGCATAACTGCAGTTGCGCAATGGCATCGTAGAATTTCAGACCATTGTTATTAGGGGGGAGCTTACGGCGACCAATCCGGTTCTTTCACATCCCCCAAAGGCACCATGCAAATTACTTCCGGTCACACTCAGCCAGGAAGTGGACAATTCAGCTTAAAGCAATGGCGGCATTTCACATTTGAGTTCTCAGTCAGAACAGGGAAGCTCTCTGTCGATATGAGCGGCCGTTAGGGCGAAGATCAGCTACAATAGCAGTTGTGCTGCCAGTGCCAAAGCAGATGCCGTTAGTCAGAGAGCCAAGCATCATGATTGGCGAGAGAAGAAGCTGCGTCAGAGTTAAGCAAGTCGCTTGCAATAGAGGGGAAGACAGCTGCTGCCTCGGTACATCCCCTAGGTTCCAGGTTAGTGTAGCGGGATGGACAGCAGGCACACTTCTCTGCAGGCGGTGCCAACCCATTTTCAGAGTGCCTGGGGAGGCACAAGGATTGCAACTACACCTCGAGGAATATTGACATGCGGGAAGCGTGTCTCTGGCACCGCTTTCGGCCACCTATGGAGATGGAGCTTTGCTGTCAATCTGGATCAAGAAATATCCTCTAGTGCCTCTGCAAGCTCAGCAACCTGGACGAACGGATCATCGTGACCATTTCCGGCTTCTGCTCTGAAGACTTTCGATACGAAGACCTCTCGATCACACGGTCTCGGTTGGAAGAGGTGCACTCTCCGTCTGGGCGTATTCTCCTGCCGCCTGGCCTGCGATCGTCACAGAGCCTGATCAGTAGCGCCGCTGCACTACCTAGACAACTGGTGTGGGCGGATTGACATGTCTTTTTTTCTGGCGAGGAAAGAACCGGGCGATCCGGTTTTTTCACATTGGTTCTAGGCTCTGCGTATTGCATAAAGGAATACGAGCTGTCAGTTATCAAACCAAAGCCTTCGCTTACCCAGAAAGAAAAAGAAAAGAGCAGTTTCAGGTGTGAAGTCCTCCACACCACTAAAGCTACCGCGGAGTATTACGAAGACCGCCAGCTTCCCAGTGTTTCTCACTCAGATGGCAAATACGCGGAAGCTCAGTGACAAATTATCCTGAAAAGAAAGTAAACAAAGCTCATCCATATCACATAAAACAATGTCATTCAAACCTTCCAGTGTGCTCCCACCTCTGCCGGGAGTGTAAAATGCACGCACGGCCCTGCGCACCCCCCTTCCTTGTCAATGGTCGATGGTTATGGCGGGTTGAAAAGTGGCGAAGGCGGAAGAGGGCCGTTCACCGGCTGCCTTGACTTTTGCCAGCATCTTGCCCGGCCTGAAGCTGAAAGCCAGACGGCAGCCAACTCTCGTACAGTTCCGCACTTTTGTAAGGACACCCCCGCTTCTGTGGCGTTCTAGCAACGTGCGGCGTATGGACTGCCAACAGATACCCATTATCAAAGGAAGACGGGCTATCGGAGCTAAGCCAGACAGGAATACTCTTGCATCTTGAACGCGGTAATATGCATTGTCCTGCTTAATTTCCTCTTGCGTTCGTGTGTTCGGTGTGCGGCATCCAGTATCACATTCGTGCATTTCAGCTGGGCTTCTAGGCATTCTGCGTGATCAGCTACCATCAGCAAGCTGGAATGTCTCACATTAGTCACGTCGATTCAGCTATATATATCTGCGAAGTCTCTCACATTTGCTCGAGTTGCTCTTCTCGCTCAATCTGATCCCATTCTCTCAACAGAATCTTCTCGCCCAACCACCATCAAAGGACAGAACCAATCATGGAAAGACAATTTAGATCAAGGGCAACGAGGGCGCTTGAAATCCTCCAGCCTGCTCTGCCACCAACGCCAGAACCGGGACAGCCAGTTCCGATTCATGTCCGGCTTCATTCACACTGTGGTGCCTGTGGATTATTGTTTGAGCCTGGTGCCAATATCACCGCTTGTATGACTATCAGATATTCCCATCTAGACCAGCTACTGAACTGCTGCAGTGAAACATCATGGGAGTGCCCTCATCAGAATTAATGCTCGGCAATACCCAGAGCCCGGAGCTCCAACCTTCCCAGAGTTCCAGGATGGCCCTGACGCAGACAGGCGTTATCAATTTTGCCGCCTGGGAAGCTGTCCCATCTGTGGTGTCAACGGTGAGAGCATAACGTGCCATTCCGATTGCTTCAACCTTTGGATGAGAACAATGGGAAATGGTGACGGCCTTTACAAGCTGTGGGTTGCAGCCACTTGGAGATATCCTTGGGTTAATAGCCCGGTGTTGCGCTTACCCCCCTGGGATGAACCCGCCAGTTATATGGGCTGTGCAACGGACGTATTGGAGTATCCTGATCTTGCGAGGCTTCCACTTGAGCTAAAGGCAGCTATTGTCAAGTTCAGCGGCCCAACTGAGATTGGGCGCTTCGCATCAGTCCTTCAACTGATGAGCGACATGGCCGCAGACCGACCATTTGTCGCCACTCTTCCCCTTGGCAGTATAAAGTACTGGAATCGAGGTAGCCGACCAAGAATATTCCATGCTAGTAACGGTGAAGTAGTCCAACTCATCATTGACGCTCGAGGACTCATGGAGATTCGCTGGGTTACGAAGCCGATGGAGGACTTTACAGTCCGCTCCGATGACATGCTTTACATCACTGGACCCATCGAGCAATTCTCGAGGATCGAAGTTGCTTTCCAGGTGAGAAGACTCCCGCCAGAGTTGTGCTCGTTCAATCACTGACACTTTTCTAGAATGGCCTTGCTCGGTTGAAACTTCCCTTTCGACAGGAGATCGACCTTTGGGATTCTCCTGCCACCCTCCGCCGTGGAACAATAATCTCGGGGGATGAGCCCGCGCACCCCTCGCATCTTATGTACAAGATGCCTATCAGTCGCTTTGCCACTCTCGATCTCCGGCGATGCAATGGCCTTACCTTTTTCATTGTTCCAGATGGAGTGCACGCAATTCATGCGCACACGCCGGAAAGCCCCAGCGCCGTCGAGGCCTTTGAGCGCCTGAGGCTCTACTACGCTGGTCCTGTCAGTTGGTTCTATGTTCCTCTGGCAGCGGATGATGAGGTTCTTGATATTGGCCTCCGGCTCCGGCGACTTGCGCACAATGGCACGACTCCTACTTTTCTGGTAAGTGTTTGAAAGGATTTGGATAGACCGTAACTGACCAAGAAGATTCACCTACGATCTGGACACTACGCCATCGGACCGCACCTTGAAGGGGCAGTGTTCGATGTGTTGCTTCAGACCCATGGACGGCCTGTTCTGATCTACGAACCATGGTCAGATATCCAGCTTGTGCCTCAAATCAATCAGATTGCAGTCTTTCCCCAGACAGGCATCAAAGCTCAGTATCGCTTCATTCCTTCACGAGGAGCGCGTCCAAGTGAACCTTGCTGTCTCTCCACGGCCCCACTGGAAGGCGTGGAGTCAATGGACGTGTTCCGCAGCGAGGCCAACGGGCCCTGCGTAGGTTTTATTCTCACATATCGCGACGGGCGGCAGAGGTCTGTTGGCCAGTGCCGTTTGGGCCTGGATGTTGTGTCCACTTACCGGAAACCAGTCAAGCTGTATCAATCTTTCCGTCCGAGCAATATAAGCTCGTATACTATGAGGAGAGGAGTATTGGGAACACTTTATGTTGACATCGCAACTGAGGAACACCCTGACGTTGAGAGGGTTTATCCGCATGATGTTGACAGGAGGCCTACGCAGTTCTGGGCTGCCTCTGAGATGCAGGGGACTTTGAAGTTTTGGTTTCAGGCGGAAGGCTCTTTTCTCCGGATTGAGACGCCTGAGGAAGCTGCACCTGAGGAGATGCTCGAGTTTGATCAGGAGTTTATCGATGGAAAGTGTGAGGTGCGGGAACTAGCAAAACAACATATGGATGGTCTCCGGCTGGAAATGCATGGACGAGTCATATCTTTCTAACAGGATGTGAGGGTACTAAGGTCAAGATAGCTTCCCAAGGTTCAATTGATTGTCCTCCGACAGACCCCGACGAGAATTTGCAACGGGGACCGCTCGTTTGTCTCAAAGTTTCTCAGCAGTAAGTTGCCCTTCACATCTTGGTAGGTCAGTATCTGCTGCCTATCACGTGCTTTGTGAAAGGACAACGATCGATCCTAGCTGATGAACGCATAGCTTGTCATTGATTGGTTGAAGCGAGCGGAAACCAATGGGATCGCAAGAGGAAATGATCAGAGTCTCTGTAGCCGCCTGGCCTGTAGCCTGACCTGTGGCTGCTGGCTATAGATAGCACGGTCGTCAAGCATGAATTGATCAGCCGCTGGGCCACACCCTGTCGCCGAAACCATGGACAGAACCAGCTGCTGGCTCTCTGTCTGTCCCCACCCCTTGGGTTGCAAGCATAGAGCCCAAATTGAGTGCGTCGGCCTCAGAGCCCTCCAACTCCCCCCGGTCTACCGCGCAGCTCATGCAGCCAAATGCGGAGTGACAAAAGCCTGGTGGCGCGCTTCCGGTGAATGAAATCACCCCAATAAGTGGGCTGGAACATGCATGGAGTGTCCGGCCATAGTCACTTCCTTTCATTGGCACCTTCCAACCTGGTAGAGTTTTCCATAATTGTGCAGTTTGTGGAGGACCAACCACGGCGAGGGCTTTTAGTACAATGGATCTAACCGGCCGACTCCTACGGGCCGCATCCCCCCCTCCCTTCGCGTGTTCATCGTGGCAGAGCGCCAGCTTACGGTTCTTTGTGAGACAGGGTTGCATTGCAGGGTTGGAGGCGTGGGGGAGCATTACATTGCTGTCCAGGCAGCCTTGGAATGGAACAGCAGTCGTGGCATTCGAGGGTGGTATTCTCAGTGACGATAGCATGATGTCTTCCAGTCGAGGAGGCACCACGACACAAACGATGGAGTTCCCTGATATGTGTGTGTGTGTGTGTGTGTGCTGGTAGGAAAGTGGGCAGATGCAGCGCGATGGAGGTGTGCTCGAGCGTGCAGCGAAGCATTGTGAAGCGGAACGGCCTGATGCCGGACTGCTCATTGGCCAGGTGCCCCCACTGGGGAGCCGATCGATGCCGGCTTAGGCTTGTTCTCACTTGTCTCCCAATCTTCCCTCGCAATTTGGTGGCTGAAATCAGTCTCAGCCGGGCGAAAGGAAGGAGGTCAGCCGGTCGCCGCCGCATTGGGCTCGCAGGCCGCCGCTGGAGTCTCATTGCATGCTCTGGTCCAACATTCCATGGTCTGTCTGTCTGTCTCGCTGTCTGTCTCTGATGGGGGATTCTGAGTAAGTCGGCTGCCCCAGTGTCAATCAGGATCCAGACCAGCACTGGGTACTTTTCGCCCGGCTGACCAAGTGGGCCTCGTCTGCCTTGGCCTTGGCTTCGTCCGGGCCAGATCCAGCAAACAAGGTTCATTGCCCGCTTCCCCTGTCCGTCAAGATCGACCCGATCTAATTAGGGGTCTGGCTAAAGGGTCCTCAGCTGAGAAACTCGGCTTCTACGGGTGTGGCCTCTTGCGATGGGTTGACACCTCTCGGCAGCCGAACAGTCAGAGCACCCGCAATGTTCCATGAATGCGTGTTCTGTAAAGGCGTGCCCCGCAGTCAGCCAGCCCCCTGCATAACGGAGGTGCTACGCAGGCCATCTGGGTGACCCTCTGAGTCCTATCACATCCAACCCACAATTTTCCAAGACTGTCATGGCTCGGAGTCAATAAGGCTGGCTGTAAATACATCCAATATCAGGCACAATATCAGACACAATATTAGGCAAAGAGCTTGCTAGAGCTGGTAAGTCAAACGCAATTTGATTCATCAGCCGATACTGACGGCTGCTAGTGCTGAGGAGACCCCTGTACATGTACTCAAAGTTCATACCCAAACTTCCCAAAAAAAATGACACGTCGATGCGAATAAGTCCAAGAGTCGGTAAGCATGCTTGGTGTGCACAGCGAGAGCAACCTTGATGCCGGAGGCCACTGCTAGAGGCCAAAGTCAATACCAGCCTGGCTATACTCACAGCGACGACGGCGGCAAAGGAAGCCTGTACTGTGTGAGAAACCGGGCTTCGTCAAGTGTGCAGTCAACCTCCATGGTTATTTTCAACCGTGAGCAGCCATCTGGTGATAGTTCCAGGCGATGGTTGAAAGTCTTGAACGTGCAGGCGATCTGCATCGCCTCCGTCAGGTCTGAAATGCGGATAATGGGAGCAGGCACCGCATTAACGCCAGGACCGAGGGTTTCCGGAGTCCCGAGACCACCATCGCTCGCCGACCCAGTCCAGGGCGGGCTGCTCGAGACTGATTGGGCCCAGAAACCCCCATTTGTTGGGCCATGGTCAATGGGAGGGTCATTGGCGGGTAGGATGGGAACGGGTCGAGGACTGGCCTGCTGCAATGGCTGGTACTCTGTGCTGAAATGCTGCCATGGCCGGTAGTCTGCACTAACCTGCTGCAATGGCTGGCAGTCTGTACTGGCCTGCTGTAATGGCCGGCACTTTTCTCTGGCCTGCTGAAATTGCCAGCAGTCTGTTTCGATCTGCTGTAATGGCGGGCTGTCTGTTTCGACTTGCTGTACTGGCGGGCTGTCTCGTACTGGGGTAAATCGGCCGGCCTTTTCCTGGTCGATCTTGCGCAGTGCTGCCGCGAACTCCTTGTTGTTGAATGCATTGCGGATAAGGTCTTCCCCTCTACAATCCGCCGAAAGCGACTTCCATTCGTCGGTTGATTTCCACTCCTCCAGCCCATCAATCACCTCAGACATCTTGTCTTTTGTACTGAATTTATACAGCGTGTGCGTGCTAAAAGCTACGCAGCACAGAACGAACATGAGAGGGCCACACTTGACATATATGGCCGTCAACATACTCTCAAGCTTTTTATGCACCTTTGCGGTCTGGTCCGAAGCTGGTTTTCGCTGCCTTTTAGATCCGAGGAAGGTTTGCTTGACGACGCTCACTTTAGTGAGGTCGTGCCCCTTCAGGTAGCCCCTTGACAATCTGAGTTTCTCTGCCGCCAACCTCAGTTCGTCTGTCTCTTGTTGTTGCGCCATGCTGTGCACTTTTAGTGGCGTGCGTTGAATGCACGAAATGGGGACGAGGTGGTAGGGGATGAAGAAATATGAGGCATTGACATGCGAGGAGGAAAAGTATTTTTTTCTTGTTGAGAACGCGTTGGAAGCTATCAACGTGCGGCCTACTCGGAACACACCATCTCTTACGAGCCTAATGTCCCTTCCTCTGCCGTGCGTAAAGACCTCTAATCGGCCTGAGTATACCTACCATGTAATTATGAGCGACACAGCCCAAGACACGTCGCCAGAGCTGAGGCCGGATGTGCATTACAGGGAGGGTATGGGCCGACTCAATTCGGTCTGCGACCCAACAAAGTTCACCTCGCTACGTCTCTGCAATGCACCGCCGCGATGCTTGGGTACAAGCACGGAACCCACCAATCAACAGATCCGCTTGGCAGGTAGGATGTATAGTGGAGAATCAGATATGTGATATATGACACCAGCAGAACTCGTGTCTGGTCTTGTGGTAGCAGGCTGTCGAACGGAGGCTCTTTTCGCTCGGGTGTCGATGGGCAACTCGCCTCTGTAGCTGTCGAGCTGCTCTCGATGGTTGCCGAAACAAGTCAGAATACACTGTTCGGGGCCTGTAACTCATCTCATGGCTAGGTCGCCGGCAAATCGCTCCTAGATTGGATGGGGTTGTCGCTCGTGTCTTTGGTGAGAATGCGCATTAACTCTGGTACGTTTCGGATTACCGCCCTGGGGATGCGATGGTCGGCTGCTGCATTCTTCTTCACACACGCCTCTCCCCAACCACCATCCGAGAGTAATATTCGCTAGCCACCGACCAATCACAGTGCCCTAGCCGCCGTGAAAAGTCGACCTGTGGAGGCGTTGCGGGCGTGATCGAGATGCTCTTAGCCGATCGGATGAGCCTCTCGGCACTTATCATAGGCTGACGCTTGTCTTGCCTCCCGTGCCGCATTTATGCCTACAAGCTGAGCATCTATTGTCTTGCCAAAAGGGGGGTGTACCAAGTGCAACAGAGCGGTTCCTCGGAGGCTCAGTGCGGAAGTTTGGGGAATGGTGTTGCGCTTCGACCGCCTAGCCATGGTCTTGCGTCCATTGTGTCGACTTGGCCATAATGCCTGTCATCTTGATGATCATTTTCGCAGTTGGTGGCCAAGCCACGGAGGCCGCACATTCCCCAGATATGCTAAGCTTTACGGCCCACGACGACTAGCATGGTTTGTCTTGAACTGGCTGTATGATCCCATTCGTTAAGGCTCGCACGGCTCATCTTGTTGCAGCGATAAGCCTTTACCCCCTTTGGGTCTGCTTCTCACCATTGACACCAAGCCGTCTCGTCTCCGAAGTCTGTTCTTCATGAGCATTCATTCTTCCAACCTTCCAAGTCTGTTTCATCAGCAGCACACACCGTCCTAGTTTCAACCGATTCTTTGCGTGCTATTGCAAGCAGTCATGTTCGAGCCCATGTTCGGGCCCATCCTCGAGCCCGATCTCGACCCCCCTAACGAGTGTAGATCTACACACTCCCAAGTACCCACGATTCATCTTCCCTTCGACCATCGGTGTGGTGCCTGTGGGAGGGCGTTCCAGGACGAAAACAGCGTGACCGCCGGTATGATTTTCCCTCCATCCAGGCCCTTGCAAGCCAGTTACTAAATCGCCATAGTGGCCAGACTCGACGATACTACGTTCACGACATATAGGATAATAGGAACTTTTACCACATATGATGCGCCAAAGCCCACCGTACGAAGGTACGAATCTTATTACCCCTGTGAGGCCGATGGCTGCGCACTTTGTGATGATGCTCCCGAGGCAATAGCATGCCATAATGACTGTCTCAATGTTGTTTACGATAAAAGAGCACCTCAAGATTGTTTGTTGAAGTTATGGACTGCAGGTACTTGGAGAAATCCTTGTTACCGCTCCCCACCTTTGCTCTTGTCCCCATCAGATAACCCTACCTCCCGTATGGAGGCGGCTGTTCATGTGTTCCCTTCTCTTGCAAGGCTTCCTCACAATGTGCAGCACATGATTCTCAAAGACTGCGACGACGCTTTTCTTTGGCGCTACGCGACCGTGTACGAGCTTGCACGCCGGATGAACTGGGACCATTTCTATGCTGGGACCCTTTCCATTGATAGAATACACAGCTGGTCTCGACCTCAGGAGCTGCCATCGGAAGCAAATACCATCATCGAAGATCTACCAGTAGAGGGGGCCAACAACGAGGGATACATTCTGCTTATTATTGATTCTCAAGGGCTTAGGGACATTCTCCGGCTCCCTGAACTTTGGGACCGTCCCGACTACTGCTCAGAAGGGCTGCGTTTCATCAGTGGGCCTGCTGAGAGCTTCTCCGGATTTTCTGTTGACTTCAAGGTGAGGTCGCCCCTTCCTCGAGAGCAAAACTCAGCATATTAATGTTCAGCCAGTATGGTCTAGCTCGTTTGATCGTTCCGCCTGGACGAAAGGTCCAGTTCTGGAGATCCCACTCTCCCCCAAACAACCAAATGATCATTGACTCCGAGGGACCATCACCGGACTTCCCCCTGTACACAGGCCTCTTCTCAGCAAGCCATTTCGTATCAATCGACTTGAACAAATGCTATGGGCTCACGGTTTTTAGTTCTCCCCGTGGTGTGGTTGGTATGCATGCGCACACACCCGAAAGCCCCCTGGCTATGGAGGCCTTTGAGCGCCTGCGGCCTCGCCAGCTCAAGCAGTCGGTCATTTGGTTTTATGTCCCTCTCGGGCCGCATGAAAAGGTCCTTTCACTAGGCCTTCGGTTTCAATACACTCAGGGAAGGCGCATGCTCCCTAGCCTTATTGTGAGTACTTGTTTGTCTTCCGATGGAGCGTGGCTAATGTAAAAGATCCGTTTGCAATCGGGGCGATATACCATCGGGCCATGGTATAATGCACAAAATGGACCAGCGGGAGACCTCACATTCCAGGTCAGAGGGAGGCCTACTCTTCTCTACGAAGTACCACCACGTTATTCGCTTTCTACACTTACCGTACTGCCTCAGACAGAAGTCTCTAAGGAACTCCAGACGCTCAAAGCAAGGGTACCTCAGCTTTGGACTCCCCATCCCCATTTTTCCTCGGCTCGATTGGAAAACATTGACAAAGTCTTGGTGTTTTCCGATTTAGCCCCCGGATTCTGCAGAGGAATGCTCATCACATATAAAGACTCGAAGAAGAAATTCGTGGGTGAATGCCGTTGGGGTCACCAGTCACTCAGGGTCTATCAGAGCCCATTAAGGCTATTTTATTATCAGGGAGCATTTCGTGCCCAAAACGCGCCGCGGTCTGCTCCACTGGTGGAAGTGTCGGACGTGGTCTTTGACTCCAGATATTTTGTTACACCGGCTTCTTGTCACAGGGAGGGTTGGCGTTCATGTGAGCTGAAGGGGGAGCTTCACTTTTGGTTCAACGCCTGCGAGTCTCATGTGTCCGTTCACCAAGAGTGAGGGGGTGTATGGACCACTGAGCTGGGACAATTGTCCAGTACTGGACTGGTTTCATTTGACAGAGCCTACTTGAATACATCCAGACCTCGAAAGCCCTCTATAATTGGTGAAAACTGCAAACAAAGACTAACACCAGAAAGTTCCCATCCTCATTCACTACTTGGGTTTGGGGAAGGGGCGCAATGTGATATTATCGCGTTAGCGGCCACTAGAGTTTCAACGCAGACAAGCAGATTCCCTCCGACGATGGCTTCGATGTGTCGTAAATTTCGAAGTTGCTGGGGGTTTGTGGGAACACTGCAGCCTTCTCTGCTTGCCACCGGTCCGACGAGCCTGCCAACGGTAGCATCCGCACGTATGCCTCGCCCAGAGCACCCGGGGCATCCCGCAGAGTGAACCTCCTGTTGGAGTATCACACTGTCTTGGAACATCACGTCCTCCCAGGGTACCATGTTCTCCTTGAACGTCACATTCCCCCCGAGCACCATGCTCTCTCAGGCTATCACATTTCCTGAAAACTGCACATCCTGTCACCCACACTTGAAAAGCAAAGAGTCATCGGAATACGACGGCTGCCGAACTGAGACAAAAGATAATATCCATGTTCTTACCATCCCCCTTCATTGGTCGACGGGTGGACTATCCTTCTCGTGCAGCCAGCCACAAAGTCAATAATCTAGGCAACAACCATTACGACCATCCGATGGTCGTCGGCTTGGGCATCACGCGCGCTGTGCCGTGATCGAGGAGTGTCCGTAGCTAGGTCTGGGACTTGTTTCCTCCTTCGTCAGCCTCCGAAGGCTTGCATACGCCTCAGACATTCCGAGAAAAAGCAACAAGATAACTCGCAAGTCGATAACTGGTGTGCAGATCCCAAAGGACCTAGCTTGCTTTTTTGGTTACACAAGCAAGCAAGCCATCGAGCCAAGACGCAATGCCAGCTCATCATCGGCGTCTTTCAGGTCGGCCGACCAAGCCACCACTGTCGTGAAACATGTCTATCGAAGACGAAAATTATACAGGCCGAGGTACCAGTACATTTGGAACATGGGCGAACCGGGCGTCACGACGAACCCTGGACCTGGCAATTGACGCTTGCAATCTCTCACTGCTGCCTTTCCGTCTGCCTCGCGAAACAAGAAGGAAAAAAAGAAAAGAAAAGCAAGAGCGGAGCTGTCTCTCCCAGAGCTGAACTGCATCGTGCATCTGCCGAAACATGTAATCAAGCATATGGTTGTCATTGTGACGCCTACTAATCTACGCCGTACCGGCTAGCGGTCAAGACTGACGCAGGCTTACCGGCCCTGACCTGGAAAGCAAGTAATATCAGAGACAGATATGCCCAATTGGCACGGGAGGCCTTCCGTGGTCCGCATACCTAGGCATCTGTCTCAGAGCAATTACAGCCCAAGCCCAGAGGTCTCGGCGTGTTGTGTTGAATAATTTTGCACATCAGCGTGGACGGGCGATCGACAGCCCAGCTGCCCGTTTCGGCGGACTGGATTGTTGGTGGGTGACGGATCGTTTTTGAGGAGGCAGCTGGCCCGTGCGCGGATAGTCTTACGCGGAGACCGGCTTGGCAGCTGGTACCTAGATACGTACCCAGTGCGGGCGAGCCAGCCCGCTCGAGCCGGTGGAGGGGGAGGGAGGTGAGGGATCAGGGGGTGTACGAGGGCCCAGGGGGCGTGGGAGGACGAGGAGGAGGTGTTGGTGTTGCATCCATGATGCATTGAATTGTGCTGAGGGTGCAATGGATGGAATGGGAGACGGTGCTGGCTGCCCGCTGAGGTGTACATCACGAAATCAAACTGTTCCATTGCAACTGGAGGAGAGTAGCAGACGTCCATTGCAGCTGTTGCAGCGAGCACACCCAAGGTTACGTGCGAGGTTACCTGGAGGACACGCTGGGTGGTGGCAGGCGAGTGCTCACGGCCGGTCATTTGCTGGGCCGGGCTGGGCGTGACTGGACGGCCTGCACTGGTGGATGGAGGGGCGGATGCGTGTGTGTGCTCTCTGCTCTGGTCGGGGAATTTTATCCACCAACACTGCGCGCGCAGACACTGCCTGGTGCGACGGTCGAGCTGCCCAGCCCGTCTGCACGTCACTCTTCCTGGAACTCGTCTCCGTCCGTCCAAGTCTCGACGATCTGTGCCCGCTCCCGGCTGAGCCAAAGGGCAGCTTTATTTGCTGGCGCCGGGTGCCAGCGTCGCCAACCCGCGCTGAGCCTAGAGCAGACAGGCCCCCCCTGCCTCCCCGGCTCTCTCCTGGTCTCCCTCCCTTCCCTTGCTTGTTCCGTGGAGACCTCACTCCCTCCTTGCCTCCCTTGCCCGCTGAGACAGTCCTCCTCCGCTCACTCCCTCCCTCAGACAGCCAGTCCGTCATTCCTGGTGCTACCTACCTCTTGTACCACGTTGGGTGGTAAGGTAGCTCCCTGATTCTCGCCAGCCCTGCCGCCTCCCGCATGGCGGTGGGTCGCGGCTGGTCCTGGCTGGTCCTGAACCCAGCCGGTGAGCAATGTGCCATTAATCAATGTCTGGTGCTGAGAGCTGATCCCAGCCGCCCGCCCCGCTAAGCACCTATGTACGGCAGATGCACTGGAATTCATTGTTGCATTCTCGACCAGCTCGTGCCGTCCTTTTCTGACGAGCCTGCTGCCCTTTCTTGACACATCATTCTCAACACCTTCGAGACTCGCGGGCCCAATGACCAAGACAGCGCTGGCTGCCCCCGGCCCTGCCATTCGTCTTCTTACTAGAAGCATCGTCAACCCATAAACCTTTTCCGCTAGCTAATTACAATGGATCCCCGGCGGAGACATGTTGAGATTCGGCCTGACGAGGCCCCGCGCACTCCCAGCTGCGAGCGGCCATACATTGCCATTCGCCATCCGGCGTATCCAGCCACCGCGCCGCCCCTACTGCAGTTCAGGGCCGTCGACCGCACCTGGGAGGGCAAGAAGGCCGTCCATGCGTTCGACCACGATACCGCCCTCATCGCCTGTGGCATCGTCACCGGCAACACCTGGCCTACCGGCTTCATTGGCCTCAAGATACCCAGGCGCAACATCTATCTAAAGTTGATGGCCACCAAGGGCGAGGTACTGCGGACCCACGAAGAGTATTACTACTTCGTCAGTAACCGAACCGGGCCCGATTGTAAGTCTGGTGTTTTGTTCAACCCCGCGCTTTCATCCTGTTGGAGAGCTCTCGCGCTGACGGTGGATGTGTGTAGATAAGTATCCGGTCGTGCCATCGTTTGACAACTGGCGCTTTCCCCACTACAACCTCCCCAAGCCGTGGGCCGAGATCTCCATCTCTGGTCTGCCTCCAAGTTTCGACAGGCTTGGCGGGGCACTTGGCGCCATCGAGCGAGACTTGGGCGGCGAAAAAGTGAATGACCACAATGCGCTCGAGGTGGCCCGCTTGATCCCTCAAAAGCACGAGAAGTGGTTTTTTATAAACGACATGCAGATGTGCGTTGCCCCTGGCCCGACTAAAAGACTTGCTGCCCCTGCTAACATTTGTCTCCCTGCCAAAGTTACCGCCGCAGCCCAAGACATGATATTCCAATGGACGATCTTGGCAATTTGATTTGCCTCCGCCCAGAGAAGCTCAAGCACTTCCAGCACAACATGTTCACGGTCGTGCCCAGAAAGACGCGACCCGACGAGGTTGGTCCTCTTGTGCTCCGTTGCCTTTCTCCAGGCGAAAACGATGAGCTGGTGACCCTCTACCACCTTCGCTCCGCCGGTTGCATCATTGATATGTCCAAGGAGTACCTCTTCGCGCGGTTTGCCATGCTCATGTTCCGCAGCGACACCATGCCCTTCTTCACGGGCGAGGGTGAGACTGCCGTGAGGATGGAAGATCCCAGAATCACCTGGCAGCGCACCGTGATGCGCCAGGATGGGAGCTCCAAGGAGAGCGCCATTGAGATCCGGGAGGACTACTCCTCCCAGACTCCAGAGGCTTCCGTCAATCCCAACAAGCGGAAGCGATCAGAGTCCAGTGAGGGCAACGCAGCTAAGCGACATGATAGCGGAGAAGGAAAATGACGGGACCACAGGACAGAATTTTTCCATGTAATGGGCCAGAGAATAGCTGAGCCAGGATGCACACCAGAATGCACATGAATCAATTTAGTTTTTCCTTCAAACACATTCTCATTTGATGCTCCGACCCTGTGAAGTGTAGCAAAGAGTCTAAAGACTCGAGCGAGACCCGAGAAGGTATGACGCTGGCTCGTATGAAGGAGTGCCTAACACCACAGCGACCCAAGAGGTCGTCAGAGTAGACACTGCACTCCTTGTGATTCGGTATGCCTCTGCTTCTAGGTCCATCCCGATCATCCTTATTGGCGGTTCAATGTTCTTGGAGTCGCAATCGTAAACCTTCGGTCGCTCAAGCATTGACGTGCCTGCAGAACACGAGCTGGTAAGGCCGCGGAGCGCATCCCGTCCTCGCACTCGGCGCCATGGCTGCTGGGCGTGCAACGCATTCATCAGGTTCCTGGATCAATCCGTAGCTTTGTACGTATTTGTACTTAGATAATGATAAATATTCAATTGAGGGGAGGTCTCGGTGCGGTTACTCGGGTGCGCCAGCGAGCAGGAGTAACCTTCGTGATCGCAGTGCTCTGTACCAGTCCGCGGGATCACGCCTTCCACCATGTTGAACTACGTAGCCTTGGTTCCTGCTCGATCAAGGGGGTGGCTTTCCCTGTTCCACCTGCCTCGCTTGCGAATCAATGAGGGACGTAGCATGAGGAAGGTTCAGACCAGCGATAGCACAGAATATCCCACGCGGTGTCACAATCTGTGTCGAGTTCTCTCTTCTCCCTTCTCCCAACAACAATAGCAATGGCTTTGTGTAGCCCGATCCCACTCCTTTGAATTCCTCCTGATCTCATAACATCCTTCTCCCCTCCCTAGACATCGCGGGCTTGATACTATCTAGATGCCATCTCACTTCGAGCTTCCATTCAAATTTACATGGGCCCAACACTAGACTCGAACAGCATCGCCACAGGTGAGACCCCATCATTACCAGGCGCAAATTATTCTAACTTACTTTCTTTTTCAGTGCCTAGTTGGACGGAATACCTTCTCCAGGGGCCCGTGCCTCGTTCCACGCTGTCCAGCGATCCAGGGTATCATCGCCCGTCGTGTCCTCGGCGCCTTGTTAAACGAGATCAGCTTCTGCTGTGAAGCAACTTGTCACACGCGTTGGCCAGTGGGAATCATGTCAATTAATATATGCCTCCATGCTAACGATCCGAAGATGTCATCGTCGCCGAACTGCCACACCGGACCACAAGGGCCCCTCTCGCGGCAGAGATCTCGCTCGTCCGATTGTCCCCTCACGGCTCCTCCCGCCACACCAAAGACTGCGGCCCGCTGTTGAGGCCACTCGCCAGACAGAAGCAGCCCTTCGTATTTATTCCCAGCCGATGGCCAGCCAAGAGCCCGCTTTCCAGCATTAGCCCAGGAGCCATCCGGGAGCTGATCTTTGAGGTGTGCTCGCTTCCCTCGGCTCCAACCCCCCCAGCTCGAATTGGCACCCAAGACCAGGCCTGAGCATTTGGGCTGACCGCAGTGGCGCACACCACCAACGAAAGCTGAGACATGGGATGCGATAGCCGTTGGTATAAGCCTCTCAATTGGACGTGTCGAGCCGGATTATTGTTCATCCCCTCAACCAATACCACCCAACGGCCACACCGACAGACTGCCGCACCGGCCTGACTGACATGTCTCTTCTGTCGACTCCAGCTTCATAGCCAGTTTCTTTTCCTGTTCATCTCCCGAGTCACGCCCGTCAATTCCATCCCGCCGCTCTGTGCGACCTGCGTGGGGAGATCTGAAGCCAGAGACGCTTTCAAAAGTCTTGAGGGAGGCTGCTCCTTCACCTTGTCTTCCCGTGTAACCAAGCCGAGTCCGGGACGGTGTAAGTCCTGAGTCAAAACGCCCACGTACACCCACCTGATCATAAGAACCAACCATTCGAGCTTCCTTCAATATGTCGGAACCAACAGACACCCCCCCAACCGACGAACAGTCTCCTGAAGTACTCCAGGATGCACCGTTTTTGGGATGGCCACCGGAGCCGATCAGACCGGATCGCTTTGAGCCGGTTTTCGACGGTCCCACCTCCCAAACGGTCATGTCACGAAGCCGAAGGTACTGGCGAAAGATGTCGGAACTTGGTCGTGCCTCCTCCCGTTTCGATGTCTCACCCCTCGACCTCAGAGCCCTCCTGTGCAGAATTCCTGCTTTGCCGAACTATATTCCCAGAGAAGCCCGCTCCATCGCCGGCTCCGCCCACTGGTCAAACACGGCAACTAATTGTGACGCCAAGACCCGTGTGACGCCCCGGACCATATCCCTTAGAGGGACCCATCCGGTCGTCTGCCGGATCTCCAGCCTGGAAACCTTCCAGAAATGGAACCGAGACACTCATAACGGCCTCGCCCTGCTGATAATCGGCTGGGCCTATGTTTTTGGCGCGAATCTTGCCGAGCGCCAGGGCTTGTCGATCAATTATGCGCCGCAAGAGGAAACCTCCCGAGACGGTGCCGGGCAAGGCGGCAACCACATGCTCGATCTCCGGTACGCCACCATGGAGGAGAGAAGGTGGTGGAAAGCAGTCCTGGCCAACGGACGAGGGTGGAAGGTTGAAGGGGGCGTTGTTCTCCCTTGGACTATTTCCATCGAGAACATTGGTGTCGACGTGCCTGATGTCGCAGTCCGCATGACCGACATGCCACCATCGTCGTGGCAAGCCGCCTCTTATATTGGTCGGCTGTCTCTCGCATACGGTCTGTGGGGCCAGCTCACAGCGTCTCTGGCTGCCGCCTTGTGCATCCCGCTCCAGTACACCATCATGAGCCATTGGGCGCCGGAAATTGATCTTCCAAAACCCTCATTGGGTGTGCCGCGATTCCACCCTCGGGGAGATCCTTGCTTGCTCAAAGAGCTCAAGCTGATTGACTACTACATGACGCTCAGCCTCGATCCCTCGACAATAGGATGTGCCATGTGGAGCTCATTCTGGACCGAAGGAGTCCCTTGCAACTCGGCCGGTGCGTGGTTCGGGCCTATCGCAGATGTGCTTCGGCCTCACCTCGAGGCCAATGAGCACAAAACCGTTGTCAAGATCCTCTCCAAGGCCTCCCCGAGGGCGGAACCACTCTGGCTAGGAAGTGCTCTCCTGGGTCCCAGTAGCCTCATAGGCAGGATCGAGACGTATCTCGACCGCGGCAGATTTGTTCCCTGCACCGGGCCAGACCCAACTGCGGCGGTGTGGACTGGCCTCCCGCACTCTTTTCTAGATGGCTACTGCACGCGCGGCATCACCCACAAGTACACTGTCTCTCGAGCCGACGTGTGGCGGCTGCGACGTGAAAACGCACACCAGTACAAAACCCGCGACTTCGAGCAGCCTCTTCCCCATAGCTGGCCGCCCTTTGGACGCATGAGGGAAGAGGACGTGGAGCTCGAGATCCGCGAACATCTCACTTGCAACCATCGCTGGAAGTATCTGTTCTGGACATGGGCCGGAGAGCTTGAAGACGTCGGCTTCTCACACTGCGGCAGGCTGTTACGACCTCTCAATATCATGATGGGCCAACTCGACTTCGGAGGAGACGGCTGGTCGCAGTACGGTGCCCTCAACGTGACGAACCAAGGGCTGAACCACATTGAAGCCTCGGACAACCTGACCAGCGCCATGTTCTCATGGGCCAGGTCTCAGGTGGAATCAGGCTTCTTCGAGACCGTCGTCCCTATCCGGCCGCTCATCGGCATGAGGCTGGTGCGGCGCCACAACCGCCCAAAGACCGGCGAACCCCATGACCCCATCATCAGGGAGAATGTCGCCAAATGGGTGAGGCAGGTGGGCGCCTCCGCGAAGCTTGCGCGGGGCGAGCCGCTGCTGAGCGAGGATGAGTCGACGGACGAGTCGGACCCCGAATGCAATGGTTATGAGGAGGAGGAGGAGGAGAATTATGAGGGAAAGGGGAAGGGGAAGGCTCTGTAGGGGGCCGCCATTCCTTTTTGCCACCGTGGGGTGTTCGCTTCTTTGGCCGCGAACTCTAATTACCCCAGATCAGATCTTGATTGCTGATGGCCATGTTCCCTTTTTGTCGTTTTCGTCAGTCTATTGCTGTTCTGTTTTTATTTTGTTTTTTAATGCTTGTCTTTGTTGGTGCCTCGCGTGTGCGGGAGAAAACAGTGTACTTTCTCAAGATGTCAGTCGTGATCAGAGTTATTCAGTCATTCCGACATTCACCACACATATGTCAAGCCGGGCAAAACTTTATCTCACGGTTATGCTTCCACTCTCTGGTTGACTGACTGATTTATTGATGGCTCCTGATACCAAGCAGACAATATGAAAACACTGACTACCATGGTCTACTACTCTGATGATGTTCCCTGCGCATGCGCATGACGGGAACTCATGAGCAGGACAAAGAAACCGCGCACATTTGGCCAACCAACTACCATTTTGTAATCTTCTTCATCTCTCCACTCTCCGTCGCACCTGTCGTTGTCCATTTCATTTCCATTGAAGTCGTTTGAAACCCTTTGTTTCCCCTTTTCCTGAACTCCAATCGCAAAACAAGAAAAAAGGATTAAAAATCAAATATCACAAAAACAAAAAGCTTGTCTCTCCCACAGTGAAGTGAGAGAGATCACACCATTCGCAGCCCTCGTGCAGCGTCGTTTCCTGTATCGACAGGAGGTTTGACAGCGACCGAAAGAGAAGAGAAACAAATACCGAGCAAAAGAAGATCACGACAGTATCTTCCAAGCTCCATGAAGCAAAAAAAAATCACCAAACGCGAAAACAAGGAGGGGAAATATGCGCATCTCGAGGCTAAAAAAGCCAAGCAATTGCAAATCTCGCACCAGACAGAGAAGAGAGAGCCGGCTAGCTGCTCGAGCTTCGGACCATTTTGGCTGGAGGCTCATAGCATTCTGGTAATCAGAGATCAATTCTCTCCCTGATATGGGTGAGAAGGGGAGCCGTGGGAGCCGTTGGGGTATGGCTCGCCACGGCTACGAGCGTAGTGGCCTCGAGTTGGAGTCTGATCGCCGCCGGCAACGGTTTGCATGGCTGGCTCCTGAGGACGAATGCACGGATACGGCATGTAGCCGGGCATCTCGAAACCTCCGAATGGGGATGCATAAAAGTGCCCGGGCACAGGCACACCACCCGCGTTCATGTACGCAGGAGCCTGGAATGAAGCCAGAGGACTGATGGGCGACATCATGAACGGGTTCACCCCATAAGGCATGGCAGCTCCCGGGGTTGCACCAGGGACAATGGCCCGCTGGGCATTTGGCGGGGTGAGGTGGTTCATTTGAGCAAGCATACTGGCTTGCTCAGAGGTCTGCTCAAGATATCTCATCAAGGCGCCCTGTTGGGCAGCATTCATGGCCTCTGTCATTGAGGTCTGGGGCGTGGCCGAGGAGGGGGTGCTCTGGGTCGAGTTGTTGGGTCCATCACCTGGGATGCGGCCCCAGCGATCTTCAGTGGTTACCCGATCAGATGCAGGGTACTCGCGGGTGGGAGCTCGAGATGGGGTCTGCAGAGGCTCCTCGGTGGGCTGCCTGACTTGCTTGCCTCTCCAGGACTCGGGCATGGTGTGCCGAGTTGAAGAAGGGGTAGAAGCGGAACCTCGGGGTCTGCCTCGCCCTGGTGTGGGTGTCAATGGGTCATCGGAAGAGATGACGGGGCGAGACTGGCGCTGTTGCAGGCGCAGCTTGTAGCCACGAAGTTCGATGCCATCCTGCTCGAGTCAGCGACTGGGTCTGCCTTGGGCGAGGGAATCTGAACCTACAAATGCGGCAATCATGTCTTGCACAGATTCCGGAGACTCGAACTCGACAAAAGCAAAGCAGATTTCCTCTGTACCAAAGAGGAGTCAGCAATAATCCTGGAGCACAAAGAAAAAAGAGTGACTCACCTGTGCATCCAACATAGGATCGAGTTCGGACCTTGACCGCAAGGACTTTGCCGCAGCTAATAGCCATCTCCCTGATTTCCTCCTCGGACGAGTTGGGAGGCAAGTCTCCGATGAATACCGATCGCTTGTTAACCAATTCTTTCTTGGCATTCACAGAGTTGGCTGCAACAGGCGCCTTGTTCAACTCGAGCGACGTCACTCGAAAGAATCGGTGGTCCTTGAAGGCCTAACACAAATCACAAAACCGTCAGAAAAAATTATCAAGAGTGCGCGAAGGGTTCATTACTTACCCTGACAGGGTCGCGCCCAGAATCGAACAGAGTGAACTGGATGCGGACTGATGGTGGCAGGTTGAACTTGTGCTGAGTCTCATAATCCAGAGGGGTAACCTCAGAAAGTTGCCCGAGAGGGCGGAGCAAGCGGCCAGCTTCGTCCTCGGAGATGGGCTCTCCGGATCTCTTGGACACTGCAAAGACAGCTTTGATTCATGTCAGAAGTGTTCACAAAGAGCTGTCGGAACTGTACTCACAGTTTGCCTTGGCCTTTTCGACGCGGCAGCAACGGTCACTGATCTTGACCCCCTGTGCTTTTTCGAAAGCACGCTGGGCATCGTTATCCGACTACCCATGGTTAGCTTCCATCTTATTCTTCTTCGTGCTGAGTGGTTGGCTGACGGGTTGACTTACAGTATACTGGACGAAGGCGTAAGGCATGTTCCGTGTATCACGGCGGAGTTTAACGAACGCCTTGCCGAACTTCTGAAAGACGGCCATCACTTCCTCCTCAAGCTCCTCATCCGAAACATTAGAAGCCAGGCTATAAGCAGAGACAGGGCCTGGTCAGTACAGTGTTCCGATGATTTGGGGTAGAGTGAGAAGCAGAACGTACTTGGCAACAAAAATGCAGGCAGTGGACGGGTAAATGTCCTGAGCATCCACCTCGTTGCTCTCTTCCTTGGCCGCGTTGCGACTGGTCCATGTGACGATTGTCTTGCCACGCGAATCTTCCTCGACATGCTCGCCACCTCTGAGACGGCTCTCGGTGGAAGGGCGCTCTTCGTCGAAGACATTGTCTGAAGAATCATAGTGCTCGCCATCAAAGACGTCGCCGTCCTCATTTTCAAATTGAGCAAATCTGGCACGCGATAAGAGTTAGCGCCGGAACGAGACAAGAGATTCACCCAAGGTTTTGTCAAACTTACCGTTCTTCCTTGGACTTTCCCTTGTTGGCTGCAGCCTTGGCGCGACTCAATGCACTGAAGCTACTGGTTGCCAATTGTGTGAGCGAAACGTCACGCAAGAGACGAGAGAGACAACTTACCTCTTGAGAGGAGACATTGAAGCTGAATGGGCAAGCATATTGAGCCCGGTACCTTGTCTGGTTAGCAAGATCTTTCGTCACAGCAGCTCGGCTCGGTTGTTGGGTGTTGGGTGTGTTTGTTGACAACAATCCAGAAGCCAAGTTATTAATGTCTAGAGAATTTGGAGGGACGGTTGAAAGATTGAAAAACAAGCATCCACCAGAAGCACCAGTCTGTTGATGCTATCAAGTAGCAGCGAAGTCAGAGAGCCAGGCAGGGCGCTGATGCCGGTGAGACGCAGCAGGGAGATGATGAACGAGGATGAAACCCGATGTGGGAAACTTCTCAGATCGAGGATGGAAGGTGAGGGCAAGCGAGGGCAGCTCTGAGGTGAGAGGGGAGGGTGAAGTGTGGGCAGCAGGGTGAGAAACCAAAAGCGCGAGATGCGTGGTGAAGAAAAAAAAAAAGAAAACAAACGCTCGTATCTTACCTCCTTGCGAAGAATCGCTGCCGTCAGCCTCGACGCCTGCTGAACGCCCAAGCGGATCGAACGAGTTTGATTTGCGAATGGTGTCTCCTTGGCTCCGAGGAGCAGGGTTCGAGACTGCGTACCGCTTCATGGCGATCGAGGCGAGACTCGAGAAAAGAAGTAGACAATTTGGGCGTCGGAAGCAGAAGAAAGTTGGGAGGAAACGGGGTGAAGACGCCCCTGATTAGAGAGAGTAAAGAACCGATGAAGTCCTGTCGTTACAGATTTGTGAAATTGACAAGGTTGCAAGCCTCAACAAAGCTTGGGAAGCCCAAGTTGAGCGTGAGGATTCGGTTATGGAGGTGAAACGAAGGAGGAGGAGGAAATCTGAGAGCAGGATGAGATAACAACAAGGCGCGAGTAGGTAGGCGAGGACGGCCAGATAAGTGCGCGTGCTGGCTCTGGCTGGCAGACGTCATCAGCTGTGCAGGAGGGCTGGTTGCTGGTCGAGTCCTCAGGCACGAACTAGGTGCTGGGCCAGGTCGACGCTCTGTGAATCGCGGTGCTGTTTATTGTCTGTCTATCCGTGTGTCTTGTCTTGGTGGTCGCTAGGCTGCTGGCCACATCGATGCTGGTTGTCTTGCTGGGTGCGGTGACCTGCCCCGCCCGTTCATTAGAGCTCAATAGTTGTTAGTTGCTCATGGGTACCAATTAGATACAACTATCAGCCAGTTGTGTGAATAATGGTCCACGCCCATCTCTCTCGTCAGTGCCATGCAGAAGGGGACGTTAGTACCCCGAGCCACCGACTCAGCAAGCAACGTCTCCCAAGTCAATTGGCGCACGACGACAAGTACTCAATGAGCATGCTGCAACTTCGGCCACAATCTTTCATAGGATGAACCCTTTCATGATTGATTTTGCCCATGAGCCTCAAGGCGCCATTCCCAGCACCTGCTTGTATGAATGAGCGCGAGCCGCAGCCGGCAATTCTTTGCATCTCCATAGGGACGCATTGATATGCCTGGGTACATGCGGTACCTCCCATTATTCCGCTCTATGGCCAAGCTGTAGCCGATTCCAGCGGCGAGGAAGGGACGAAAGAGAGGTTACTGCCGAATGAGGCAACATCGTGACTGAGTGTTGGGGAAGGAGTGGGCCAGCGACACGCATGTGCCCGGCGACACTCGATTCACTGCTGCTCCAGAAGAAGCCTAGTTTGTCTTTGTGACTTCCGTTGAAGAAGGAAAGAGCCATCCGTGTGATCTCCATGATCTCATGTGTGGGCGGAGAAGGAGCTCCGAGGAAAGCAGGAGTGAATCGACTGTCGAGGGACAGTCGAGGATGAGTGGCTGAATAAAGAGAATGGGTATGTGAAGAAAGAAGAAAAGGAAGTGTGATGTTCGAGTGACGGAAAGAGTGAAGTTTGTGTGTAAAAGGGAAAAGAAAAGAGAATGAAGAATGAGTGTGCGAGGAAAGAAGTCGAGAAATTTGTTTACGTGTGGGTGCTTCTCAAGGCCACAAGGCTGCCAACGCGTGTTGCCTCGAGGGCTATGCCCCTGAGTACCTCTAACAGCAGCTGCTCGCGCCGGAAGACAAGTTGCTCCGAGGGGGACCACTTCTCCCTTCCTCCTGCTCGGAGGCTTCCTCGTCCCGGAGTCATTTCTTGAAGGAGATTTGGTATTCATAGGGCCATCTCCCCCTGAGAGATTGAGGAGTGGCTCTAGGGGGTGCCGCTCTTTTCTTCCCTCGTTCCATGCATCCAGAATTGGGGACAAGAAGAACAAAGGTTGTCTGTAAACTAACGTTGAACAAAGATGATTTATAGAAGCACGGTCCGTAGAAGAGTAAATTATCCGTAACATTTACTACCCTTTCCTTTGTCTTGTCCCGCTCATGTAATTCCATCCAAGAAGTGTCTGTTCGCTGTGTTGTGAAGAGCCCAAGTGCAGGTAGTTAGCTCCTTCCCTTGCTTCTTCCCTCGTGCCTTCCCTCGGAATCACATTCTTGCATCTCTCTCGATGATGCAAAAAATCAAGCTTCCCCTCCTCCTTGCTTCTCCCTTACTTGTTGCAACTCCATTTCCCATTCACAAAGCAATCTTCAACGCACGCCTCTCTATGATCTCGTCAAACCAACTCAACCGGCTGCTCTCGAAGATTCGTCTTCAGCCACCAAAGGCTCTTCAACGATCCTTCCATCAACAGCATGCCCTTCTTTTGCATTCCTTCCGTCCCTCTTCAAATGTAACAGTCATCCTCCCACCCTTCGCTCAGGATATTCCATCCAGTTGAAGCTAACCATCTCCTGCAAAGTCAAGCCCAGTTTCTCTCCGTCGAAGCCTTCATTGAACGCGAAATCTTCTTATCCCCAAATTTCATCACTTCTTTGTGTTCTGGTTCCCGTTCCTTGCTCTATTCGCGCCCGGAACAATCAATCGAGCGGAAGAAAGCAGACAGCACCATGCGCAGATCCCAGTCAGCTCCCCAGCCGATGCCTTCATCATTCCCGTCATATTTTCCACCGAAAGCAACTCGTCGTTCAGACATAAGCTACAATTCACAAATACTACGCAAGTTCCCTATTCTACTTGCTAGTCTCGTCAGAATACATCATACTGATGGGTGCTGGCAGTCTGCAGATTCAAGTCTAACCCCGTTCTCTTCGCTCTACAAGTCTCGACAAGGCGGACCAAAGTCAGCAATATAAACTCTGACTTCAGTCGTCCTCACTCATCGATTACTCCATAAACACGCCCACACGATTCAAGACGCAGAGTCGTACGTCGAGAAAGTGCTCTCCCCTTCAGATACTCGCCAAGTTCTCCAAGACACGCAATATCAGCAGACACACCTTGTCATACCATGTTCTCGACACAAGTCGTCTTCCCCTCAAGCATCAAGATACTCTAGCACGTTCAATGTCATGAAGACATTCTACGAAAAGAACATCAAGTCACCTCGCAACACCAGGCGAAACTTCAGTGGAGATAGCAAGATTACGATTGCACAGTCTAATGGCCTCTTGCATTATTCTTTAGCAACTGCATAAAGTTCTCTAAATACCTGTGGCCACCGCCATGCTTGGCAATGATTGCCCCAGCGTCTATAGCCTCTGCCTCTGTCGTCCGACTCCGGCCCAGCAAGGCAGCGTTACGTGTGCTGGGAATCCTCAGAAACTCAGTCTCGACGACCCATCCGCAATCCTCGGCGATCTCTGTCACCCACTCTACGAGGGAAGCGTACGTCGAGGCACCTTTAGTCTTATCCTTGGGAGGCGGCGGGCGGTACTTATCACCTCCGAGGTTATGGCTGCAGCACGGGATAGAGATGAAAGGGCAATTCGACGCTACGGCTAGGAGGGGAGTCCAGGGCGTCAGCTCGTCGGCATGATTGGAGACAATAAATGTCCCTGGTGGGAATCTGCCATCGTGGATGCCAACTGATCCGGGGAGTTGGTCATGAAACTCAGTAGCATCACCTGCTACCAAGTGAGGCAAGAGAAGGCGCTCCTCAAGAGAAGTGCCGGAAGCTGTCAAGTCATTCTGGCTTTTGTAGTGCTCCCAAGACTTGCGAGACCTGGCGTCGAAGCCCCAACCATGGTACCCCTCAAGGTTGAGGATGTGAACGAGGAGCCCGTTGCCGCAGCCAATGTCGACAAAGCCGGGGAAAGGGCTATCTGCAGTATACATGGTAGACCACAACTCAATGAGAAATGCGGCGATGCCCAGATCTTCAAAGATGTGTTTGGTCGGGTCAGTCTGCTCGGACCAAGACTCAATCAAGCGTTTGGCATATTTGCCTTTGAGCCCAGCATAGCGGTCTTGGAAGATAGCACGAGGCACGACCAGGTCATGATGGACTCGTTTTACATAATCTGCGCTCTCGCCATGCTTGTGGATAATCTGCAGAAGATGGAAGGCAGTGCGCTGGAGCTTGTTATCACTCAATGGGTGGCCGGGAAATGGGAGAAAGAGGACGGAGATGGACCCTGTACCAGTCGCAGGGTCCCATTCGTGCAGATGGGCAACTCCCTTGACCTTGGGGTGGTAGAACGGAGTCTCTTGGGCAGACTCAACATGGGGCAGATAAATGATCAAAGTACTGACGGGGTCCTCTGGCTGTTGCTGCAGGGTCTGGTGCTGTGTGCAGGTCTGATCAAGGGGCAGGTCTCGTTTGGTGTTGCGAGGAACCAGGGTCCGGACCAGCCTTCTCTGCAGCTGGTACTTGGGGAAGTGTCTTACACGGGACCATGGGCTGTCTGGTGGTTGGTCTACCTGAAGCTGCTCGGGGATGCCGGGCTGTCGCTCATCACGGATGATGTCTGCCCGGAACAACCACGACGAATTCAGGTTGGGATTCTCGATCAAGACGGTCATCTTGGTGATGAAGGTCTCGGGGGGGAACGAGCAGCCGTGGTGGTACATTTGCACCCAGCCATCGCCTAAGGTGTCCTCGAGTGCCACCCTCTCGTCATCGGACGGCTGTTCTGGGGCGTATGGCATGATGGAGCTGGACGACGCCGATTTCGCTTGACCTCGGCAACCCGAAACTAAATTTCTCTATCGG